AGGGTCGCACTAGATTAGTATATTAGTCTAAGCATTGAACGCAATCCTCCTTAAAGCCTTAGTCTTAAGTTTAGTAAGATCTAAGGCTATAGCGCCTTTGAAACTACCTCCTTAAGGCAATAGTGTTACGAGGCTTATTGTAAAGGAATCGGGATTTAGAGCATTACGGGAAACATTAGGTCCTATCTGCTCTTTCGTGCGCTCCGTAAGCTAAGAAGTAGCGAACACTTTAATAGACGTATATTCGTTAAAAGGGCGGCGATTAGGGAATGTTAATTCTTACTCGTCGCTATCCTCTTTATCCTCGTCGTTATCTATACTAGATAATGCTAGCGGAAAGGCATACCGCTTACGCGATCGAGGATTAATAGGAATCTCTAGACGGTCGGGCAGTTAGCGCGATGTTATACTATACCTATCTCTACCGTAGTTAGATATACGAGGCTCCTATCTATCGTTGTCGAGCGTACCCCGTTCTAGTAAAGTCGTAAACTATATAGAGATCTTGGCTATACTGCGGGCGCGGAGGGGTAATATCGCCCTAGTTTCGGTTTCCGTACGAAGTAATAATATTTCCGAAGCGGGAGGCTGCCGGTCGTTAATGTCTATAGCAAAAGTAGGATTCCTAAGCCGGTTAGCGATGTCGCTATACAATTGAAGGTATTTAGTCGTAGGCGGTGTAACTGTATTATGCTAGGAGTTTGCGACGCTAGGTAGGGTCACAATCGGCGTAGAAATGGCAGAGACCTTGCGATCGCTACGAGTAACGGGCGCATCTAATCGCCTAGCGGGGTTAGGGGAGTCGACGTCGCCTTTCTAATTTCTACGAGTCGCTGTCTAGTTCTAGGAGTGCTTCGTTTATAACTATAAGTACGGAATAAACCTATAAATCATCTTAACGTAGTCTGCCTCTTCGAATTTACTATAGTGCCGTATAATAGGCTCTACTACAGAGTAGAATTGTCCCGCGACACACGCCGCGACCTTGTCTCGGAATCCACTCTATAGCTACTTTACTACCGGAGTTTTCTCCGCATCGTAGACTCCTCTTATTCGGCTTTCCTCTATACAGGCGTCCTTGATCTATTGCTATAGGCGTTTATAATTTAAGAAGAAGGTATTAAATGTGTGCTTATAGTTCGGGTCCTATTTGTATTCTGCGAAATCGCTATTATCCGGCGCTATAATAAAAGTGCGATGCGCGAGTGTTTATAGTAAGTGTTTGTAGTAAAGAGATTGTATAATAGCAAAGTGAGAATTACATATAGTGGGGTAACGCGCGCGACACGCGCCCCGCGATATACAGGGCGTACAGACAGGGATAGCGCGAAGCTTATTTCGGCTATAAAAAAAAAAAAAGGAAAAAACAAAAAAAAAAGTATACCTACTTTGTCTCTATTCGTACCCTTCTACTATAACCAAGATAGCATACAGATTAATTAGTAACGCGCTCGCGGCCGGATTGACGTATATAGCTACCCTCCTCACTTCTACTAAAACACCGACACAACTAGCGCCTAGCTACTAAGAGAGACAGAAGCAACGCAACAAGAAGAAGAAAAAGAACGTATAAGAACACCGCAACAAGCTGTATTAAGCGTATAGAGACGGACTACAGTCGAAGTTCGAAAGAGATAATATCCTACGCCTACCGCATAATAAGCCCGCAAAAAAGAATGCTAAAGCTCGTATAAAGGCATAGCTCGACTTATTTAAGAAAGAGGTATATTATACATTATCCTAAGTAACCTAAAGATTGTTGCTCCCTGCCGGCACGACCGACGCGGGCCTTAACTTTAATTAGACCTTAATTAGATATCTAGTACTGCATCTACTAAGCCTTACTCCTCGCCGAGACGACCGACGCGGGCCTCAACTTTAATTAGACCTTAATTAGACATCTAGTACTATATCTACTAAGCCTTACTCCTCGCCGAGACGACCGACGCGGGCCTTAACTTTAATCAGACCTTAATTAGATATCTAGCACTATATCTACTAAGTTATACGCCTCGCCGAGACGACCGACGCGGGCCTCAACTTTAATTAGACCTTGATCGGACATCTAGTACTGCATCTACTAAGCCTTACTCCTCGCCGAGACGACCGACGCGGGCCTCAACTTTAATTAGACCTTAATTAGACATCTAGCTCTGTATCCGCCGACGCACTATTCTGCAGCCTATATCGTACCGGTACAGTTACATTAGCAAGATAGACATATCCGGACGTCCTACGCCATCCGGAGTATTTGTAGTTTCGTACTACTAGGAGGTTTTAGACTATTGTTTTGCCGATATAGATGCTAACTAACTACGTTGTTAGCATAACTCTCTCCTACGCTACCTATATCTAGACTTTCGCCTAATGTAGTATAGAAGCGAGTACGAGGATAGAGAGGATAAAGAGAATAAGGAGGATAATAAGGATAAAGAGGATAAGGAGGACGAGGAGGATAACGAGACTAGATAGCATTAAGGTAGTTAAGATAACATTCCTACTACCGACTACGATGTCGATAATAACAACGATATATACGCCCGCGAAGAACGTTACCCTAGGCGTGCTATAGACGCTTACCGCCGCGTGAATTAGTTAAAGCATCCGTCGGGTACTTAAGGTACGCGAGGCACTCGAGCTACTATAGAGAATCGCCTAAACCCTCTAAACACTCGACGTCCGCCTATACTAAGCCTTTATAAGTCTACGACTAAGCGACGCTAGCAGATTACCGGCTAAAAAGAAGACCTTAAGTATGCATACATCCCGGAGGGCTATATACATATATCGGAAGATAATTTCTTTCGCGATGTAAGTAAGCGCAAGGGAGAATTACCTAAATACCGCGCTCCGCTATTAAACCGAAAGCTATACAATCGCGGAGGCAATATCGGCGGCAAGCGGAAGAGAGAATTATCCGAGTATAGCGCTCCGCTACTAAAGCGAAAGGTAGATAGTAGCGGAGGTAATATCGGCGGCAGTAAGGAGAAGACTATATCGGCGAGGATTACGAGAAAGGTAAGAACTTAACACTATTACTCGTAGGATAATACTTATAAAGAACAGGCGTCGTCGCTCCTAGAGGTTTCTAAGGACGACGATAATAATCGTAGAGGCAATATCGGCGGCAGTAAGCGGAAGACTACATCGACTAAGATTACGGGAAAGGCAAGAACTTAACACTATTAGTTATCGGATAATTACTAACAAAAAAAAAAACAGGCGTCGTTACTATTATAGGCTTCTAAGAGCGATAAGGCGAAGGTGTTACATAGGCTACCGTTCGAGGACATTTATAGACGTTGGGTTTAGGCATATAGCGTAGAGCTAGAAAACGAGCTAGAGTTGTTTCTTAAGAGCACGTATGGGTTTGGTATAGCTTTCGAAAAAGCAGAGCTAGACAAGAGTTCGGGAATTGCAAAGAAGATGCATAAGCACGTACGTCGTAGTAGGGTATCGTCGGCGATAGAGACAGAATTGATTGGTATAACTAAGGACTAAGTATATACTAAGTAGCGTAAGCCGTCGCACGACTGCGTATTCTTAGTTCTAGCTAGGGCTCTTGCGCCCCTCGGGCCGCTTAGGGTCGCGTTATAGATTACGTCTTCAAACTCAACTCTACTTCCTCTTTATCCCTATTACCTTCCTCGATAAACTCTAATATTTGCTATACCAGCCGCGTAAAGCAGAAAATCGTCCTTCGCTGCTATATTTCGATGCTATTAGTATTCTAGAATGTAAAGCTCTTCTTAATAGAGTATACGCGTCTATCGAAGTTAAAGGCTCAAACTAGCTCGAGCACGATATATATATATACGCTATAGTTTCATCGAATAAGTTCCTTAACGGGAAGATCTTTCGAGGTATAGGTGTGTTTTCTTTGCTCTATAGCGGTCCTAACCGACATTTCGGAATATCGAAGCTCGTCTTAGTCGAGCACACGCATTTATACTATTTGCTATACTAGCCGCGTAAAGCAGAAAATCGTCCTTCGCTGCTATATTTCGATGCTATTAGCATTCCAGAATGTAAAGCTCTTGCTAATAGAGTATACGCGTCTATCGAAGTCAAAGGCTTAAACTAGCTCGAGCACGATGTATATATATACGCTTTAGTTTCATCGAATGAGTTCCTTAACGGCAAGATCTTTCGAGGTATAGGTATGTTTTCTTTGCTCTATAGCGGTCCTAACCGAGATTTCGGAATAACGAAGCTCTTTTAGCTAAGCATACGCATTCAGATGAGTCGACGGCTCAAAGCAGTAAAAAGAAACTTTACGTACTCTTAGACCTTATCTCTTCTTATCGAGGCTTGCCTACTTAACTACGTTAACGCCTGCTCCTGCTCTATCGACTATGTTGCCTCTAAAGGCTTCGAAGCTCAAAGTCGAGCGGTAATGGAATTTGACGTCGTCTTCTGTATAAGGTAGGGCGAAGCGCGAATGCAAGACTAGGCTATCTTGTCTCAGGCACAATCTAGGCTATAGAGGCTCGGTTTCCCATTGTATACAGCGGTATACCATTAGAAGCATATATGCCCGAACGTTACTACAAACTCTCCTAGTCGGTTAAGACTATCTAAGACGACGATAATAACTTACACGTCGACTAAGACGAAGATATCTAGCAGAACTTGGACGAGGATTCGCGTATCCACTAATACGAGGATTCCTATATCGTCTAAGATGAGGATTTAGATATCAACTTAGACGAGGATTACTCTTACCGATAGTAATGCCCTATGCCCGGTATACACCCAGTTAATTATCTTACCTTGCTACGAAAGTCTAGCTATACCGTAGTCCCTTTCATTAGACGAGGCACCCTCATTGGAATTTGATTCTATATAAGCGAGACGCTACTACTAGAGCATTGGTTCTATATACGATGTAATAAACGGAACTTAATTATACTTTGATTCTACGCCTAACTCTCTCGTCCGACATTGATTCATACTTGTAGCTCTTATTAAAGTTCTACAACCACTAGAACTTAATTCTACACGTAACGACTAATCATTCTTTAATCCTACACGTGACGCCTAACAATACTCTGATTCTACACGTGACGCCTAATAATACTTTGATTCTATACGTAACGCCTAATAATATTTTGATTCTATACGTAACGCCTAATAATACATTAATTCTATACGTAACGCCTAATCATTCTCTAATTCTACACGTGACGCCTAATCATTCCTTAATTCTATACGTAATATATAACTATTCCTTGATTCTACACGTAATGCCTAATTATTCCTTAATTCTATACGTAATGCCTAATCATTCTTTGATTCTATACGTAATGCATAATCATTCCTTGATTCTATACGTAATGCCTAATTATACTTTAATTCTATACGTAATGTCTAATTATACTCTAATTCTATACGCGACGCCCTTATTACACTTCGATTTACTATACGACGCCCTTATTACACTTTAATTCACTATACGACGCCCTTATCACACTTTGATTCACTATACGACGCCTAATTATAGTGTTATTGCAGTATCTACTACTGCTACCGTTATCGCCCTTCCTACAAATTCGACGAGGAAATAGCGCGTTCTACTAGTAGGTCCGATCTACCTTAGTAGAGACTAACATTAACTAATGTACTATAGAGAGAACGCGCTTATACGATAACGACCTCGATTTCTCTAACGATACCGCTTTTATACTAAGGATAGGAAGAAGAAAGATTCCTAAATGGCTTACTATAGAGAGAGCTTTTCGGAGGCGCGGGATCTAAGAAGAGCTAGAAAGAGAGGTCACTATAATTAGCGCCGGCGAGTGCACTTTTTGTAATTACTAGCGCTCCTAGTACAAGTGCCGGGATGTAGACTAGTTTCGAAGTTTAGACGTTACAATACGAAAGGCATTTCTCCGACGACATTTACCCTATAACGAGAGAGACATTATTAATATGCAAACTTGTCTATTCGGTCTCGTTTATTAGTATCGTTAGATTATAGCCCTTGCCTAGACTATAGATTTTATAGGAACTAACGACGGCGACATATCCGTTCCTTAGGCGTGCCTCCCTTTTTTACTCGAAGATCGCACTTTTTAGTATATAATTAGTGTACGAGGTTTCGATATTGCATACTAGCTCGGGTATAGGGGCCCTTTTAGCGTTTCGAGGATCCACGAGTACTTCGACGAGATGCAATGCTTTCGATTACCGTTTATTCGCTATCGCGTAGCCGAGCCGAGAATAAGCATCCTAATTATAGGGCCTTTATATAGGTGCCTACGCCCTAACTGTACGGTCCGACACTGCTATCTATAGATTCGAATAGTAATGCAGATCTTCCTTAGCCGACTCGATAGTCCTAAAGCTCGCTCGCTCCTATACAACTCCTCGCTCTAAAGGTCTCTAATTAGCTACTCTTATCTCGACGAGAACTCTAGCTATAGAAATCCTTCGCATGCTATATACGAGCTTCTTATACAAAATCACGGTCGGACGTCGGTATGTGTAGCTGCTAGTGTTTGCTCTAGTCGTAAGGTACATTTCGATCCTCTATGTCTCTCTACTATTTAGGCCGAAAATGCTCCGGGCTTCTATAATAGTGTAGCCGAAGAAGCTAAGATAATAGCACTCAAGCGTGCTAGGCTAGAAAGCGTCCTTACGAACCCGAGCACTTGTCCCGAGCAAGGCTGTACTTACCTCCTCTTCTAGCTAGACATGCTCTATTACTATATGCGATGCTACTTTCTACCGCTACCCTTAATAGTAGTCTTCGATCCTCTAGCTTCGAAATGCCCCGGCTGCGAGTTCTATATACACTTCGTTGATCGGTTTTATACACACGCTATAATAAGAGAGCCTAACTCGCTTCGCTAAACGCGTTTCAATCTCTATATCCTCTACTATTACTTCTTCGGCACATGTGCGGACAGTACTCTAGGATACGACTAACCGCCTAACACTAATGCCGTCTATACTGCGACAAGTTTTTCGATTGGCTTAGTTACGGACTACTTTACGATAAATCAAAGAGACCGCAATCTTAATAGTTTAGGCTTTTTTAGGATCAAGCCTAAGCGGAAGCGTAACATAGCTACGTCGGATGTAGTAGAATAGTAAGAAAGCGAAAGTAAAGGCCAAACCGATACAATCTACAGATAGAATCCGAGCTAGGCTTATAGGAGCATTGTTCGGTTGTATTACAAGTCCGTTTGTCGTTGTTCTTACTGCCTCTTTTTTTCTATATATATCTATTTTTTGCCCCTATAAGAAAAGCTTGTGCATTGTATATGAAAGGAGCTGTCGTTAGTATATCTCGAATTAAGCTGTAATTAAGTTATATGCGTATTAAGCTCCTATCGTCTGCTTCGCTAGCTCCTGCTGCTTATAGTAATTCGAATTAAGCTATAATTAAGATCTATACGTATTAAGCTCCCATCGCCTGCTTCGCTAGCTCCTGCTGCTTACAGTAATTCGAATCAAGCTATAATTAAGGTATATACGTATCAAGCTCCTATCGCCTACTTCGCTAGCTCCTACTACTTATAGTAATTCGAATCAAGCTGTGATTAAGGTACATACGCATTAAGCTCCTATCGCCTACTTTACTAGTTCCTCTTGCTTACAGTAGTTCGAATCAAGCTATAATTAAGGTATACACGTATCAAGCTCCCTCCTTCGCCTTAGTAGATCGCAATTATCGTTATTACTATAAAATAGACTAGGCTTACGTACAATAGCCTTCTTCTTCGGTAATTTCTTAGCCTACTTAGCATCTGTAGACGTACTAAGCCTTTAAGTGAACTTGCCGATAAATTCGACCTTGTAGCGGATACTGTACCCGTGCGTTAGTCTTAGGTCGTGCATCTCTACTAGTTGGACCTCTATTTCTTATCGTTTCTAGCACGTGCTTCGCGGAAGAAGCGAGAAACGGCTTATATTACCTCGTTGATTATCTATACAGAGTCGACGAATACGACTATACTCCCCTGTATAGATCAATTTCGGCACTATAGACAGGTATAGTAGAAAAGATTTCCCTGCCCGACAGCTAGGAGGGAATTATCGCTAGCTCTAAGGAAGACAACTAGCAATCTATCTTTCTAAGCTTTAAGGGTAAAGATTTTCATAATTAGTAGAGAGGAACCGAAGGCTATACCCTTTCTACCGACAGTTTCGGGGTCGGCTTTTTACTTATCTAAAACCAATGCCTTTAAAGCCTTACATCTCTCGCTGCCGGCGACCAATTTATCGAGATACCTAATAATCGGGTTGTCTTTCCTATTATCAAACAAGCCTAGCATCTCCGCTTAGTCTGCGGTAAGGCGAAATCGAAAGTTTTCTTTTTGTAGCTAAGAGATGTCTCCCCTACCGTAGCTGCTTTTTATTTGTAGTGCTATATAGTACAAGCCCTACTATTCTTTGTTATAGACACGCGATTTTGCATAGCGAGTCGGGTCTGTCTATAGGATTTATTATATAGAAGAGAAGGGAGCTAGGCAGGGATGCGTAGGGTAGTTGGCTCCCGAAAGTACTAGCGCCGGCTATCCCCCGCTATCGAGGACAGTAACAATGAGATCGTATCCGCCTCGCGCGGGTTGATCCTCTTACGGTAGTCTGCTACTAAGGGGATAGCCGGCCTTCTCCTAGTTTGCAATTATCTAACAGCTTTATCCCCTATCCCCTACTACAAAACCAGTTCCAAGTTGTCTAAGGTCCCCTAAAGGCTAATCTGCCCTATTGTATAGTTCCTAACCTCTGCTACCCTTCCTTAGCGCTATTAGGCTCTTTACGCGCCTACCGAAGGCTCTTACGTCCGAGCTTCTTTAGAATAAGGCAAGACGCCTAGCTTCTAGTATTGTCCTAGCTACCGTTCCGATTACATATATAGAACTGCAATAGAAGCTTAGGCATATATACTAATCCTAGTACGCGAGCATCGCAAAATGCGCCTAAGAACGGTAGGATTTCTATACTAGAGGGCACATTCTCGGCGAGCCGTAGCTAGTAATCCGAAAGGGTACCTAGGATACCGTCGTTTTAGCAGATCCTGCTAGTAGCGACGAGATCTGCTAAGGGAAGAATTCGACGCAGATCTGTTCTCGCATGCCGTTGTATAACCTCCTCCCTCGGCTAAGAAACTTGTTAGTACTAGCCCTGTCTAGTTAACGCTCTCTAATACGAGTGATGCATCCTTAGCTACTCAAACTATCGAGTGCGGTACCGAGCGTCTTACCGTAGCTATTAGCGGAGAGGATGCATTTACAAAGACCTAGCGGCAGCTCTATATTCTAGAAATCCGTAACGATATATGCAATGCTAAGTCTTCTAGCCGTCTATTAAACATATTCTAAACCTGTCGCGAGCTTTAGTAAAGGTCTACTTCTTGTACTAATTATGCGTAAGACCGTACTTCTCCGCCTACCTCTTATGCTCTTAGAGGTAGCGCTCGTTGTAGAGAATTATCTCTATATCGGCCTTTTCTAGACCGACAGCTATCGGGAATCTATTTATAAAGTTCGTGCTAGAGAGACTATTATATAGACGTACTACTTCTTGAATGCCTTCTAAAACAGTCTAGCGCTCCGCTATACTTCCTAGGCAGTACGGGCAACCTAGGCCGTCCTCTAGTCGACCTCCGGGATATAACTTATACTTCGGGTAATTTGGAAGACCGGCTAGCTAATGCGTAAGTTCCGATAATGCTATAAGGGCCTCGATAATCTCCTCGGGCTCCTTACTATCGAGATCTTCGCGCGTATCGATATTGTTCCTCTATCTCTAGATAGCCTTATACTTATTATATTAGCCTAGGTTCAAATTGTCCAGAGCTACGAGATTCTAGGCTAGTACGCAGAATTGAATGCCTAGAATGGAACCTTAAATCGCGGATGTTTGAGGTCGTTTATCCTATAGCCTAAAAAGGTCGGCTATTAGCTAGAGGTACTTATTATCCGCGTAAGTGAGTTTTCTTCGATCGATTAGCGAAACTCGCGTAAAAACCATCGTCCTCTATATCCTAGGCGCGGCTATAAACCAAATGTAGCAAGTCGATATCTCGCTCCTAACTAGGCTATGCTTCTATTTATCCCTTCTTGTTTGCCGTCCCGGTAGTAGCTGTTATTAATCGAGAAGATAGACGTAAGTGCCTACGCCTACGCAATAGTAAGAACGTTAGAGCAGAGTTATTCTAGCCGCTAGCATCTCCTACAATCGTAGTAGAATAAGAATTGCGACTAGGCGTAGGTAGAGGGGGAGCCGACGTGCTATACGCTAGTAGCCTTGTTTGAACTTTAATTAAGGTCGTTGCTAGATCCGAGTAGAGGGCTAGGTCGTCCTCCGCTAGGCGACCGTATTCGCTCTTATCTAGCTTAGAGTTGTTACTATCGAGCGGCCTAGGTTCCTACGTCGACGGTTCTTCTATAATTACGTCCTCCGTTTGACCTTCTTTAGAGCGTACGGCGAGACATATCGGGCATCGTTCTCGCTAATTAAAGCCTAATTAAGCTCCATGTTCGATGTATGCTCTTTAGAAACTCCGGGCTCTTGTGCTGCATTGCCCGCTTCGCTAATTAAAGTCTAATTAAGCTCTATGTTCGATGCATGCTCTTCTAAAACTCCGGGCTGTTATCCTACATTACCCGCTTCGCTAATTAAAGCCTAATTAAGCTCTATGTTCGATACATGCTCTTTTGAAACTCCGGGCTCTTATCCTACATTACCCGCTTCGCTAATCTAAGCCTAATTAAGCTCTATATTCGATATATGCTCTTTTGAAACTCCGGGCTCTTGTCCTACATTGCCCGCTTCGCTAATTAAAGCCTAATTAAGCTCTATATACGATACATGCTCTTTTAAAGCTCCGGGCTCTTGTCCTACATTGCCCGCTTCGCTAATCAAAGCCTAATCAAACTCCTTGCGCGTCGCATACTATTCGAAAGCTAGACATTCTTCTCTTCTAATATACGGCCGCCGAGCTATATACTCGGATAAGGTGTTACGGAACAAAGGCCGGCGTATACTCTTATCCTTGTTATATAGCGGCATCTCTTTCATTCTTTAATAACGCTTGTAACAAGAGTAGTTCTCTTAGCTAGGCCTTTGTTATAGAGCTAAACATTATAGTCGCAAAGGGTCTTCGTTATCTAAGATTGTAGATAACCTGCTATCGCGAGGGTCGTACTAGATTAGTATATTAGTCTAGGCATTAAACGCAATCCTCCTTAAAGCCTTAGTCTTAAGTTTAGTAAGATCTAAGGCTATAGCGCCTTTGAAACCACCTCCTTAAGGCAATAGTATTGCGAGGCTTATTGTAAAGGAATCGGGATTCAGAGCATTACGGGAAACATTAGGTCCTATCTGCTCTTTTATACGCTCCGTAAGCTAACAAATAGCGAACACTTTAATAGACGTATATTCGTTAAAAGGGCGGCGATTAGGGAATATTAATTCTTACTCGTCGCTATCCTCTTTATCCCCGTCGTTATCTATACTAGATAATGCTAGCGGAAAGGTATACCGCTTACGCGATCGAGGATTAATAGGAATCTCTAGACGGTCGGGCAATTAGCGCGATATTATACTATACCTATCTCTACCGTAGTTGAATATACGAGGCTCCTATCTATCGTTATCGAGCGTACCCCGTTCTAGTAAAGTCGTAAACTGTATAGGGATCTTAGCTATACTACGGGCGCGGAGGGGTAACATCGCCCTAGTTTCGGTTTCCGTACGAAGTAATAATATTTCCGAAGCGGGAGGCTGCCGGTCTTTGCTATCTATAAAGAGAGCAGGATTCCTATTATTAGTGTCTACCTCGCGACAAAAGAAAAGGCGTAGACGCGAATAGGCATCGCAGGATCCCCGATTACGGAGGGATTGTTATAATATCTAGATAGCAGGGAGTAAAGCGTCTAAAGTGACGGTTAAACTTAAATATAATAGGGATTTAGGGAGTCTACGACGCCTTCTAAGTTCTGCGGAGAGCAGTTTAGTTCTAGAAGTTTTTGCTTTATGAATGTAACTACGGGATAGAACTATAAGTTATCTTAACGTAGTCTGTCTCTTCGAGTTTGCTATAGCGCCGTATAAGCTGCTCGAGCGTAGAGTGGAGTAGTCCTTTCGGATTCCATTCTATAGCTCCTTTATTATAGGAGCCTTGTCTATACTGTAGACCTATCTTGCTCGGCTTTCCTCGGCGTAGGCTCTCTATATCTCTTACCGTAGGCATTTGTTGTCTAAGAGGAAGGTGTTGAAGGTAGTTTAGTATATTACGGCCTAGAGTAATGTCTCTTTCAACCTGTAAGAGCGAGGGGGCGGAGAAGCGCCGAGCATCTCCGAAAAGTATATCTAAATCGTGCGGGGCTTTTAGCCTACACATATTTATAAACTATCCTGCCCCTCGAAAAGTAGCATTACTAACATCCGGACGCGACTACTAATGTTGAATTACGAACGCACCGAGCAAGCGACGTAGGTATCAATCTTGATTATACCTTAATTAAACACCTGCTCGCGGCTAGACTCACTCGTATAGCTGCCCTCCTTACTTTTACTAAAACACCGACACTACTAGCGCCTATCTACTAAGAGACATAGAGTTAAGGCAATAAGAGGAAGAAACAGAACGTAAAAGAACACCGTAACAAGCTGTATTAAGCGTATAGAGACGGTCTACGAGGTTCGAAGGAAGTAATAACCTACCTAATTGAATATCTAGTTAACGTTAGTTATAGCTTAATTGAACATCTAGCACTGTATCTACTAAGCCTTACTACTCGCCGGTATAATAGACGCGCGCCTCAACTTTGATTAGACCTTGATTAAATATCTAGCTCTATATCGGCTAAGCCTTACCCCTCGCCGAGACGACCGACGCGGGCCTTAACTTCGATTAGACCTTAATTAAACATCTAGCACTGCATCTACTAAACCTTACTCCTCGCCGAGACGACCGACGCGGGCCTCAACTTTAATTAGACCTTAATTGAACATCTAGCACTACGTCTACTAAGCCTTACTCCTCGCCGAAACGACCGACGCGGGCCTTAACTTTAATTAGACCTTAATTGAACATCTTGTACTACATCTACTAAACCTTACTCCTCGCCGAGACGACCGACGCGGGCCTCAACTTTAATTAGACTTTGATTCTATCTATCGCCCTATATCCGCCGACGCACTATACAAGATGTCGTAGAAGGCCCTACAGTTTAGGGGCTCCCCTAGCCTATATCGTACTAGTATAGTTACATAGAATCTAGGACTAGAAGATGAGCTCCTTAGTTTATCGGAGGCGTTACTAAGAAGATAGGAGTATATAGACGTCCTACGCTATCCGGAGTCCTTGTAGTTTCGCGGTAGTAGGAAGTATTAGAGTATTGTTTTGCCGACATAGAAGGCGACTAGAGTAAAGAACTCTAGTAGGAGGGGGGTAGAAACCTGCGAATTAACTAAAGACCTTAGAATTATAATAACTCCTAGGTACATCGCACCGAAACCTACTTATATTAAGCGGTAGGTATAGGAGTATTAGCGAGTTCTAAATAAGAACAGAGCGCCTAACGATATTATAGAAGAATCGGTATAGTCCGAAGGCGAAGGTAGTAAAGATAACATTCCTACTACCGACGACGATAACGACATTAACAACGATATATACGCCCGCGAAGAACGTTATCCTAGACGTACTATAGACGCTTACCGCCGCGTAAATTAGTTGAAGCATCCGTCGGGTACTTAAGGCACGCGAGGCACTCGATCTACTATAGAGAATCGCCTAAACCCTCTAAACACTCGACGTCCGCCTATACTAAGCCTTTATAAGTCTACGACTAAGCGACGCTAGCAGATTACCGGCCAAAAAGAAGACCTTAAGCATGCACATATCCCGGACGACTATAGATACATATCGGAAGATAATTTATATCGCGATGTAAGCAAGCGTAAGGGAGAATTACCTAAACACCGCGCTCCGCTATTAAACCGAAAGCTATATAACCGCGGAGGCAATGTCGGCGGTAAGCGGAAGAGAGAATCATCCGAGTATAGCGCTCCGCTACTAAAGCGAAAGGTAGATAGTAGCGGAGGTAATATCGGCGGTAGTAAGGAGAAGACTATATCGGCGAGGATTACGAGAAAGGTAAGAACTTAATACTATCACTCGTAGGATAATACTTACAAAGAATAGGCGTCGTCGCTCCTAAAGGTTTCTAAGGACGACGATAATAATCGTAGAGGCAATATCGGTAGCAGTAAGCGGAAGACTACATCGACTAAGATTACGGGAAAGGTAAGAACTTAATACTACTAGTTATCGGATAATTACTAACAAAAAAAAAACAGGCGTCGTCACTATTGTAGGCTTCTAAGAGTAATAAGGCGAATGCAACATATAGTGATTTAATCAAGTCTCGTATAGGGCCAGCTTAGCAGGGAGTGCTTCTCAAAAACATCTAGAATACGATTGCGGGCCTAGAAGATCGCAAAATGCATGTCAATGTCGCCGGATTCGAGTCGAGGGAATTCGACATAGCCGTATTAATAGATACATAGAGTACAGGCTTAGAGTTGACATATAGCCTAGTTATACTAGTCTACGCATAGGCGGAAGCACAACTGCCCGAACGATACTAAAAACTCTTCTAGTCGGACGAGACTGTTTAGGAAGAAGATAATAATTCATACGTCGACTAAGATAATAATTCACAAGTCGACTAAGATAATTATATCGAGCAGGTTTTAGATAATAGTTCCTTAGAGGATTATGTCTAGGAGTGCTCTAGCGACTAGGATAGAGATTCTAGCGACTAGGGTAAGGATAAGGATAAGGATGCAGACATCGACTAAGACGAGGATCACTCTTACCGAAAGAACTGCCCCGGTTCCCGGCATATACCTCGTTAATAAACTTACCGTACTACGAACTTTAGCTACGCCGCATTCGCTTTCATTAGACGAGGCACCCTTATTGGAATTTGATTCTATATACGCGAGACGCTACTACTAGAGCATTAGTTCTATATACGATGTAATAAACAGAACTTGATTATACTTTGATTCTACGCGTAACTCTCGCGTTAGATATTGATTTACACTCGGCGCTCTTCTTAGAGTTTGATTCTATACGTGACGCCTAATCATTCTCTAATTCTATATATAGCGCCTGATTATTCTTTGATTCTATACGTAACGCCTAATTATTCCTTGATTCTATACGTAACGCCTGATTATTCTTTGATTCTACACGTGACGCCTAACAATACTCTGATTCTATACGTAACGCCTGATAATACTTTAATTCTATACGTGATACCTAATCATTCTCTAATTCTACACGTAACGCCTAATCATTCTTTGATTCTATACGTGACGCCTAATCATTCTTTAATTCTATACGTAACGCCGGATTATTCTTTGATTCTATACGTAATGTATAATCATTCCTTGATTCTATACGTAATGCCTAATTATACTTTGATTCTATACGTGATGCCTAATCACACTTTAATTCACTACACGACGCCCTTATTACACTTTAATTCACTGTACGACGCCCAATTACAGTGTTATTATAGCATCTACTACTGCTACCGTTGTCGCCCTTCCTACAAATTCGACGAGGAGATAGCGCGTTCTACTAGTAGGTCCGATCTACCTTAGCAGAGACCAACATTAACTAATGTACTATAGAGAGAACGCGCTTATACGATAACGACCTCGATTTCTCTAACGATACCGCTTTTATATATAGGATAGGAACAAGAAAGATTCCTAAATAGCTTGCTATAGAGAGAGCTTTTCGGAGGCGCGGGATCTAAGAAGAGCTAGAAAGAGAGGTTACTACAATTAGCGCCGGCGAGTGCACTTTTTATAATTACTAGCGCTCCTAGTACAAATGCCGGGATACAGACTAGTTTCGAAGTTTAGACGTTACAATACGAAAGGCATTTCTCCGACGATATATGCCCTATAAGGAGAGAGATATTATTAATATGCAAACTTGTCTATTCGGTCTCGTTTATTAGCATCGTTAGATTATAGCCCTTGCCTAGACTATAGATTTTATAGGAACTAACGACGGCGATATATCCGTTACTTAGGCGTACCTCCCTTTTTTACTCGAAGATCGCACTTTTTAGTATATAATTAGTATACGAGGTTTCGATATTATATACTAGCTCGGGTATAGAGGCCCTTTTAGCGTTTCGAGGATCTACGAGTACTTCGACGAGATGTAATACTTTCGATTACTATATACTCGCGAGTATATAGCTAGTCTAGGAGTAGGTATCCTAATTATAGGGCCTTTATATAGGTTATTAACACAATTGAAGTAGTAGCCGTACTACTTATAGTTAGTAGCTAATATAAAGTCGGGCAGATCTTATAAGCCTATAAGACTTATATAGTTATTTAGTAGTACTTTTGTTTTATTAGTAAGCGGATCTAGGGTCTATAGTCTAATACGCTACTTAGTACTACCTATCGAGTTAGTGCTACTAGATGCAGCTAGCAATAGTAATTGGCTAACGACTATTTATTCTAGAGAGTTAGACTTACCCTAGTAAATTAAGCTATTATAGAACGTCTCTCCGTTCGGCCTATAGACTAGAGGATTACTAAGATACTCGCTTAGAGTCGGGGGATCCTAGTTTAGATCTATAATAAGCTAAGCTAAGTACCTAGATAGAGGAGCAAGTTAACTAAAAAATAGCTTATTTAATGCCGGAACCTAGACTAGTGCTTTATATATAGCTTTTAAAATCTCGAAGAAAAAGTCGTACGTCGGATTTAAGCTAAGAATCTCTAAACCGCGCTACTTGTTAAAGACAACAAAGGTAGCCTTCGAGATTAGACTAAAAGAGGTATTATTTAGAACTATAGTTCCTATAAAGCCTAGACCTACGCCGCTAGTATCGGCTAATGCTCGGAAAAAGTAGTAAGATAGAATAGAAGTATAACGGTCGACGCAGAGTAGTATTAGTTGCTTCGAGTCCTTTATTACCGCTACGCCTATTAACCTACTATAAGTTAGTACCGATAGGCGGACAAGCTAACTAATCTATATAAGTCTACCTAAATAGTAGTGCCTACCTATATAACGGACAGCCTATCTAACGCTCTCGTAACTAGCTATCGACTTATTGTCCGCCTTTACTATATCCGTAGAGTCCGAGCGTACCTTTAGTAGTAGTAGACGTATATTTTTATAGGACCGAGTCGCTCTAAATAGTAATAGTGTTTATATAAGCGAGTGTTCTAAGTAATAGCAACGTACTAGCGTAGCGGATATACTAGTAGATATACTATAACTAGGTATAGAAGCGGAAGATCGCTATTAGAGGATATTTAAAAGGTATATAACCGGCTAAGTAAAGCTAGGGTCTTGTTACCTTAGGTAGGGCTTAGCGCTTAGCGTTAGCCTAACTTCCTAACCTTCTTCTCTTTTTTTATAGATCTTATTAAATACTATACGCTTTTAACTATACTATCTACCTAATTACCTAACCTATATTATATAGTATTCGATCTACCCTTTATAGGATATAGCTAGATAGTTAATTAATTTAGTAATACGGCTTACAATTCGCACTAAAATAAGCCTCCTACTAAGACAAGACCTATATATAAAGTACCGTATAGGCAGGTACTACCTAAGGGTTGCCGAGCGAAGCGAGACCTAAGCGGAATATTAGTTAGAAGTTGTCGCTGCATCGTTTTAGACGCATAGTATAAGAATGTCGCAATGTCGTCGTCGTCGTCGCTATAGTATTGTTTGTCGCAATATCGTCGTCGATGTAGCGGCTAGCGGGTTGCGAGGCAGCAAGGTAGAAGTTACGTAGGAGGGACATTTTGATTTCTTCTAATCAGAGGCCGAGCTAGATTTGTATAAGCGTATCTTTAGACTAAACCCCCGGCGAACACCTTACACGTAACGCAACTACTTCTAACTGTTATTCCGCTTAGCTCGTAAACAGACAACACCTCTGCATCCTCGTCGCAAGCTCCTCGAATGCTTCGGCTTATGCCTATTTACTTCGCTTCGCTCGGACTAAGAAACCGCTAATTCAACCGCTCTAATTACTAACCTAGGCTTTCTTTACGGCCTATTCGACCGATTTAACTGTACTAATTACAAAAGTACTAATTCTACTATATCTATATTACTAGGAGACCTATTATCTACTAAATAATACGTATCGACAAGATAGATAACTATAACAATATATAATTAAGGGCTATATTATAAGCTAACGGGATAGCTATCTAATGTTTAGACTACCTAACCTCGGCCCCTAAGGACATATTTGCGTAGTAAACTCTAGGTCCTCTAGCGAGAGATTCGGAGAGAAGGAAGTCTATAAAAGCTTCGCGGCTATCTAACGCCTTACGGCTAAATTTAGTATATATATAGCAGAAGAACTAGTCCTAAGGAAGGATACTAAACTTAAGGACTATACTATATTTAATAGCTCTAGTAGGAAGTAGTATAACGACTATATTCGTAACTATAAGCTTAACTAGCGTAATGTACTAAAAGCGCTATTAACTAAATATACCTTAGTCGTCTACGTAATATAATATATTAATAGCGACCCTAAGAGAACCTAGGATAACTATTTTAATTCCCTTAAAGACCTATCTAAGATCGACTAGCAAGCCTATAAGGACATTATACTAGATACGCTTAGCAACCCCTATTTAGGATAATAGCGTACTTAGGACTAATTCCTCTACGCTAAGTAGAAACCCGATAAGACTTTTCGAGCCTTCTAAACCCGACTAAGGGCTATTAAAGACGACTTACTATCTAAGGACAATTTAATATAGATTATAGAAGTACGACCTAAATTTAGGTAGGAACCTACCCTTAAATTAGACCGCTACTATATGTTTAAATAATACTATAGTCGCCTCGAATTTGTAGTCGAGGTTAACCTAGCCGAATAGGCTATATAGGCCTAGAAAAGACTAGAATCAAAGATCCGGCCTAATAATAACAACCGTAGCAAGCGTAGAAGAGGTAGCTACTAGGATCGAGCTAATAAGCCCGATAAGAATAATAAGAATAATAAGAATAATAGCGACCCCTAGCGAGGCTATAGTAACTACCGGTCTAGGTTATATCGAGAGGGCAATATCTAGCGTAGTAGGGGCCGCCGAAGAGGCGGATTCCTCTACTAATAAACTAAGCGGTCTATATCTAGTAGTAGCGCTCTACTAACCGGCCTTAAGTGCTTTAATTATAATATTACTAGCTACTTACTTAGCGTATATAATAAGCCGAAGGATTAGGCTCGAATTGAGCGTACTACTACTAACTATAGAAGGACGCTTTAAGTTATAGTAGCGAATACTACCTATATAATAACTAATCTTCCTAATCGCTCGAAAAAAGAATAAGCGCTATACTAACTATTAGCCTAGTACGCTATAAAACTATTAATATATAGCTAGCAATTGTATAAGACTGCCTTATTAGCGATATATATAATAGCAATTATAAGACTACGATTATACTAGATCCGGGAAATTTAGTTAGTACCCTTATCGATTACCGTACTACTAAGTACCTAGATCTAAAGCAATTACCCCGAGCTAATATACTAATCCTTACTTAGTTTAATTAGACTAGATACGAGACCTATAGAGCATATTATATTAATATAGTCTTAAAGGATAATATCTATAACGAGAGGATTCTAGATTTTACTACCTATACTATCGATATAGACAACCTCTACTACGGAGCTACTATTATACTTACCAATCCTATACTAAAGCACTATACTATAAAAATAGACCTCGGCAGCTAATAATAGCGTTTTAGAATAGCTAGAAAGGAGGATATTAACTATATCAACCCTACTAAGTACCCTAATAATGCTAGGGTCCTATTTATTAGCAATATTAAAGCTACTAACTTAATTACCGACTTTCTCGAGGAAGAGGAAGAACTACCTAATAGTATAGAGCCTAACTAACTCGAGCGTATTCCCCTACTAATCCGAGAAACCTATATTAATATATTTAAGGACTATCTAGCCGCTATACTTCCGCTATTAAAAGAGACAAATTATAAGAATAAAGTAATAGAGGGCAAGGAGACTCCTTTTAGCCTACTGTGTAACTTTAGTAACAGAGAGCTAGCTATCCTTTGTAAATACCTAGATAAGAACCTAGCTAATAGTCGAATTTAGTATAGTAACAGCCCTGCTAGTGCACTAATCCTATTTGTTCTAAAGAAGGATAGTAGCCTGCGCCTATATATTAATTACCGTAGACCAAGTACTATTACTAATAAAGACCGCTATCTACTTCCGCTTATTAATAAGATATTAGACTACCTATTAGGTGCCTACTTCTATACTACGTTAGATTTAAAGGATATATACTATTTTATCCGTATCTATAAAGATAGCGAATAGAAGACTATATTCTATACCCGCTATAGCTATCTTAAATACTTAGTAATGCCTTTTCAAGTTAGGCTAGCTAATGCCCCTACGATATTCTAATCCTATATTAATAGGGCTTTGTCTAGTCTACTAGACTACCTATATATCGTCTATCTTAATTAATAATAAGTTTGTAGGAAACATCGACGACTATCCGCTATATCTAAGCATCTTTTAGACTACGAGGGTGCCGTTTCGATCGATATTCTTCTAAGAAAAGGTCGTAGAATAGACTATCTTAAATAACTGCTAGTTAATAGAGTACTTCTTAACTAAGGATAAAACCTATATACCTCTAATACCGGACGAGTTTCTAATCGACCTAAATAGATAGAAAGTCTGTATTAGAGGCAGTAGAGAACAGGTATAGTCTTTTACAAGCGCTAAAGATATAGCTAAGTCTCTTATCGCAATTCTATATATACTATAATAGGTTAGTATAATCCTTACTACGCTTCCGTAGTAACTATCCGATTAATCCTTGTTCTAGGAGCCTACGACCTTTGTCTATAGGTAGTAGGCCAATTTCAACGAAATAGTCGTCCTAATAGAAGACTTTTACGGTATATAATATAGTACCTTCTAACCGAGCTCGACTAAAACCGAGGTAGGCAAACCTTTACCTAAGTCGTATCGATCGATAGAAGACATTCGTTAGGATTAACTACTACCGCTAACGCTAGAGAATAAGGAGAAGCTTCTTCTTGCAAGTATAGATAAGATAATAATTACTAGGTTAGGAGCTTGTCCTTACGAGAAGACGCTTCGTTAGAGGAAGAAATTCTTTAGTAATATTAAATTTACGACGGTAAAAGAGCTTTTAACGCGATATAACGACCCTCGGTATAAATCACATTTATAGAGCTACTTAATCTAGATATCAAATGCGTAGATCGTGTCTAAAGATTAACTAGTAATATATTAAGTACTTCGCAAGTCTAAAGGCCTACCGTAGATATCGTTAATTAATAAAGTTATATATAAGTTTAGTAGTATTCATTGTAATCCTATAAATTAGATGTCGCCTAAAGGCTTCGTTAAGCAATATTAGAGCCTCGAAGTCCGCAAATAAGCCGAGCTAAAGATTCGTACTCTGTTTCGAAGAAATCGTAGGTTGCTCTATATCGCTTTAGCGACTTACGTCGACCTTATAAGTATCTCCGCTATTAGAGTAGTTTTTATCGAAACAAGCTCGCCGTCTTCTATAGTAAGGATGTCTTATAAAGCCTAAAGACATTGTTCTAGCCCGATGCGGTCTATATAAGATATAAGTAGCGACTACTATTCTTCGGAGCTTATCGAACGAAGCTCGTAGCTAACTTCTTCGCCGACAATATACTAGAAGTCTCGTATAACAATTCCGTCTAGAACTTTAATAGTTATATCGGCATCGTTAGATTGCTACTAGTATAGGTCGCAAATAACTTTTGCTACTCTCGTTATATCCGTAATATAAAGCTAACTATTCGATACGCTACCGTTATAGATACGAAGCTCGAGTACGCTTCTAGTTAGTCTCTAGATATAGTCGTTAGGGCTCGTTACTCTGCTTATTATATCCCTAATAATGTAGCTTAGCTTCACTACCTTTATTATATATATCTGTCCTTCTAAGCCTTATACAGTTCGTCTCGTTAAAAGCTTAGATATAAGCTTAGTTTATAAATATCCCGTAGAACGATAACTAACTATAGAGAGTAGAGTATCCTCGGGATTAGAAGTATCTATCGTAAGGTCTTAGCCTCTAGACATATATAAAAAGCGATATAGTATAGTACGAGCTGCGATTAAGCGTAAAAGCTAAGCAGTCGATATAACGTTTACAGCTCTTAGTGCTTAGTATACCTTATTCTAACGTACTAAGGCTCCGTAGTAGATTATAGCGTTATAGGGACTCTAGTAACTTGCTAGCTTGTCCTAATACGAGCTATATAGTAATCCTAGATTAACTTAACTAATATCTCCCGGCTAGATCTCTAGACGGTAGTTATTCTTTATATACGGCAGTTCTATCTTCTCGGCGGTAGACAAAACACGCGCGAGACCGTCTTATAGATTTTTGCATCGTATAATAGCAAATACCGTCTCGATATCTATATTGCGTAGTAGATAGGATAGGATTATAATTCTAAGGAATCCTATACATCCCGTAAGTAGCATACTCTTTATATTCGTACGAGTTCCTAAGCGGCTACTAGTTAATAGAGGCTTAGCATCTAAAACGCTCTTAGAAAGTATTTCTAAATCTTTTAGGAAGCTCGCTTTTTAGACTAAATCCCGTTTAAGCTTAGGTAGTCGGCGGCTTTTAGAGGCCTCGATAATCCGGGCTAAAGATTCTACGGTTATACCTAGTTCTATTATTAATTAAACCGAGAGCTTAGCTCCGTACTCTCGTTTAATCTATTTCGCTAATATAATAACCTTTATAGAATCTATCCTAGCAGATTCTAAAGAAATGTTTTAAGCTTCTAAAGGGAGTCGAATATACTAATATTAAGGGGCAACAATCGCTACTACCTTTCTAGTAATAGCTAGGGCTAAGGTATCGTGCTTTGAAACTTGGTTGTTACCTTTAATTGCTCTTAGTTATAAGGAAGCAGGTAAATAATCGATCTAATAGAGCACTTTTTATCGATTAATCTTCTTAGATTCGGTTAAAGGAATGTAGGAGACTAGAAGCTATATAGAAGGTATTATATACGTAGGAAGTCGATTCCTTAAGTAATTAGTAGAGTCGACGAATAATAGGCTAGCTTAATCGTCCGATAGTAGCGTAAGAGGCGGCCTATACGAGGTCTTCGTATCATTGCGTTTCGTAATAGGCTCAAAGATGGCTACAAGACGGTCTTTATATTTTGCTACCAAAATCTTGGCTCTCCATGTCGATGATAGCAACACCTTGAGCTGTGAAATGCTCACTGATGTGCCGGTCATCGCGGCTAGTCAGCAGCCACCTTACCCTACGAGAGGCTGGCTCCAGGTTATGGAGAGTGAATGCATAATCCCGTAGTTTGGACAACAGTGCAATGGTAGACTCGCTGACCTCCAAGAAATGGATGTTGCTAATGATCACATGAATGCTGCTGACCACCGGATCTTCCATGATATCTTGCAAACACTTCCAAAGGTTGTCCACAGTCGCTGTTGCCTTGGCACCAGAGTCTTGCAAATCATAATCGATCTCAGTCGAGGCGCCTCGGTAGCGAGGAGTTGGCACGAACCATTTGGCATGCTGCGCCAACGACTCTTCCTCGTTGATGAGCTGAGTGATGATGCTTTTCAGGATGTCCTCGGCGGTACAGCATCCCGATGATTCTTCGCACATGAAGTAGACCAGAAAAGTCTCGCTGTGGCTTGCTGTGACATCCACGTGCTGATCTGCCACAACGTGATCGATTTCTTGTATCGCGGAAAGACATGCATTGGTTTTTCCGAGGCCAGGCCCACCTTTCAACCACAGAAATGAAGCTGAGTTCTTGTTTCCATCGCCAATTGTCATCCAGTCAATGTAGATGCGCTCTGAAAGTAGCCAGGATGCAATCTTGCGCTGCTTGATTCTCGCGCGGAATTTGTGTCGCATATCCACGCCTTCTAGGGACAGTCGAACTTGATTGATGAACTTTTGGGTCAATAGCTTCTGACCGAAGGCCATCGTACGCCTTCTGACGCCCACCCTGGCCATTTTGATCATTCTGTCCAAAGCGATTCTGACAGCATTGAATTCCTTACCATCGACACTTTCGAATCTAATGAGGTTGGCGTGACCGGCATTCAAGCCGACGCTATGAGCTCCTGGAAGTGAGGCGGACTGCGGATCCACGAAAAACTATCTTGCTGTCAGCAAGTCACGTCGAGACGGGGGTTGAAGACTGACGGTGCTGGTTCCGAAGGCTGAGAGCCCAACTTCCATAACTCTTTTAGCGCCTGTTTTGAAAAACTTATGCTGCAAGAGGCCAGGCAGGTTGGAGGTGACCTTTCCGGCATACGATACGGCAGTCTCCTCCATTTCCCAGGCGCAGAACAGCTCAATGGGCGGGACCAGCTTGCTGCTGATTTCTATGAAGTCTTCCGTGGTCTCTTCCAGCACGTCGTTCTTCTCAGTTTTCATGAATGAGAGCAATGATTCATACGCTTCATGGCCGAACACCGAGCTGTAGAGCAGGGCAATTTTGGCCATGTCAGAGCCGTAAAATGGTGCTCCAAACAGGGCGCATCCCATTGTACAAGTGACGAGGGCCTCATATTCTTTCTTAGCTCTGGCCATACACAATGTCTAGAAAGTGTCAGCACAAGGTCCGGGTGCTTGGGACCAGGCATACCTTGGCAACCACAATGCCGCCCATGCTATGTCCAATGAAGATTAAAGGTCGAGTGATCTCGCCGCCACTCTTTCGATGGTCCTTGAGATCATCGAGCAGCCAGTTGCAGATGCTCTTCATCGTGGCCCTCACCCTATGCTTTCCCTGCCAGGCCGAAGCATAATCGTATAGCATGACTCTGGCCTTCGGGAAGAGCTTAGCGAGGCCATCATCGTCGCGGATCCAGTTGAATTGTCGCGCTTTGGTGCCGGGTGTGGCAGCTTCAGAACGACCGGCATTCTCTGCCCAGGTCCAACATTCTTGTGGATTTGTGCCCAGCCCCGGGATGGCAATGATACTGTCTCGCAGTCAACGAAGGAAATGCCGAGGGCACCACGACAAGCGTACTCAATCTCTGCATGACGGGGATTGTGAAAGACTGTGATGCCTTGACCGAGCCTTCGAGTCACTTTGGTTGTCTTCGATCGTTGGTCCTCCCCATCGGCAGCCATTGCGTCTCAGGAGTAAGTACTCTGCAACAGCAGCCCGCTTGCAAAGAGCAAAGCAGTTCACTGTTCATGCTCACTGCTGGGACGTAATACATTGCAGATGTCGCCATGTACCGTAAGGCTGGCCGGGGGCCCCTCCTGCATGGGGTCATAGGACCGTTGCCCGATCGAGCGGACACGGCTGGGTGCGTGGGAGGAGGCTGCAGCCTCCCATAAGGGGACTTAATCACGACATGTCGATTTCCGAGACGATCGAAAGCGCCACGGCGCCACGAATCCCAACCAGCGCAAGGCGGACGTAACCATTGCAGCCCGTCCCCAAGGCTGAAACTCATTTGAGTTCATGTGCCTAGAATATTGCCCAGACATGATGGAAGATGGTCGAGGTCGGTGGCACAGGGCAGCCTCCAGATCGTGCCGTGATGTGGCTTTTGTGGACGTGAATGTGGACCTGAATCTACCCGATCTCATGCTCCAGGTAGAACTATGCCATCTGGCACTGTTGTTGGCGACAGACGAATCCGCCCGCCTTCAATGGACCTCCCCCCTCCTCCGCGGCAGCCTGAGGCATCCATCGAAGCCACCTTCCCCCCGAACTTCCGCCCAACAGCACCAACACCTCCTCTCCAAGCCCTCGAATTCCTCGAACAAGACCTCGCCAGCCAGCGTCTGGACAATGCCTCGCCTTACCTCTGGATGGTCGGACGGCCCCTGCCTCCACGACCGTTAAACAAACAGCTCGTCCTGGACCGCAGAATAATCCCAACAACAGACGCCTCGCTCCACCTGGTCTGGACTTCACGCAAGATCTTCGTCAAGCCTCTACCGGAATGCATGCTCTTGACTGCGCTCTACGAACATCTGTACATGAAGCCTTCGGACCTCCGCGGCCGGACTCTCGGCTTCCTTCACACGTATACGGCTCTGGTGCCAACGAAGCTGGACTTCGACCTTGCGGTTGAGAATAAGCTCATGCCTTCGAGCTACGCGTGGATGGACTGGAAGAAGCTGGTCGAAAGGATACTGGAAGATTACCCCGGGGACGACATATATCCGCATCTTGACCTTCGATACGTGTATGGCGAACTGCGTCTAAGCCGGCTGAACAAAATATATCGCTTCATACTCGGAGACTGGTTACATGGGTATTCGCCTTTGACAGGACACACACGCTACATCGATCTCGTCATCGACCATCTGAGCGTCATAGCAGCCGGCACAGTCTACATTGTGGTTGTCCTCAGTGCCATGCAAGTCGTGCAAAGCACGAAGATCTTGGCCACAAATCACGCCTTTCAGAGGGCATGCTACGGCTTTGCCGTCTTTTCCATCATCTCTCCAATCCTCGCATTCGCCTTGCTAGCAGCTATACTCATAGCGATGTTCATTGCCAACTTGCAAAGAACATTGAAGATGCAAGACAGGCGCTTTGAAGACCTTGGGGTAAAGCCTCCGCTCAAGCCTGGTTTTGGCAAGACCACGGACGGTGTTCTATCCGCTTGAATGGCTTCTAAATAGCAGTGTCAACTTGGACAGCCGCACTAAACTTGCACACGCTTCGCTTTAATCAAAACACGCTCCAACTCCGAATGCCTCTCATTCCTAGCGGTGTCGCGAACCAGCGCCGGCGTGATGACTGCACTTCTTTCCGAGACGGCATCAAAATTCCTCCAATCGAAAATGAACAAAGATGGTTGCGTAAACAATAAAATTCCAGTCTCGCTCGCTTGATGCAGGATTTGATGCAAACTCTCCACACGATCAGCATCGCTTTTGCCACCAAGGGCCCATGGCGAGAGTGCGTTGGTCAGGGTTCGGACTGCAGAGTCGATGTTCGCGTCGAGAGTTCGACGGAAATCCGGATCGTCTCTGGCACTCGGAAGGAGATGGCCTGTGAGCACGCGCCACTGCGAGAATGCTTCGGGTAGATCTGTTCGAATCAGCATCACGTATGGGTATACAGAATGGAAAGACCTACTTTTCGTGGCTTCATCTCCCTCCCTTTCCAGGTGCCATCCACTCTTTGCTGGAATCTTGGTGTATTCGAGAGGCAGCAAAGACTCTTGGGGATCTGAGCGTAATGATATTTTGTGAACAATCCATCGAGTCACGATGCCCTCAAGAAGCGGCGAAGGACTGCTGGCCTTCAATAGAAGCGGTGAGAGCTTGACTGACGAATATGTCTCAAGCGACTGTATCTGATCGATTGCCAGCTTCGTAGGGCTTGAATTATAGTACCCTTCGATATGAATCTGAACGTGCTCGAACATGGACTTCACACTTTGCACAATTGTGCCGTCGTCTTTCTCTTGCGGCAAATGCTTTTCCCAGCCAGTCACCTTATCCCCTTTCATCGGGATTGCTGGTGTGTCAACAATGGGGTCTTCGCCAGTCGGCGCTCTCGAGCTCCAGTCCTTGGAACCAGCTGCAACTGCGGAACGTCGTGACCTCCGCTGTCTCACCAAGAGCCAGGCCACGAGAGCACCAATTAGAAGGCCACCAAGGAGGGCACCTGCGATTGCACCGCCGAGCTGGGACCCGTCGAAGTCCTTGCCCGATCCTGTGTTAGAAGTGGGCGTACTAGAGGAGCTCGTGGCAGATGTGGATACGCCCATTGATGTCGGACCTACTGAGGTAGTAGCCTGAGACGCCGAGCTGACACTGTTGCTTGCATCCGTTGCCGTCGCCGATGGGCTCGTCAATGCACGCTGCAATTGTTCGGCAAGTGAGGCCACATTTAGTGAGACTGGAATAGTAGCAGTGTAGGGGATGTACAGAGTCGAACCCGGAGGCAGCGAATACGTGGTGTCGAGATTGGTGATAGGCGATGTGCCTGCCCAGGCCTCTGTCGGTGTTGGCGGAGAGGCGGGTGAAGCCGAAGTCAGAATCGTCATGAAAGATGATAATGGCACATCGTGGGTGGAATCCTCGGTATTCGATACAGGAATCCAGATTGCAAAGCCTTGAGCGGTGAGGGTACCATTCACTGTCTTAGGCGTATCAGGCAGCGTGGCTGTGAGGATGGGAAGAGTGGACGGTAGGTGCAGAGTGGTGGCCATAACAAGAATGTGGGAGAAAATCTGGTGCTGAAGCAGTAGTACCGTGTGAAGCAGGAAAATGGGATACTGGGGAGGCTTTCGGCCAAAGCTGGGCCACCAATCCCACACACTAGCTAATCTGGACCACAGTGGCTGAAGAAAGGCTGAGAAGTCAAAGTCAAATCTGGAGCGGGTAGGGGTGGTGTGGTCGTCACACAAATACGCAGGCCTGTACTGTATCATCACAAGCCACACAGCTCGCAGCTCGGTCCGGAAGGCCATGGTTTGCTCTGAATGGAATGGCCCCGTCCTCGCATGCTTTCATTGACATCGTACTTGCTTTTTGGCGTGTGGCCCGTGCTGAGTTGCTGGAGTCGCCTCGTATTGCTCCCATACCAATGTCGGCTGCCACATGAAGCCAAAACTGAGCAGCGGTGCATGCCCGCCATATCGTGGGCCTCGTATCGCATCGCGCACTGGGCGTGCGGAACATGGCGTGGCATTATGGCTGGCTGCGTGTAGTGCACCGTGACCCACATCACATGCACGAATAGCGTGACCATGGATCTAGATCGACGGCTGAACAGAATCGTGCTGCATCTCGCACTGGTTCCGGAGATGGCCGTTCAAGTGTGTTTCCCGTCCAGCCTGCGAGACCTTGGTTGTGCCATTGGTACAGTCTCCTGCATGTGGATTCCGTCGAGGCGACCGGTGTAGGTCCTCGCGCACAGCATCACGCCCGCCCCTGTTCCATGTCTCGCTCTTGCTATCATTTGGAGTACTGGTGTCCTGGTGCGCTATCGTTTGCCTTGTGGGCGCCGCTGCCTGAATCTGACTTCTGCGTGTGTTCCCACGGGAAGCTCTCAGGCTTTCTTCATATTTTCTTTCATACAGCTACTCTGCGACGGATCGGTGGTTCTCGTTGCGATGGCAGCTCGAAGGCCTGATATTGTTGTTGGTATCGATGTTGGCCAAACGTGTTCGGTGCGTGCGAGATGGAGATGGCGATGGCGATCGAAAAGCTTGGCTCGATTACTAATGACCGCAGGGTGTCGCGTACTCCATTGGACCTGACTGGCACCACCCTCGCACCATCAACCTCTGGCCCGGCTCTCATGGCAATATCAAGGCAGACAAAGTGGCTACGGCCGTTGGGTACAGTCGAGAGAAGGACGGCGTACAAGCATGGGGCTTTGAGTGCATGTTCGGCGACGCGAAACTTGAGGTTCGGGAGCAATTCAAGTTGACCTTGGACCATGACTACGAAGACTATCGAGGCTTCGAATCCCATCACGCGAGACGCTGGTATGGCGACTACCTTAAATGCCTGTACGCGGAGATCGTCAAATTCTTCAACGACTCTGTCCCCAAGTGGCACAGTCTCCATGTTGAATACAGCTTCAGCACTCCCACCACCTGGACCAACCCGGCTATGATCGCGAGTATCGAGGGTCTCATCAAAGCAGCCGGTTTTACGAGTACGCCACGCCAGACAGTACGCATGGGACTGACGGAAGCCGAAGCGGCCGCCATTGATGCTTGCAAGACAAAATATGCCAGCGACGATGTGTTCCTCATCTGCGATGTATGAGATTCGCGACCTGGCCGGGCGAATTGAACTGACTCTTCTCTAGGCTGGAGGCGGCACCACAGATGTCAATCTGCTGAAAGTCAAGTCGCTCGACGACGACCAGGTTGAACTAGAACCGCTGGATCATGTGGAGGGAGTTCCGGTCGGATCTACTCTCATCGACTATCGCATGGCAGAGCACATAGTTCAGCGGCTTGAACCGATTGCTGATTACCTGGACGGTGATTTGTACTGTCTCGCCGAGGAGATGCTAACTGGCAAATTTCAGACCATCAAGCACTCCTTCCCCAAACCGCTGGTAGATCAATACTGGCTAGATGTGAAAGGCTTGGCAGGTGCGCAGAGCTTCCCTGATGTTGGCATCAAGGACTCCCGAATGTCGATAGCTCGTGAGACCTTGAAAGGCATCTTTGATCACCAGGTGTCGCAAATCTTCGAGCTGATCGATGGACGGCTCTTGGCGCTTCAAGAAGAGTTTTTCAACCTACAAGTCTCTTACATCATCCTCTCCGGTGGCCTTGGCAGTTCTCCATACCTTTACGACCAACTCAAGAGACGGTACGAGAAGAACGAGGGATTCGCCTCTAACAATACGGCATTGATCCGTATCATGAGAGTACTAGAACCGTGAGTCTTGCACCAAGCTATGGCATGACGGCTATTCTGATTCAATACAGACAGCTTGCTGTTGTACGTGGCTTGGTGAGAGAACGTACGCAACAACTTGGCAAAGGACCAAGCGCTGGACAAGACGTCTATAAGACCAGACATTGTCGAAACAGCTACGGTGTAGCTGTTCGTGAACCATACAATTTTGCAAAACACGGAATGGTGTCCACGATCAAGGGAAATGATGGCCGAGAGTGGGTTGAGAATTGCATCGAGTAAGTGCTTCTCAGCGTCGCATGGCTCATAATCTAATTATCACACAGCTGGTTCATACGTCAGGGACAAACCATCACCGTATCCGACGGTATCGGCCGTAAATACCGATCCACATTAACCAAAGAAGAACTCGATGTTCCTCGAACCGTTCGAATAGTGATGTCCACCTCGTCGCCTGGCCAGCTTCCGATACGTACAACCGATTCCAACTGCAAAGAGGTTGTGCTCGTAAATTACAGGCTAACTGCCAACGACATGACCAAAGTCGAGTCCTGGACATTGAAAGACGCATGGTCAAGCAAAGGGCGAAAGCTGAAGCAGAAATATTGGAAAACAGAGCTCTCATTTGTTGTCAAGCCTGGTCCGGCTGACCTGAGGTTCGAGGTACGGGGAAGTAATGGACTCGTAAGTACAGATCACGACAGCCTCAGTGTTGAATTCCTGGACTGTCCGCCAAAGGCTCGAGTGGATAGCGGACACGCTGCAGGGACGTTTGTGTACGGCTGAGCAGACCAGGCATAACAATACCAATTTTTCTTGTACCCACTTTGAAATTACATAAAAACTGCAATTGGAGACGAGCCCGAACAAGTCCGAAAGGCGAATCACGATGCAATACCTGCGGCTCATGTGAGGCTCCGATGCGAGGACGGGCGAGAATTCCTGCCAGGCATATGGTAAGGCTGGCACCTGCCTATTCGAGTTAGAGCCACAGCTGACAATAGCCTGAATAAGGTTCGACCACATAAATCCACGAACGCCACAGTCACCCATGTCGAAGGCAACGAAGGCAACGACCGGCTGCGCCGAGCCGTGCGACCTCTGGGCAATGCGTATCACAAAGGCACTTGTTAGCGTGATGCTGGACATTCGCTAGCTGCATTGCTCAATCTCCTCCTGCTCTCCAAACGATCATGGCTGCTTCGACGCACTCGCTAGAGCGACTCCAGCCTTTCCCATTTCTTTGTGGGCCATGGGAGAGTCTGTTCTAGGACCTCCCGCGTGTAGAACAGGGTGTGGCTTATTATGCATTAGCGAAGCCGGTCGGAGACCAGAATGAGGACCGTGCCAATGCCTCCTGATCAATCCAGTATATTGGGGACGGACTTTTGCGAGAATCACAGTAAATGTGCCTTTGACGAGTAGGCCGGAAGGAAGCACTACCGAGCGACTTCTCGAATGCATAAGACACACTGTATAGCCTCAGTCATCCTTCAGACTGCTTGCTAGTCGCATCTCGCCGCTGGCCTCTTCGCTGCTTTTCCAATTTTTCACCATGGAGACTACACTGTACATACCCTCAGAGAGCCCTATCTGGACCCAGGGTTTAGATCCGTACGATGATGGACTTGTGACAGCAATCTCTGGAACTACGACAGTGAGCAACGATTTTGTCCTTTTAATTCCCGCTACAATCACGAGATCGACCACGCTTGCCCTTCCATCGCTCGTGTCGGGGCTTCTGGGTTCATCAACAGACACCATAAGTGATACCTGGGGTGCCGGTTATGGGCGAGACCCTGACTGGACAGCTTTCGGTATTACGAGCGAAGTCACTCTTCCTCCGGGGAGTACTCTCCTGGTTCCCTACATCGCTACTGTTCCAACAGTGGTGTCAGCGAGAGACTACATAGCTAGATTGGCAAGCGCGCTGGAGGATACCACGACCACGGCAATAATTACCAAATATATATCCTCAACTGCCACATCAAAATCGACCTCGTCAGCTACATCATCCACATCCTTTGACTCTGTGTCGAGTGCGTCGGGCAGGACAGTCCCAACGATACCGTCACCAACCGAGTCTCCAGATGCAAGCTTTCAGGAAAGAAGCCATGGGCTAAGCACTGGAGCAAAAGCAGGAATAGCTGTTGGCGCGATCATAGGCGTCCTAGCACTCGCGTCGGCAGCATTCCTCCTCTGGCGAAGGAGAAGAAAGAATTCATCAGGGAGCCACGTGTACGCATCAGGATTCGCAGAACCAAAGCTTCGCAACGAAGAGAAACCCGCGGTCGAGCTTAGCCAGTCGCATATTCGACAAATTTGATAACTTCTTTTGGGGAAGGCGAAGTTCACACAGTGCTCGGAAGATTGTGAACTTGAGAACTGTATCATAATATCAAACAGTTAGTTATTTGGCCAGACTCCGGCATTTTCTCCGCGCTGCTCTTGCCCAAACCCTTTTTCTACCATATGGATCAGAAAAGACGCAATGGCATTGTAAAAGAACAGGGCTGAAAATAGGAAGAGCACAGAGCCAAAGCAAACAGCCACTAACACAAGAGCACCAACTGCAAAGCGGTAGCAGATATTATTGTTCAGCTGAGAGGGCTTGTCATCAACACTAACAATGACCTGCATCGCGCTCAAAATGGTCGTCAAGAATGCGAAAACCGTGATGAACGTCTTAAAGTAATAGCTGAAGTACGTCGCATATTCGCGATGACTGGTGATCTCGCCGTAGCAGCTTTGAATGGTGTAGCGCAGAAATGTTGTCGAAACTCCCGGCGATCCCCATTCAGCTGTGGATCTCGTTGAGAACGTGCATTGAAAGATGTCGTTTGATTTTTTCGCACGAGAATCGGTCATCATAGTTCGAAAGATTGTCGATACATCCTTGTGAGGTTCCTAGGAGGTTGGGAAATGATGTGACAGCTGTGTTTCGGTGAGAGTTGCTGGCTCCGGTTCTCATTGTTGGCGAGATGGGTAGCACAGTCCGCAAGGCTCGGCGTCATCTCCAGAGAATCGGTGGCCATGGTTGGAAAGTCAGCGGTAATGTCTTGATGGCGTCCCTTCGTCGAGTAGCAGACCATCACGCAGCGCTGGATCGTCAGATTCGTCCTAACAGGATTGCATGTCTTTCCGAGCGGCACAGCTCTTCCGCCGCAACGTAGTGCTGAAATTGGCAAGTGTTCGTCTGATATGGGACCTCGAACTCCCACGCTTCTTCAGATGTTTCAACGCAGCAGGTTCGCTCAACTTCATTTCAACTCGTTGAAACACATTTGCGATAAGGCCGACAGGGCGCGGCAGAAACCAGGCCACAGCCATTTTCAGCACAGTCAACGAGTTCATCAATCACATTGTCACATCCATATCTCTACTTTACTCTCACAAATATCCAAGCCCACCGCCTCCAATAATCTCCAAATCACTTCTCAACCCCCAAGCACTGACACCTGCTCTACCGAGAACATCCGCTCTGCGAGCAGCGCCAAGTTCATGGATTCTTCTCACAAGCAGACCATCGACCACACCGCGAGCACCGCCGAAACTTTCTGATTCAATTGATCGGTAAGCTCGAGGGTTTAGACCAGCCGCGTGCTCCAAGATTGAGGTCAGGTGTGTCTGTAGTGCCGACAAGCGTCGATATGCTTGTTCATCGAGAGGGGTGATGAGACCGATAGCACCAGATGTTGAGGAAGTGAGGACATGCTGTAAAGGATCTGGCTTTACCTCGGCCTTGGAACCGCCGTTCATCATCTCGTGTTGCTGGGCTGCGAAGGAGGCCAAAGTCGAAGGCAACAGCATGCTATTCGTGGTAAAGTGGCCGATGTGGAAAGTGCTTCGATGGAGCAGTCTCATGCCGTTCAGACTCTTTGGATTCTCGGGATCGTACTGCAGGACATGCATGTCGCAATCGGCATCGAGGACCACGATGTAGAGTGCTCCATCGAAGGGCAAGAATTCTGCAGACATGACTTCCATATGCATCTTTGGGGCTTTTCCGAGCACGGTGACTCGGTAAGGCTCCTCAGTGAAGCCTCCGAACCAGAGTCCTTTCCATGCGTCTCCAGCTAGCCACATACCACGACCTGGAAGGGTCTTGAGCACGTGGGTATAGCTTTGCGCGTCAAGGAATGCAACGGGTAGGCACGATCCGTCCTCCTTCATGCCCCGAATCATCACCTTCAGTCCTTGAGCTGTGCCGATGAAGCCACCAGGGAAAGGTCCGGCGAGCGCCGTAATGGCACCTCTATTTTCTTCTCGCGCGAGCTGGTGCAGTTTGACGCCAGATTCGGCAATGTCTGGATCTGGGACCACGTCGATGATATCGTAGACGTATAGAGTGCCTTTCGCAGGCATGTCTTCGCCACGTTGTGCAGCAGCAGATACCACAACCAGCGGCTTCTGTTCATGCGTGTTCTCGGATGCCTCGAGCATCATGACTTGTAGGTCGGTGATTGCTGCTAGGTATGGCATATGAACGGTGTCAATGATGTGGTGTGAAATTGCCGAGATGAGATGCACGTTGTATTGCGGTACTTTGGGTCGAAGCGTAATGTCTAGAAGAGGTGTCAGCTCCGTTATGGATTCAGCCACCAACGGAACCCAAAAAGGCGTTGCGGATGGACGAATTGAAAGTGAAAGCTAGTTGGTCTAGCAGCCTCTTGTAGACCCTGCACTCCACTGACCTGGAGAGAACGTGATGCTTGAAGAGGTGCACAGGTGGTTGGAGGGAATTTTGCAGCACTGAGAGAGAAAACGCAGGGTAGGAGGGAGTTGACTTACCATCTTGTTCAGGATGTCGCCCGTCCTCTTCGGCAAAGTAAAAGTCGACCTCTCTGCACGTAGCCACTACGTAGAGTCCTCTCTCTTCATGATAAGCGATACGCCGAACGTCCTCAATCTGGTTTGGATGTCCAATGGGGACTTGGTGTACGCTCCACCCTGTGCCGTACCACGTGTTCAGAGGAAGTTGCTGCTCCTCCAGCTCCTCATCGGCATTAATCATAAAGAAGCCATTCTCGCATCCCACTCGGTTGATTGGGCAAAGCATGCTCAGACGATTGAGTTCTGCACTTTGTCTAATCTCTAGGACCTTGGGTAGAGTCGAAGGCTCCTTCAGCAGCAAACAAGGCGGGGCGCCAGGAATCGCAATTGCACTGTAGGTATCGATCTTGACGCTCTTGAGGGGTGGCGGACGGGCGCTCTGTGACTCTGCAATGCTTTCGCTGTATTTGGGTATGTGGGAAAAGGGAACCTTCCGAAATCGCAAGTCTTGGTGCCAGGACTTCCGTCCTGATGTTTGAGGATAGTGAAAAGGTTCGTAAAGTACAACATCGTCCATAGCTGTTCGAAGGACCAGGTACGGCTGCGTGACACCATGTTGACCAAGATCGGAGACGAGCACCTCCGTCAATGTCTCTCTGGTACCGGCCCTACGCTGCGCCGCGTCGACGGCAATCACTGGTGGAAGGTGAGGTAGGGTGGGAATGGCGAACAAAGGTTGAAGATCAGGTAAAGCGAAAGCATGCAGACCGCCATCAGCATTGAGCAGGAAAACCGCAGCAGACCCTTGCGTCAATGTGCCGGCGTAAAGCGATCCAGTGAGCCACTTCTTCTCTGCCACGCTTCCTTCAGCTTCGAGTGGTTCCAGCTCGTTGCCCTGGACCGAGAGAATCTGAATGCTACTGTCGTCACGAATGACCAGTACGTATGGATCGCAGACTGCGATGTGGACGATGTTTAGCTCATTCTCTGCTTCGTCTTCCATGGGCAGAATTTGATTCATGGCCAAGTTCGCATCGTACGTTCGCACCTCCTGCTTGCGAAATTGGACTATGATCTTGCCGTCAGCGAGGGCCACGACCTCTAAAGTCTCTCCCTCGCTTTCCCACTCTGACTTGGCATGTTCTGGATACCTGTCCTCAACGAAATGTTCATCGGCAGAAGAAATTTCGTAAGCTTTTGTGTTGGCGCCTTCGAACACGAAAAGCTTGTTGTCCAAGGTAGACTCGTCTCCAGCTTGATGGGCACGAACGGCCCATGCACTCTTCGCGTTCTCAAATCTGCTAGCGCGACCTGGAGTAGGCACGACATCGCGATTCAGCAGAGTGAGTCTGCCAGACTGCTTTCGACCTGTGGCAGCAGCAAGCTGTAACTTGTCGCTGCTCTTGCCTTGCCGACCGACACACATTCGATGTATAGGTCCAAGAGACTGCAGATGGTCTCGAATCTCGAATTGGTACGCGGCATTTGACGAACCAAGCTCGGTGTCAGATACTGCGCGCTTCTTTGCCTCTGGTGCAGCATCGTACAGGTCGTCGTCATCCTCTTCTATGGCGTCTTCATCTTCCTCGTCGCCATCTTTACCTAGCATTTGAGCATGAGAGCGTTTCCTGGTAAGTGGAGCTGTAGGCTGGGACCAGCCCATCAGCGATGACGCGCCATCCTCGCTACCAATAAAGACACTACCGTTTGCTAGATTCGCAATGCACGAGGGCGCAGCACTGAGAGAAGTGACACCATTGTCTTCAGTAACTGGCGTGACATTTATTGCGCTTATGCTACGGCCTAGCAACTTGAACTCGATGATTGCCAATGCGCCATCACTGGTCACGAGCAGAAGTTGACCCGATTTGGGGTCAATGGTCTCAATGCTGCAGTCCTCTAACTTAAGATTGAGATGGGATTGATCCGACATGCCAAAGTCGCTTTCCAGCTTGGCGAACTCATTGACTGCAGTGGCGTTGGCCTTCCCGCTTTGATCAACATGCACCAGCTCATTTGTGCCGACTAGTAGTGCGCCACCGATTGGTAGGGGTAGAGGTTTCACCTTCCAAAGTGTTGAGGGAAGCTTTGGAACAGTGATGAGATTTGTGGACGCTCTCTGCTCCAAGTCGAGAGTGTAGACAGTGTATGTCAAGACGTCCTTTCGTTCTTCGAGAAGCGCGTTTGAGGGCTCCATTGGCGCGGAAAGTATGCCGAAAGTCGGTTCTCTGTACTCGTGCAAAAACGCCAAATGCACGGTATGACTCAAAGTTGGATCAAGAGCTGTGAGAGGCAGCACGAAAGAAGCCTTGTATGGTGTTTGCTCCTCTTCGCCGTTGAGATGGGTCGATTCTCGACGCTTGCTTACAGCCGACATGGGCTCATTCTCAAATCCATCTTCTTCCTCTTCGCCCGCTAGTTCATCCCCAAAGTGGCGGAAAGGCAGGATAGCCAGTTGCCTGGCGCCGAACTTCAATGCCGCGCATCTCGAGCTCGGGTCGACGGTTAAGATGCTCTCAGATTCGGCGAGTGTAGGTCCGAATGGAGGCGTGATGACGTTGTCGCCCTCGTAGTAGTGAAGACTGATTGTGCTGATTCGATGGTTTTCTGGGTCCCATTCAACCAGACTCAATTTGGCATCTCGGAATGCGATAATGATGGCATCGCCGCCGCTGGCATTGTCGCGCGGTTTAGTTCGGGCAAGCGAGATGACGGTGCCGGCGAGAGGATACTCGGCCACGAGGGAGAGTTTCTGGTCGACATTGAAGACCTGGAGCAAGGAGGTCTTTGCGACAACAAGATTGTTGCTGCTGGCGCTCAGCAGCGAGCAGGATAGCGCATGAGTGACTGCTGTCGGCGGCAGTAGCTCGCTATAGCACTGCATGCTGACGGCGACAGCTCATATGCAGAGCATCGAGGTGGTGGTGGTGGTGGTGTTGCACATGGTAGAGCTCGCGTCTGATGGTGAGAGAAGTCGAGTCGCGTTAGAGCCGAGCGTGCTACCTAGAATTTGATGGGCAATTTGATTGATGACACAGTATTCTAACCAGATTTGGCAGCCGCGTTCTTGCAGCACGGTGACGTTGACGTTTGATTGACGGCGCGTAAAGCTTAATGCCAACTACTTGCTCCTCTGCTGCCTTGCTCGCTCTGCTCTGCCTGGTCAGTGGGAGACGCGTGGAGGATCAGAAGAAATCTGTCGAGCGGAGGGCAAGGACGGAAGAGAGAATCAACGACCATCACGCCGCTTCCCGACACGCGCCGCCCGACGAGACAGCTCCACTCCACCTGCGCGCGGGCACACGACGAGCTCTTCCTCAAAGCCCTTCACCCTGCTTGGTGCAACATCCCTCCAACATGGCGCTCATTGAGACGTCGCTGATATGGGTCGCATACGCCGTGTGCATTGCCATCCTATTCTTCGTCAGTGCCATCTTCGTGTACACATACCAAAAGCCAGGCGAGCGAACAGTCGCCGTAACTATCATATGCTGGATCACAGTGCTCTCACTGCTGGCGACCGTACTCCTCATGCCCGTAGATATCGCCCTTGTCAGCAGTACGACTTCGAGGAAATTGGGCCGGAAAAAGGACTGGGCGACACCTGACAAGGTGGACGACACTCTGCACACCCTGAAGATCGTATACTACACGCTTTACAGCCTGGACGCTGTTTTGTGTCTGCTGGTCGTGCCCTTCACGTACTTCTACTACGAAGAGTACGATGAGGTGGCGACGGAAGAGGGACAGCAGACGATTGGCAGCAGACTCTGGGCCGCATTCAAGTGGACTTTTGCTTTTATCCTGTTCTGCGTCATTCTGTTCCTGGTTGGCTTCTTCGTGCCGGTCGCGAAGAGGGCGAGAGACGACCACAAAGATCTTGACTACTTCAAGGACCTTCTGACTGAGAATCGTGAGTCTTTCATAGTGCTATACATGAGATGCTACCAACTGACGCCTGTTAGACGGCGAACGTGCGTTGACCTTTGCAATTGGAGTGCTGATTTTGGTTGGCACTGTCTTGTACTGTCTATACACAGCTCCTGGCCTGGCTCTCCTTCCCGTCTCGTTGATCAAGACTGCTCCAGCAATCTCAGCACCTCAACTTCGCGAAACGACCCAGAGCCAACTCGACCAGAACCGTGAACGACAACGCCAGCTCGAAGGTCGTAGTGAGGGCCGTGAAGGTGGACTGGATCCCAGAGACCGACGCGAGCTCGAGGCTCTAGTTCGGGAAGAGCGCACCTTGGCACGCAGACAACGACTTGCAGAGGAGAATGCTGGCGAGGGTCAGAACTTCTTCATCAAGGTCTGGCTCAAGCTTGAAGCCATTTTCCGACCTCTCAAACTGATATTTGGTCTCCTCATTCTGCTCATTGCTTTGATCATCTTCGCAAGCATGCTCATCACCATGGTCGACAAGATTAAGAATTCCGTCTGCGGCGTCTCGTGCGGCTACCTGCTAGGCAAGACCAAGATCTTCCAGCCGGTCAATGCGCTTCTCCGCGAGACATCAAAGGTCTTCCCAATCGACTATGTCATCTTCCTCTTGATCACCCTGCTCTTCTTTTGCGCTACCGTCGTCGGTCTGGCCACTATCGGCATCCGCTTCCTCTGGGTCATGCTTTTCAGGATTCGCAAAGGCCACACCACACCCAACGCCATGCTCATGGCCACAGTGCTGCTGACGTTAATGACTTTGGCCCTCAACTATAGCTTGGCAATGATTGTCGCTCCTCAATATGCCACATTCGGGCCCCAGACATTCTGCGACAGGCCATCCCACAATCCAGACCTGCAGCCGGACTGCAGCGAGCATCACAAGGCGATCAAGGTAAGTCACAGTTTCTACAACGTACGCGAATCATATTGACATCCTCCAGCCCTGCTCCGAACGCACCGATAATCCTATCGCCAAGATGGTCTGCACGCCATCTGTCGTCTCCACTTTCCTCAATCGCATTACTGCCAACTTCCCCTACCTCGGTGTCGTCGACTTCTACGCACAGTTTGCCTTCCTTGGCATCTTCATCATCGTCTTCTTGGTCACGCTCTTCCGCGTACCCAAGCTTGACGAGGAACAAATGGACGAGGATCTCCGCGAGGCTGAAGAGGAAGGTCTATTGGCGAGTACGGGAAGAAGATTTGGCGCGACTTGGCAAGACATTACCGGTAAGCCACGAGGAGTGAAGAGGAGTGACTACGGTGCTGTCGGTGGAAGTAGCGCAGCTGGAGAGGACTGATTCAAAAAAAAAACAAGGTTTGGTGGGCGAAGTGGCTAAGAATGAGAATCTGTACGTCTGCTGTTCGAGTAACTGTTTATTGATACCACAAGTGCGCGAAAGAAATGGCAGAACGACAGAATTTTGGTGCAGAGAATGTACATATATCAACTGTTTTCTTTTCATGATACGAATGTCAACCCAATGATTCGTCGACGCGAAGGCCCAGCAAACAAATGCCCTGCTCAGTTCGGCGCTATTCTCGGGTTCCGTCCTGTCTCTTGGCAAACCCACATCCATATACATGCAAGATTTTGGCACTCTTATCCAACCAGTATATCCCCCATGGCGCAATTGGCTAGCGCGTTCGACTGTTACTCGCTTTGAGAAATGGTATCGGGAGGTTGATAGGTAAGCCTTACCACTCAATACTCTAACTTAAGTCCTGCTAACGTCCGCCTTTCAGTTCGAGCCTATCTGGGGGAGATTTTTTTTTGCTATTTTGTAGAATATATTATTAAAAGTAGATAGAATTATCAAAGCAATTAAAATCGATAGAAGAGACCGAGTTCATTTTTTGCAGATCTAGGTTTTAGTATGCCTTCGGTGCTTAACTCTTAGCTTCGGGTCCCTCGTTTGAGTACGCATTGAACAAATAGATTCTAGTACTGGCAGCTTGACACGCCAACGGCTGGGCAAGCCTGAGAGCCTGCGATGACCACACCAGGAACGAGATGCATTTTGGAGTGCCTTATCAACCTGCATTCTGTTCAATAACTTCTACTTCTATACACCAAGATGCTATCCTCCCTCTCACTCCATAAATGGTATGCTTGCAGATCCCTCAGCCTCAATCATTGATCAAACATTTCCCCTAGCTTCGACGCACTGCGATTGAGGGAGACGGCGTCGGAGTCCTGAAAATCGTCACAAAACTTAAAGCCTCGTGGAATCTTTCTTCACATCGCCGACCGCGAGATTTCACCTTCCCAAAATCCAGTCAGTATCCATCTCATCTCCACAACCCTCAAAATTCTGACACATGACGCCATTCTTGCCATCTCTAGGGTGCGCAAATCTTCCAGAAGCTGCTTGCATGATACACCTCTTGAAGAAATCCACATTCGTTTCGAGCCCTCGCGTCTTGGCGAGGAATTTCCTGCCATCGTCGTGAATGGAAGGATACCGGGTGGATCGGCTTGCTGAGCAGAACGATCGGTGGTAATGGATGACTTTTCCTTCACCGTCCATGTGGAGCGTATAGCGAAATTTATATAGCGCTTGGACCGAAGGTGTTCCTAGTCCGTTCCGCAAAATCGGGTTCGTCATGACGAGCCGAGTGAGAGCTTTACGGCATGATACGGGTATTGTGTCTAGCCAAGCGCATGCACGCTCAGCGTCTGCTTTCTTGTTGATCGTGATGTTGAAAGTGTTGAGGCGGTAGAATTTAGGAAGAAGTTCAAAGATTTCGGCACGGATGAGTTGAGAAGTTTGGGCCAAGGTTGGTATTTTGGCTTCGTTGGGTTTTGGAGGTTCGAAGGGCTCGGTGACGGAGATTACTCGAGCGGTTCCGTTGGGTAGAATGGTGTTCATGTAGATCATGGTTCTGATTTCCTTGGGTAATGTGAAGAAGCTGATGTTCTGTTGTCTCAACGCGGCTCTTCGAGAATTCCATTGCATCGACTTTGTCCTGCCTTTCATCTCGAGCGACTTATGGATCAAGTGTTGCGCTCTCGCTTTGCTGGCCCGGACAGGCTGGGTCTTGTGTTGTCGATGCGTAGAGCCGAACGTGAAGATGTCGCCATATAGCAGCGGTGGACCGATGAATCTTGGGTCATATGTACGATGCGACAGACATTCCAACATCTGCCAGACACGTATAAGGTGGGACCAGTTCGAGATCGGTGTGTCGAAGATCCCGTTGAGAAGTATCGTGAACTCTTGAACAGTGGCCAGGTCATATTTTCTGCCTTGCAAGAAGCGTGTGATTTGTGCTGCCAGAGCCGGAGCGCTGACTTCGCAGCTGAGTTCACTTTGTTCAAGAATGATCTTGAGCCACACGGCGAGCAAATGCGTATCTGTATCCATGGTGACTTGAGACTCGATGATCAGGTCAGGGTAAGGTGTAAGATATTTATATTTGGAATGAAATGTTGCACTTGAAATTGCGACAAGCTTTTGGTCAGGTTGACAGGCGAGAAGAAAATGTGCGCCAAGGGTAGAATATTTGCTGAGTAGCTCCAATTTTGCGCAGAGTTTGGGTCGACCAGGCTGTCGGAGAGTTAAGCATGAAACCTTCTGCCCAATAGCTCCTTCATTATGGCCAATCCACATGGTAGCCCGCCAGTCCTGTTACTCGAGTGAGTCTTGGCTTCGTCGCCACTTTTGTTCGGCAGTATCCAAAATCTTTGCGAACAGCTCCTTCGTCGTCCCTTTGTTCTTCATAATCCATGCCCTGATGGGTTGTTCCGTCTCTCCATGGACGTAGTATTTCCATGAGCTGAGGCTTATCCCGTTGCCACGCAACAGGAACACTTTTCCTGACAAGCTACCCGCCGGCTCATAGTGCATGCGTGAGGCGTGGTAGCCGTCGCATGTGGAGTCAAGTACTTCGGATATTACGAGGCTGGTGAGGTACTGCTGATACTGTGCCGGAATAGCCTTGACCCAGCGACGGGCATTTTCGATGTCGACGAAGCTAGCCAACGTGGCGTGAAAGGTTTGTTGACCATAGAATATGGGTAGCAACTCTGATCGTACTTTCCGACACGTCTGACTGAAACGGGGGACTGGATGGTTTACCAAACCAGACGCGGAGAAGGCCATATCGTTGATAGGGTATGCCCGATCTTTAGGTATCATGAGATTGCTGTAGACGTTATTTCTGAGCTCTGCTGGCAAGTCCAGGAATCCGATATTCTTCCATAGCACGAGAGGCCTTGACTCGACGCCTGCACGCACGTAGTTCCATCTCTGGTATGTGCGCGAGTTCCTGTGACTTCGCACATTGATGACTGGAGGACAGGATATTCGGACCCAGCATTGAGCGGTAATAAGCATGTACTGTTGGTAGTCAAGGTGGTCAAGCGACAAACCGCTCAGTGCCTGCTTCAGGCTCAAGCCAGGGCCAATGTACGTTGCATCATAGGCTACCATACGGACGCATAGCATGATTTGCGCTACGATCTTGTTCGACCGGGGGCAATCGAGAGTGCAACAGCTATGGGGTGGTCCCCAGATTTTGCAGAGGAACCCTTGCAGCTCGCGCGACAAGATCAGATCGCAGCCGGAACAGCGTTGAAGACGTTCGAAAGTGAGAAAAGCCGTCTGAGTGGGCTTCACCGCGAGTGGAGCCTGGCTGAACTGAGAGACTAGCCAGCTGTAAAGTAGTCGGCTCCTGGTCTTGCTATCCGCGGGTGCCATCGCTTATGATGGCTGACAATGTTGCTCAGAAGGTCAAGGTGTGTATCAAGCGCTGAAAGTGCAAGCGGAAAATTGCAATTTTGAAAAGTGTGTCGACAGAGGTCAGCTTCAGTACTCCAGCTTTGATTTGAGCAGTGTTTCTCTGCAATTGAACCAGCACCAGCTCGGCAATCCAGCGTCGACGCTCCGCAGCCTGCATATCATGTCGATCCGAATACGATACACATCTTATTATCTACCAGCCCTGCTTCTTCATGCGCTGTACAAGCTGTACAGTTCTGACAAAATTGTCCTTGAATCGCTTCGCCCATCGCTGTCTCTTGAGACGCTTTCGTTTCATTCCAGGCCGCTCGTGGAATCGTTGGTCCATGAAGTCCCTCCTCACTCTATTCCTCGCGCAGCCCATCTCCATCGCCCTGAAAGCCCTGCCAACATCCATATTCCTAGTCTCATTGACTTCCACCATCCTTCCAACATTTTTAGGCAATTCCACTGGCTTCTCCTCGCTCGAAATAGCAGCGGGTGGGCCATCCAAGCCATTCGGATTGAGCCATGCACTGATGTCGCTGCCGCCATATGGCGAGGGGCCTCGATTTGGGCGGGGTATTTGCGTGGTGATGCTGTCGAAGAGATCATCAAAACTTCTTCGTCCCTTCCCTTGTGCTTCCTGCAGTTCTTGCGCAATTCCTCGGGAAGGTGAGTTCTGACCTTGTGTATTCCGTGACGAGAACCGTGTTGTGGGTGTGCCCTGGTTCAAATCTAACGGGTCACCGAGCAGGGATGAAAGGGCATCGCTAGCTGTTGATTGAGATGGTGGTGTGGTCGACGGAAGTCCAGGTGGTGAGTTATTCTGCTGTTGATACCGACAATGCGTTGTGCTAAATGAGCGTGATGTGTTTCGCGTGCCTCTGCAATGTCTTGCTATGGGAGTGGCCGGAGCTCGTGATGCTTGCCTGTACACGGCCGGCGCGAGGAAAGGCAGCAATGGCTGTGATGAGCGAAGCAAAGCCTCGCCTGCCCTGTATGCTTCCATTGGCATTGGCATTGGCATGTGAGAGATGAGAAAGTCAGTGAGTATGGTGGTGCCAATACCAATGTTGCTCTTGCCGCACGGTGGAGGCGGAGAACCTCCGCGCCTGCTGCCAAGACTTGGAGCTGCAGTTCTACATACATGTACCTCACATGAAAGTTTGCGACAACTTGAACAACAACTGCTCCACTCTACTTTCGACTCCAAGTCGCCCTGCGCCAAGTCGGCACTATATCACTACTTTACTGATATCGGGCCAAACACAACATTCTTCTTGCGACGCCACACTTGCGCTGACCTCGAGTGCATCACTGTTTTCCGCCATGTCCGGCTACGGCCCACCTCCAGGCGCATATGGCGGGCGTCAGCCATATGGTCCGCCTGGAGGCAACTTCCAACCGCCGGGAATGGCTATGCCTCCAGGGTTTGGCGCGCCAGGCATGGATGTCCCTCCAGGCATGGCAGCTCAGTCTCCAACCGGCATGCAAGGTCAATTCCAGCCTCCGCCAAACATGCCCAATATCAATTTCAACGCGCCAGTGATTCGCCTTGGTGTGGACGGTCAGCGGAATGACTCCCAAGCCGACCGCAGAGGCGGCGATAGAGGTGGACGTGGCAGAGATGGCAACACAGAGCCAATGGGCAACAGAGGGCGCATGGGCTTGGGCGCGCAGGGTGCAGACAGAAATCTTGATCGCGAGAGGCAGCAGGTGCGGGAGAGCATGATGGCAATGCAGCCGCCGACGAGAGAAGAAGTGGCAAGAACCATCTTCATTGGAGGTCTGGGAGCAGGCGCACCCCATGATGACATTCTCGAGGCCATTCTGCGCTGTCCTGGAAAGCTTCGCAGGTGGGTGAGAGCCAGAGATGCCGACGACAAGAAATGTAAGTTCGGCTTTGCCGAATATGAAGATGTCGAGAGTCTCGAGGCCGCGGCAGAGTCTTTGCCCAACCTTGAAGTCCCTCTTTTCAACGCAGATGGCACCGTGCAGAAAGAGGATGGCGAGGGTGGTGAGGTCAAGAAGATGAAGCTTTTGGTGGTGGTTGATGAAGCAAGTCAAAAGTACATTCAGGAGTGGATGGGTAGACGGAAGGAGGACGAGAATCAGCGTCAATTCAGGATGGACTCTGCAAAGGATGAGCTGCGATCTACCATCACCAACATTTTGAACACGAGCCAGCACGCTGCGAATGGCACCAATGGTGTCCACGACGGAGATGGCGACATCGCAATGGGCGATGCAAATGGTGACGCCAAGGGCGACGGCGTGGAAGTCGTCACAATACCTGCTAGTCTCGAGGATGAGCTGGCTGACATTCCAGTTGAGATGCGGGCGACGGTCGCTGAAGAAATCAAGGCATTCCGTGATCGGTCAAACCGACGCGACATTGAGCGTTTACGTCGAGAAGAGGAAATGGAGCGCGAGGAGAGACAACGAGCAGGCATGGCCGACCGAGCGCGCATCAACCGTCTTGCCTCTCCACCTCCGAATGGCGCACCTGCCGGACCTGGTGCCTCCAATGGCATACCGGTGGGTCCGCGAGGACAACAAGGCGTGCAGGGTGCTCCAGCAGGTCCAAAAGGCTATCGCGGCGCGCAGCTGCCGAACGACTACGTCAACGGCGTAGCTTTTGTTCCTGGCGCTGGTCGTGATGGTCGCGGCATTCATGTCTCGGTGAGCAGAGAGGACGATGACGCGGAGGAATCGGACGGCGAACTCGAGCGGCAAAGGCAGGAAAAGAGGAACGCTGCCCTGGAGCAGGAGTACCAAGACCACGTCAAGCGTTGGCAGGCTCGTGAACGTCAGCGTGGCATGGCCCAGGAACGTGAGCGCAATCGAGAGGAAGCTGAGCGACGGAACATCGAGAAAGCCAAGAACGAGATACTTCATCGGCTTGCCAACTGGAACGATGATGAGGAAGCAGCAAAGGGCAAGGAGCTCTACTACCGCGATCGCTCTGCCTGGGCTCGTGCTCGTGAAGCCGAGAGGAACAGGGAGGCCAGAGACGATGACGCAGACCGGAAGCAGGAAGAGCGCGAGAAGGCCAATACTCGTCGACAAGAAGCGGAAGCCAAAGGTCTTGCGGATGACTTCTTGGGTCAGATGGGAGTCGACATGCATGGTCCCGCTACCAATGAGAAATCTGGTCCTGCCGGTTTCAAGATTTCGCTTGGCAATGCGGCAAAGACTAAGCAGTCCATCTCTGCCCCAGCAGGTCGACGCGCTATCGCAGACGTGGAAGGTTTGCTTGAAGACGAGGAAGATGCGGCTGCCTCGGGTACAAAGCGACTTGAACTGAAAGAGCTGCAAGACACGTCAACAGTCCCTGTCAATGGCGCAGACCTTACTGATGATGAGAGAGCTGCTGCACGCCAACAGCTTGCAAGTGAGATCCCTCACGAGAGTGAGAAACTCTATGCGCACACCATCAAATGGGACAGCCTCTCACAGTCGCTCATTCACGCTCAGATTCGGCCATTTGTTGAGCGCAAAGTGGTTGAATACCTTGGGCTACAGGAAGAGTCACTCGTCAATGTAGTGATGGACGGAATTCGTGACAAGCGCTCACCTACCGCTATCCGGGATGAGATTGAGGAAGCACTGGACGACGAAGCCGAGCTTCTGATGAGAAAGGTGTGGCGTCTGCTCATTTTCCTGGGCGAGTGCGAATCGAGAGGTTTGGCCGCATAGGAGCATCTAGGCTTCGAATAGCTGCGTGATGTCGCAGAGGCTGTCATCTCCACACCTGCGTCTATAGTCTGCACTTTCTGGAACGAAGTGGACTGCGAGTCCCTCCGCTGCATAACCGATTCTCCAGTTTCCACGTGCCTGTGCATCGTGCCTCGACTACATCTTGCGAAGAATCTCGCATGCCTCATCTGCAAGCATCGTCGCCCGCCCGGTCCGTGATGAACCCTCTCTTAATAGCACTTTGTAACGTCCTGTGGCGCAGAGTGGGAAGGAGTCATGGCCAACTTGCATGTGAGACCTGAAGTGGATGGAATGTTCATGCAGCGCCGTTCACATGCCAGGGCCCAAGCTCCAGAACTTTAATTTGAAGCTCACTTCGCTCGCCTTCCATCATTGAAAGTAAAGCTATGGCATTCTCAACACCTTCGCAACACATACACCGCGAACATGTCTGACAGCAGCAGGCCATCCGTGCGCGGTCGGCATCTTCTGTATAAGGCGGGGACTAAGAAAATTGTTGACTGGCTACTACGCACCGCCAGCACCCTTCGCGACATCGCGCATATTCTTGACACGCCACAGAAGAAGTCGAAGTCCACCATCAAGGCTCGAGATCTGATGAGTCTTGCAAAGATAATCACTTCAGCCGACGCGACTGTCCCTCTCGCCATTGTCGAGCTCCTTGTGAAGGTCATCGAAGGTCGGAAAGCTTGCGCAGTATTTTATGCCAGTCAGCACAGCAGCGATGTCGCGGCAAACAACTCACACCTCTTCTTCATACAAATACTCGAGGATGTCCATAAACAGCTCGCTGCTCTTCGAGCGCCGCCCGCCAAGTGTGAATTCCCGCAAGCTCGCTCTCAGGAGACCAAATCGAGTGCAAAGAGCCTGGAATCGGAACTCAGTAATATCTTTGCGCGACTGGAAGTTGAAGAGCCGTCTGCCACACCGCTTGGCTCGGCGCCTAGCCCCAATCAGAAGGCCACCACTCCGGAGAGTACCAATGTAGTGCTCGAAGATGATGCGCAGGACGCTGCTTTTGCGCTCTGGTGTCACTGCGAAGACCTGCGTGACTTGCGCCGATACGTACAGGACGTGTGGCAGCAGTACGCACGAGGCGAAGTCAGCCTTCTAGCAGCCACAATGGTCGCCGACACAGCCATGTCGCTGATGCGTTTTGCTGGCGAAGAACTAGCGTCGAACTATCCCGAGCTTAGCTCTTGGAATGGCACACTGCGGTTCTTGTCACTCAGATGCACTTCAGCAAATAAGCCACTAGCCACAAATGAGGACCTTTGTACGGCTTATTTGTATCCCGAGGCTGGTAAACCTTCCCACACGGCAAGACACGACCTGGACATGATTGAGCTATTGTGTCCGGCCATCGCTTCGCTTCTACAAGACGTCAGGTCGCATACGAAGCAGTTGGAGAAGACACTCGATCAAAGCAAAAATGTCTCCCTCCTCATGATCCGACCATTCTTCAGCTTCGCATACATCCTATACCACCAGACCTACTACCTGGCAATGTTGACGAAGACGCACAAGGTAGGCAGCAAAGACCACACGCGGAGACGTCCTGAGTTCTTGATTGGTCTTTTGGACTTCTGCAAGACCGGCGAGCTTCCAATGTGGCTCGTGTCAGCCGCACAGACTTACTCGGACATATACGAAATCATTGGCGAAGACCCGGCGTGTGCATCTGAATTTTACCTCGATGAGATGGAGCGGTTGGAGCAGACGTGGAAGAACTTCAAAGCAAATCATACATATTGGCAGTATGAGTCAGATGCCTGTGAAAAATCTATACGCGATGCTATAGAGCTGTCTCGATCAGCATTAGAAGTCACAAGAGTTTCGTCTGGGCTTGCGGACGGCTTCATGAGAGCATGTGAAGAACAAGCTCCAGCAAAGCTTGATCCGCTACACAAGGAGCGTTTGCAGAACATCATGCGATACGGCATTCCCCAGTCTGTGGGTAAACCTTTGGGTTCATTGGCTGTTCTGCCCTGCGCCCCTGGCATGGCTCTCTGGGTTGCTAAAGGCTACTGGCATACTCTTGGAACCACGTCAGCAAACGACGGCGGGATGATGGTGGCAATGGGTCACCTCTACTCAGCCTGTCGTCGGCTAGGGCTCATGCATACCCAATGGCATGACATGGAAGCCATACTCGCCTTCCAGAAGGGGCAGAGCCCGGTGGTGTCAAGATCAAGCAGCAATAACTCTGATGCCCGCCGCCTGTTTCGTCAATACATCGTGGCTCTTGGAGTTCCGGCAAGCAAGTTTGCGAATGGGCAAACGCCGCAGTATCCTGAGAGCAAGGATGTTTTGCTACGGGGTCGCAAGATCATTCCTACTTGTGAAATGATGATGGCATTCAATGAGAGGGTGAAACAAGACAGAAAGATGGGTTTCACTAGAGGCAATGTCATCGAGGTTGTGCTCGCGCAACTGGCCAAGAAAATAGCAGGTCCAGCGGGCATCGCCAAACAAAAGCCAAGCGGACCAGCTTCGAGCAGGAGAGATGTCTATTCTTTGACAGAACTGCTCGATACTTTCAAGACGAACTTTGTGAAGGAGGAGCCTCAGCTTAACTTCGATCATTTCGCATTCTGGCGTTTCTGCGACAAGGTTTATGGGGCTCTATGCGCGAAGCTGTGTCCCCAACTGAGTACAGTCACAGGTGTTCTCGAGCCTTGGCAATTTGTCTACAAAGTGCTCGAGGATACAGCTACCGGCAACAAGACATTGCTGCACTCGCCGCTCTCTGCTGCAGCCGCTGTCTTGAACGAGGCCGTCAGCGGTGACCAAGGAAAGCAGTTCTCCACAATGGCATTCAGCCAGTCCAGCGGCAGAATACCTAAAGATCTGCGCCCGAATCTCCGGCAATTCAAGCCCTGCTGCTGCCATCTTGGGCTCATCACTAAGCAGTTTGGCGATTTAACGATACGCAAAGATGCCAATGGTATCACGATTTACGATCCGGAGGGATCTGAGCAGAAAGCTTTGAGTATCATCAGCGCTGTCGCTGACGTGCGGAAGCTGGACAGCCATGATCATTCCGCTCAAGCAGAGTAGTATCCAAAACATATAAGTCTGTCACAACCGACTTGGCTACTGCACTTTCAGAATACAGATTGAGGAAGACGATACGGTATTGGATGTACGCATTTCTCCAGACTTTGCACCAGTAGCGCTGTGCCATGCACGGAGCAGTGGAAGTCTAGCGCACGCCGCAATGCATCATGCATGGAAGTGTCCGCATAAGCTTTCAGCTATTTTGAAGGCTGGTGCTGACAGGCTGCTAGCCACGTTGACGAGGCTTGAAGTCCACGACAAGCGTTCCGCAGTCTTGTTTTGCAACTATGTAGCCTCTCCATCGAATGAATCAGTGGACATCAGGCTATTCTCCAAACAAGTCACGCATGGCCACTCCCATCAACTGACTATTCTAGAAAATCGACGTGATCATAACCTGAGATGCTCTGCTCCCATGTCGTCCAGGACATTGGCCCATGGATCGGAAGCTACATACGAGTAGGAGATTGCCTGCTGACAATAAAATGGTTCGCATATAGGCAACAAGATATATGCTTCTTTCTCCACGAAGCTTGCGGCTGGCGACGAAGCTTGAGGAGAGCGAGAAGCCAAGCCTGACGCCCTTGGCACACGCCACGGCGTTCAGCACGAGTCCCAACTGGCCTGTTCGGACCACCTCGACTCAAAGGAGACGTTGCCGACGAGGTACCGATCTGATCATGCCTACCATACAGCCATACAGAGACTTCTGACTCCCCAGCCTACCACAACGAGGGCATTACGAAGCTAGCATCCACGCCTACCGAATCCGGTCATTCAGAATGCGAGCACTGTTCACGTCTCTACAGCGAACTGAGAACTCCTCGTGTGGCTCACGTGGAGGCCATGCAGAGTATCGCGCCGTCTAACTCTGTCTCTTTACCCCGACAAGTAGAAACGACCACAACACTGGTGGCGGTCAGGCGCGACAACCACTTTCGTAGGCGGCGACCCTCGATCGCTTCATGAATCCTCCCATCTACCACTGTCTGACAGCGCAGAGGCGGGAAGTGCGTCGCAAAGGAAGCGGTGTCCACGATTCAGGAGCGCGAGTTTGCAAGAAATCAGGCGACATATCGCGAGGGCAAGGACAGAAAATGTCTTGGTATGGCGAACATAAGAATCGCGAAGAGCGCCCGAAGAAATTCTCAGCCAGCAGACCTCTCTGCAAAACGCGCAATTATGAAGGCCATCGTGAGTGCAGCACTTTTCGCTTCTTCGACCTTGGCATTTCCTTTCGTCTCGGAGATCCCAGGCACAGATTCCTCCCTCCTCGCCTCTCATCGCAGACGGCAACAAGCAGGGACTGGCCCGGGCAGCGAGGCGACATGTCCCAACAATCCGAACCATAAACCTGCTGTCGCATACAACTTTGCCAAGTACCCGTATAACGGAGCGCAGAATGGTCAGAAGGGTCGAGAGACGGGAGGATATCGTGTCCCGGCCGTCGGAGATACTGATCATCAGTATATCGCTCCCAAGTCGACGGATATTCGGGGACCGTGTCCGGGGTTGAGTAAGTGGAGATGATGATTGGGACTTTGAGATTTTTTTGCTGACGGGGGATTAGATACTGCTGCCAATCATGGGTTCCTTGCTAGAGATGGAGTTGTCACGTACAATGAGCTCGTCGATGCTCAACAGAATGTTTACAATGTCGGTTACGATCTGGCCAATTTGCTTGCAACGCTCGGGGTGGTTATGGATGGCGACATCGTTACTTCGAAACTTTCCATTGGTTGCGATGCCACGGGGCGCACGTCTTTCAATCGTGCGTTGACGGGTAGCGAACCAGGACTGGATGGTCATAACAAGTATGTCGCGTGCTGTGTATCTGTTTCCGCAAGCTTGATCTGACCTTGCTTTACAGGTTCGAAGGGGATACCTCGCTCACCAGAAATGACTACTTCCTGGGCAAGGGAGACAACTTCAAGTTCAATGCGACACTCTTCGCCATGATGACCAGGACGACCGGAGGCAACTACAATCTTCAAGGCCTGGCGACCTACCGCAAGCAGAGATACGATCAGTCCAAGCGCGACAACCCGAACTTCTTCTTCGGTCCGCTTAGCTTGCTCTTGTACGGAGCTGCTTCATTCTTGTACGAGCTCTTTCCATCCGGGACTCGAGGCTATGCTCCAGACCTCCCAACCATCACCTCGTTCTTCGTCCGCGAGAGGATTCCAGATAATTGGACAAACCGTAAAGAGTAAGTCGCCTCTCAATTGGAGAGGAGAGGAGAGGAGCCCAAGCTAAGGAATTTCCAGTCCATACGACAACAACAAAGTCACCGCGGAAATCGTAAAGATGTACTTGCTCCACCCAGTCCTGTTCGGCGGCAACACGGCTGCCGGTTCATTCAATGCTCTTCCTTCGAACTTCGGCGCCATCAAGAACGGCCAGATCCCATCTACGATCTCTCCGGCTGAGACTTCGTGCTTGCTTTATCAGCTCGCGACGGGTTCGGTGCCGTCTTCCCTGAATGGTGTCATTACGCCTTCCGTCGATGCGCTGGCCTTCGTGGCAAAGAAACTGAATCCGACTTTTGGGAACCTGGGATGTCCGATCGCTTTGACTTAGGTCGATCGGAGGGACTGATGTAGATGCCGTGTCGGGAGTAGCTATGTGTAGTCACAGAAAGTCATGATGTGTCACGATACTTATCCAATGTAATGAGGTTGAGAATGTAGGACGTATCTTTGATCGATAGCCTCTTGCGAAGAGCTGGGTCGTAGCTTGAACAGCCAGCCAGCCACGTCGTAGCTCGAATAGCTATTCTAGCTAGCCCTCGAACAGCTAGCCAGCTGCGTCGTGGCTCGGACAGCCAGCCAGCCAGGTTGTAGCTCGAACAGCCAGCTGCCCAGGTCGTCGCTCGGTTTGCTAGGTCGTCGCTCGAACAGCCAGGTCGTGGATCGGTCGGTCGTCATGGGGCTCGCTAGTCGTCGTGGCTCGTCGTCGCTCCCAGAATACGGAGGAATACGTATCGGAAGTGGCCTATCGTCGCGGTCAGAACGTCGTGGTTAGGAAGAGAAAACAACCCGGACGCGGACGTAGACGCGGTCCAATACGTTGGAAGACGGTCACAATTAGAAGCGTTGATGCAAGCCAGATCGAATGCTGGCCGCCAGTCTGGTTCGTGAAGACGACAACAACAACCGACCTCATCACCTCAGCTCGGCTCAACAACGCCCTCCTACCTTCCTACCAAAGCCTGTCGCGAGCTTCGTCCGTTTGATTCAATCCACAGGGAAATGAGCTTAGTGACATCGCCTAGTGCGCTCTTGAAGGCGAGATGGGAACCGCAGAGGAATGGATTCAACCGCAAATGCAAGAGAAAGAGATGGTAGAGCACAGACAATACTAGCCACGCGCACAAGACGATTGAGCGGCTGTCTGCATAATCTACGGATAATAGGACTGGAAGGATACGCACTCCACTTGCTCTATGCCTTCAGAATGCTGTCAGCTGCAGGTTCTGCGGCCTCACGACGGCTTGCATCACGCATGGCATTGCTGGGAGTTCTGAACGCATCTGCGGAGTGTATAGCGCGCGCGTTTAACCAGAGCGATTCATTCACGTTGAGCACGAGTGAAGCGCTCTCGACAAGTGAATACCTCACCTCGCTTATCAGCACGCCAGGCAACCATCTCTCCCAGAGCTATATAAGCCTTTCTCTTCAATTTGACAGACATCGCCAACATCACGCAGAACACGTCGACTCCTGCGATATCCATTTCCCGACGCTCTAGGTAATCTGCAACAGTCAACTCTCGGTGCTGACTTGCTGCCTTGTCCCCAACATCGCTGCTATGGCTCCGCTCCGAAGATGGAAACCAAGATACGGCCGCTACAAGAAGGCAGATCTCGTCAGATTTGCAAGAGAGCGTAACCTCACGGTCCCCTCGAGTAAGCCAGGCGAGGCTCCCAGCTATTCAGACTACAAGAAAGCGCTCGGGGCTGCTGACCGCGATGCCACCTTTCGCTTCCTCGACCTTCCTCCAGGTAAGACACAGTGCACCTTTTCTGTAATCTGCGCCTGGAATTGTGATGGATCTTGGGACTCGGTGCCGACCGCTGACACATTCTAGAACTGCGCACTCTCATCTACGACGATCTGCTCATCCTCAACAATTCTTACACCTGCTTCCCACAAATTCTGAGGACTTGCAGGCAAATCAAGAACGAAGCTACGAATACGCTGTACGGCCACAATCTCATCGACATCAAGATCTGGCCGGACGGTATTCGTGCGCACGGACAGCGCTGCGGCAAGTATAGACATACTGCTGCTGATCTCACACTTTCCGACACAAGCCGAATCCAGTGGCCTGACTTCCTCCACCAAGCTCAGTTCGTCCGGGTCTCGCTAGCGTGGGGCGTCTGGCGCAATGTTCACACACACCCGCCAACCACGCTATCAGAGCTCTCCAAGCGGATCTTCATCAGCAGCATTGTCCTCTCACTCTGCGAAGCTCTGGCGAAGAAACACCGACTGCGAAGCATACAATTCGACTTTGACCGGGTAGCTCACAACGAGACTCAGCTACATCAAATGCTGTATCCAGTACGTCTCTTGGGGGCTGGCGTCCAAGTGGCCACGCTCGCAGGACTACCTGTCATTCTCTCACGAGAGGAACTCGACATCGACTTCCTTGCTGCAAGTCCGTGGAAGAAAATGCAGGTCATTCGCAAATGTCACCACGTGGCAAGTCGAGCCCTTTCCATTATGTATGGTGGGCAGGGCGCACCTCTTGACATGCTGCTCTTTGGCGCTCTTACCGCAGCGGACGTGCTGAAATGGGCTGCGCGCGATCCGTACCATCTGCGAAATGTACTGACTGCCATCTTCGAGAAGGCTATCGTCAGGTTGCGCTGTGTCATCAATGCGTCTGGTAAGTCCGGCTAGGACACCATATGCTTGAGTGTGAGACGACTAACCCCACATCACAGGTCCGTCCTTGGGTGCAGACTGGCGGAATGAAGCGTTGCTGTATGAGATGTATCAGCTCTCTCGGCTGGATATCGACTTGAAGGTTGGGAGGCTGGCAATGTGACAGGCAATGCCAAGCGACGGTGCTGAAGCTCGGGCGTGGTGCAAGAGTGTGGAAGTCTAAATCTCGAGGTGGAACGACGTTCGAGATCTTTAGCAGCTAGCTGGGCTTGCAATAAAACATGCAAGATGTGTTTTCGTTCAGCTTGCCTTCGTACAACACGCACTCTCACCAGCGTGTGGAGGTCTCCTAACAACACGAATGCAACGATATGCTGAAAGGATCCAACTATGGGATCTCAAGGGCGAACACAGTAGTTATGCCCGACAACTCGGAAAGATCATATGTCTCCCACCGAGGCTGATGCCCAACGCTCGCGCTTATATTAGCTATGATATCAGATCACTTCAGGAAGAGGGAGGGAGTGAGCCCGCGTGTACATTAATGGCTCAGGAGTCAGAAGCATGCCGACGCTCCGGGCCCGTAGCCCCTGTGGTGCACCACGATGAAGGGTCACGTGTGTGAAGAGACCGATAGGGTGTAGAAGGCAATCGATTTCGGCTTGCTGCATCGGCGCCACACCACTGGATCTGTTTAACCAAGGTGCCGGAGCGCAGGGAAACGGCGCTGGGGGTGCGAAGCCGAAGTAGGCTAGACGTGCTAGGAAGAGCTCGTGCAGTAGAACTAGTACTCCGTAGAATAAGGTGCAGATGCCAGCAAAGACATGCAACGACATGCATGCCCTGTGACGAACCAATGGCGGACCATTTCACATCCTGGTCCACCAACGAACGACGGCATGGCAATTTGAGGGAGCGTTGAAAGGTGATGAAAGGTGAAAGGTGAAAGCCAGCCGGGTGCGAGCTGGCCGTGGCCACTATGTATACTACTGCCAACTGGCGTAACGTTACTACTGCATAGCGAACACCGTCATATTAAAACACACCTGCTTGTCCGCCGGCCACATCGCCGTCTCCCCATCTGCGCATGCGCCACGGCCCACGGTACAGCGACGTGTGCTTCCGGAACACATCAGTCACCCAATGGAGCCAGATGATGCTGCGGCCATTCGCACCCATTGGCTATCACCCGCAGAAACATCAGGCTCCATCTCCACCACGCCGCCGACGAGCAATGGCACGCCGCATTGATAAAACGCTCCATCTCGAGCGGTATGTACTGCCTGTCGTGCCAACAGCCCTCGGCCTCCCCATAATCCTCCGAGATCTGTGGCCAAAGGAAGATATTATGGCCCTTCTGACCCTGGGGAATGCGGCCGCCGCCGTACTGCTCTACTTGGTCGCATCCTTTGTTTGCCGCATCGTCTATCGCCTGTATTTCAGTCCGTTGGCCAAGTTTCCCGGACCAAGACTCGCGGCCGCCACGTACCTACCGGAAATCTACTATGATCTTTTCCACGGAGAAGGCGGCCAATTCCCCTGGGCTATTCGGAAGTGGCATGAGCAATACGGCCCTATTGTTCGCATCAACCCGAACGAACTGCATGTGAAAGACTCGTCTTGGTACGACACGTGCTACTCCAGCACTCGCAAGTCATGGAAACATCTGCCGGTGTTGGACGCTGTCGGGATGGGCAAGTCAACCGTAGCCGCGTTCAATCCTGATCGATGGCGAATCAAGAGGAATGCCATCAGTCCATTCTTCTCACGCAAGAACATCGTGGCATACGAACCCCAAATGCACCGCCACATGACCAGAGTCATGAGCCGGCTTCAGGAAGAATACAGTGGAACCGACAAAGTCCTGAGTCTTCACCATTTCTGGGACTGCTACGCTTCGGATAACATCATGGCCTTTGCCTTCGATCAGCACCACGACTTTGTCAACAGTCCTAACTTCCACTCCAGCATCAGCGAAGGCATGGATGCCATTACCGAGATGTCGAATATCTTCAAATACCTCACCTACGTGCCCAAGATGATGGAAAAACTCCCTTCATGGTTGGTCGGCAAGCTCAACCCAGCAATCTTGCCCGTCCTCAAAGTCCAGGACGACTTGCGAACCAAAATCACCGACGTCCTATCTCTCCACGACCCCGACCGGAAGCAATCCGACACCATCTTCGGCTCTCTCCTCCACCAAGGCCTCCCACCCGAAGAACTGACACATCTCGCTCTGCACCAAGAAGCCATGTCCGTCATAGGCGCCGGCGTGGAAACCGTCAACCGCGCCCTAACCATCGCCTGTTACTACATCATCCACGACCCCAAAATCCGGACCCGAGTCGTCTCCGAGCTGACCGAAGCAATCCCGGACCCGAGTAACATCCCCGGCTGGGATTCTCTCCAGAAGCTTCCGTACCTTACAGGATGCATTGAAGAAGCTTTGAGATTCACATACGGTGTGAGCCAGCGCCGGACTCGCGGGTACAGAGATGGACCACTCGTATATCAGAACTGGGAATTGCCGCCAGGGACGTGGGTGGGCATGGATAACTTCGACGTCGCTCACGATGAAGCGATTTTTCCGGATTCGTTCGCTTTTAACCCGGAGAGATGGATGGGAAATCCCGTTGCGGCGGATGGGAGGCCTTTGGCGAGGTATCAGGTTGCGTTTGGGGGCAAGGAGCAGAGGAGTTGTACGGGGATACATTTCGCTTATGCCGAGTTTTACATTGCGATGGCGCACTTTTTTCGTTCGCCGTTGGGGGGGAGTCAGGCGGTTTTGGCGGAGGGGACGGATGAGGGGGATGTGAGGATGACGCGAGATACCCTGGTGCCGAGACCGAGGAAGGGACGGAAGGGTGTGATGCTTGTGTTTCCTTCGGGCCCTGTTGATGAGAAGATGCAGAGTTGAGTTGAGCACTGTTGTGGGTGAGCAGACCATTTCATTGCCGCCTCAGATCCTTGAGACCAGACAGGACTGTACTCACGTACACAAAGACATGAACCGTTCTGGCTTTTCTGTTCTTCCAAGTCATGATGCCATGGTTCGAAGCCCTTGCATGCATGATAAGTGCTATTATTGTGAAGAATAGAACTGGTCTATATATCGCCGGATAGAAAGGAAAGCTAGCTTGTTGCGACATCGACATCGACATCCACCGCTTTGCGTTGAGATCCATCTTGGCGAATACCAAGATCATGACCATCTCAGCAAGACCCGACTGCTGTGGTGCAATTACTTCCATCTCTTCGAGAACGACCTCAGCGCCGCCCAAATGCACATGGCGAGGTCATGGCGAGTTTAGTTTTGGCAAACGACCAGCAACAGCCAGCCAATTTGAAACTGCCCAGCAACTGCGCACAGCAATTATTCCAGGAAGAAATGTTATCAGCAACCCTCGTAGCTAGCTAGCTATGAATAAAGGTCCGGGGCATTCCATCCCACCTGCTGGCTTGACAAGGACGGGTCCATTCGAGGGAGATGGAGAAGGCATGAAGAGGAGATGTTGAGTCGAACGGAGAGACTTGTGTGACCAAGGAAATGTGGTCTTGTCGATGCCATTACCTGAAGATGATTGATTACAACAAATCCACCGAATTGCAATCATCTCGCTCACTTTGACTTCTTCGTACTTCAGATATGCATCGAGGACAGCGTCATATGGCAACGCGCGTACTGCGAGAAGTCTCCACACCAGACGTGAGATTTGTGTCAACGTTGCGAACTGTCTCATGCAGGCATCCGCAGCTGCGCACGGACCATGCAAACGCCTGAAAACTCCCTTGCATCCTATGTGAGGTTTTCGGCACGCACATTCCTTTAACCTTGGATCCTGAATCGAATTCTTACTGGTCGTATCATATCATACGCCAACGATGTCGACAGAACAGCTCAGCAGTCGGTACTGCATGTACAAGGAAGGCACCGATCGCCTCGTCCGCTGGATAATCAAGACCGCTTCCTCATGTCGGAGAAGTTTTGTCAAGTCCAGTGATGGGACCGTTTCCACGAAAGAGCTTCTGGAGTGCACAAGATCAATTGTGGAATGGAAGCCACCTGTTGAGATTCCGGTCAGCACGATTGAATTGCTTGAAGGCTCGTCTCTCAAACTCCCGAATGCGATCGTGTACTGACACATAGCAGATGTGATAGCTGGGAGATCTTTGTGCGCGGAATTTTACACGATCCAGCACGCGAGGTCTGCGGCAGAGATCGAAAGCGATCGTAGTCATGCGCACTTCGTGTCGGTCTTGGAAGATATGCTTGTGTTGCTGAGAGACGCCAGGGCTACGCGATCTAAGAAGTCGAGAACGACAAAAGCGAGTGCGCAGGAGGATCATGCTTCTCATCCACCAAAGGCCACCGAAAAACTCAACAATCTTTTCCAGAACTTGCAAATCGAGGAACCGTGCGAGGCTGCTTGGTCTTCCGCGGCATCGAAGAAAGAGCGCAAGGACTCTGCTCCGCGAGCTCCGGCAACGCTACAAGTCGACAAGAGCGCAGAGAAGCGTTTTTCGATCTGGTGTTTCCTCCAGGATGCCAAAGAGATTCGAGACTTCGTCAAGCAGATCTGGCACGAGTGGCGCGACGAGCGTCGCATGAGCTTTGAAGCTGCGGCGGTGATTACGGAGACAGCGATGGGCATTGTCCGGCGTGCAGGCGATGCCGTAGCTGAGGAACATCCCGAGGTGGCGCACTACCCTCATGTCTTGGACCTGCTGGGCTACGAGACCAGAGTGAATTCCTGGACTCAGATCCCCACCGTGCTCGCAGAAGGAACGGAATTCGTGGCTAGCGACGCCGGCAATGGAGAAGAACTGCTGTTCCCACACGCAGGCGGATTACTGCATGTCTTCTGGCACCATTGGAACGCGACAACTATGTTCTTGGCAGAGCGCGCCAAAGACGGAGTTCCAGAAGATGCGCGCCAAATGTGGTCATACAAGCATCCGGAAGATACGACAGGGCGGCTGGACTTCCATCCGTTTGCGAAGCTGATGTGGAAGATGTTCCCGGACCTGTACGCCCTGGTGCTTTCCCTCGACGCATTAAAGAATACGGCGCGCGATGCACAGGCACTCTTCCATGGACTGCGGACGATGCACGTCACAGGTCAACTCCCGCTCTGGTTGGTATGTGTCGTTCAGATCTGCATGGACATGCACGATATCGTGGGCGATGAGCCAATAGGCCTGGAGATTCTTCGTGAGCGTACCACACAAGCCGCCGAAGTGCTTTCGAAGTACGCCAAGATTCGTGAGCGGTATGGAAGTCACATCAATGCGAGTCAGCTCGACAAGACGATAAAAGAGGTCGAACGCGAACGCAAAGCAGCGACTATGAGCTTGGCCACGGACAAGAGCGTCCAATTCGAGTCGTTGCTGCCCAGTGCGGACAGCGTTCCGTCGAAAGCTTTCCGAGGCCTTCATATCCTGGTGGGTGAGAAGGTGGATGCGCACCATGCCTTGATGCACGATGCTGGAGTGCATATTGGCAACGACGGCTGTGTCATTCTTGCCGTGGCCCATCTCTACAAAGCAGCACGCCATGCAAAGCTCTTGCGTACGGCGTGGACAGATATGGAGTGGTTCTTGGAGCAGCATAGCAAGCGTCGCGCCTTCGTGCAAGATGTCGGCAAGTATGGTGGCATGAGCTCCTTTTCTCGCCACTTCTCGCTTGCGCTGGGCACGCCCATTACGATGCTGGCGCGTCTCAAGGCCATGCCGAGAGCAGCACAAAGCTGGTCAGCAGTGCCTCGACGCGCGCAGCAAAGAATGTTCGACACACCCTGTGAGCTCAGCTTGGCCAGCGACGAGCTCTATGGCCGCGAGAAGGCGCCAGTGTCGCATCGGGATCCTTTTTTCGCGCTTTTGGAGAAGATGACGGAGAAGAGCGATGCCGACAGGCAGAAGACGACATCGCGCAGACCAGGCTCTGGTCAAAAGCCAAAGTTTACCGGCCTCCAACTCTTAGAGACGTACAAGAAGATGAGGATTGCGGAGGACATGCCGCTCAACTTCGATTATGTCTCCTTCTGGATGGCGTGCTGGGAGATGTTGGACAACATTCGTCGCGCCGTCGCAGACACGATACCGGAACTGTGCACCAAGTACGAGGACATGCTTGTGCTCGCCATCTTTGACCGTGCTGCAGAGGCTGAGCGGCTGCGAACTCCGCTGGAGCACTCGGCGATGGGAGAAGTTGCGCACATCATCAACGCGCATGTCGAGAAGAAAGGGAAAGGCGACGAGCTGAGCAAAGGTGCGGCGACGAGAATGCGAGGGCCCACAGCACCCAAAGCCCCATCAAAGCCGAAGCCCAAGCGAGATGCGAGAGGATATCTGGTATGCAGACCACAGTGAAAGCGAAGCTTCGTAGAGAGCGAGAGAATGAAGATGCAATGGACTTCACAGGTCATCCAATCACTCCCGATCCACGCGAGCTGATACCGTATGACTTTCGCCTCGCCTCGAAAGGACAATACCGCATGTCGTCGCCTCGTCCAGAAGCATCAAATTTCCAGATGCTATGCGTGACATTTGCTGCCCTGTTTCGCAGTCTCCCTCCCCAACGCCTGCCCGCTCGAACGCGATGAATCATTCACACGCCTATCGACCATCCTTGCCCCATCCCTTGGCCCTCATTCTCGCCTCGATTTGACTCCAGATATCTTCCACCACCTCCCGATCTCTCCACCGATTGGAGCCCTTGTCAATCTGCACACTCAGCACTTGCCTGCCCCAACCCTTGACCGTATCTGGTATCACTTCTCCCTTCCAGCCAACGTATACCCCGAGCGCATGGTTGAACAGCTCTGCCGGGTTCGTCCATTTGTAGCTCTTGAACTGCCAAGTCTGCCCCGTGGTAAAGACTGCCACCACACGATCCCAGTAGTCTGGTCGAAAATTGGACGGGTCGTCCACGAGGATAAATCGTGTAGTGTGGCCGGGATGCACAGTGCGCAGCTGTCGGGTAATGTGGAGAATGTTGGCTGCCTCGCCAGACTCTTCGAGGGGAGTGTAGACACCTTCCGCCAAGAAGCTCTTGATGTTTTGCATCTTGAGAAGCGACGAGAAGGATGAGGAGAGCAAGATGATGGGTTCTGGTCGTCGTCCGGACTGCGTAGGCTTGACAGGTGCTCGAATCGCTGGGTTGCTGTTCAGCGCTGGTGCAGGCGCTTGCTGACCTGGCGCGACCTTGGCCTTGCCGAGGAATAACGGACTGTATTTACGCATGCCGCTGAAGTCTTGAATCTTGAAGCCGCGCAGCACGGTATTGTGGTCTCCCATTCTACGCTCTGCAGCATAGATATCTCTCAGTCTCTCCTCCTCTTCCCTCCGCTTGCCTTCCTCCGTGCCCACATCGCGCATCTCTACATCTTCCTCGGCTTGCTTCAGCGCATCCGCAGTCTCTGCGCGAGTCGCTTTGTTATCGTCTAAGCTCTTGATGAACTCGCTCTCATTCTCCCCGATTTCACCAGACAGCCAGGAACTTAGGTCCATACGCTCGGTGAAGACCAAGTTGGAGACTGTCTCACTCTTGCCCGCCTTTTGCAATTCGCCATTGAGCTCGCCAATCGCTGCAAGGTATTGAGGCACAGAGAGGTCCTTCTTGAGCCATGCGAAGTAGATGGATCGAAGATCGAGTGGTTGATTACCGGCTTGCTTGGAGATGAATCGCGTGGGCAGAGAAAGCGATATGGGAATGTGTTGGGCGCCATCTTGAGGCGAGTCGAAGTTGAAGATCAGGTATGAGGCCTCTGCCAGCGATACATCGGTCGAGCCTTTCGAGGGATCTGCGTCTGTGGATGGTATGGGTAGCGTGTTTTTGGCGATGGTTCGGCGCAATAGGCTGAGCGCGTCTTCGCTCTGACCGTTAACCGCGGAAGCCATATTATGCTGCAAGAAAGCGTCTTGTTCTTGTGCGTGATATGAACTTCTGAGGACAACTCAAGAAACGCGTCTGCCTCGTCTCGCGGTCGCAAGTCTTAGGGAGGCCCATACATACCAGATTGTCAATGGAGGTTCTCACCGCCTCCACTAACCTACCTCTACGACCAACTTTCTATGTTTGCCCTCGCACTATACTCGCTATTGACTCGCAAAATGCCTCTACGTATCGATCTCTCGCTATAGAGGGCTTAGATAACCTTACAGGTCAATAGCGGCACTATATAAGGCGAAATCCTATAGCACCTTATATAAGAGACTAGTTACTAGATAGCTCTTTCTACGCTTTGTCGGAGGCTTAAGGAATAGGGGGTTAATTATAGCTATTACGCTTACTATAACCGAGTTAATAATGTCGAGGTACTAAAGATCCGAGTCGTATATACCTTCTCCGCTTTACGCTTAACTAATAAAGAAGCGGTTAAAGTACTAAAGATAGATAGATTTAATATTAGCTAGCGGAGATATTAACGGATACATTAAGAGTTTAGATTAAAGAAGGCATTATCGCGAGATAGATAGATAGAAGCGGAAGAGGAAATAGTAGAGGTCTTATAGGAAGAGCTCGAGAAGTCTACGGTAGAGTCCTTCGGCCGACGGTACCTATATACCTATATTAGGTCTAAATACAACATTATTAGTAGAGATCGGCTATATCGTATAGCTTGCTTACTAAATCCTAAAGGGTTGCAAGTCCGCCGCGAGCGGGCGCAAGAGTACTATAGAGCGATTATTATACTAGGCCCTAGCTACGTAATATTAATAGATACTTACTATAAATTCGAGCATTAGGGAATACAGATCTACGCAGCTATTAATATCTACTCGCGTTACATTATCTAGGTCTACGTAGGGATTACTAGCCGTATAGCTATATCCGTACTCGCTTAATATATTGCAACGATTAAGAATAGTAGTATAATACTATAGATTATCCGATTAGACCGTAGGGCGGAAACGATTCTAGCCGCGGACGCTTACTATACGACTCGCCTTACGACTCGTAGTAACCTAGAACCGGAACTAGAACTAGAACTACTAGCTTTCGAAGACTGCTTTAAATATAGTACGAGCAAGATAAACTAGCGGATCGAGGTATAGTAGCGCTAGCAAGTACCTGCATTAAATAGCTAGAGGGGCTATTTTTACGAGTTGCTACGCGAGTTACTATACGATACTAAATTGCTAGCCGATCGGATTGCCTTCCTTGCAGTCTATATACCAATTATACGCTATAAAGTCCTCGAATTTGTTTACTTCTAGAATAGCTATCGGATTAGGAAGCAGGCTAATCGACTATACGTTATACTAGGTATTCCGCATATTCTATACTATTATCTAGAGCTAAGCGGGCATTCTTATTAAGGTATTCCTATGCCTAATAGCGTACTTAATAATATAGAGCAAGACCTTTAAGGATTCGGTATATATTAGATTCTATAGTACTCGCTATAGACTCGCTATAGACTCGCTAATAGACTCGCTAATTCCTAGATCTTAAAGCCTACCTACCCGAGGCTACGCTTACTTAGTGTTAGATAGCATTATAGACTCGCGGCTTCTCGTATCTAGTTAGTAGTAGCGAGAATAATAGCGATAGAGAGCGAGTTTACCGCTAGGTATACTTACTTCTTCGATAGCTAATTGCCGAGTATACAGCTATAGGGTTAGGGCCTAAACTAATAGAGTTAGATAAGCTATTAGCAGCTCGTAATTAGACGTTAGGTAGGGCGAATACCGGGGCTAGATTAATTAAGTTTATAAATAATATATACTAATCTAAAATAAGGGATTTGCGAGCCGGCCGCGAGCCGGCCGCGAGTCGCTTATTTCAGTTCTATTTCCTTCTTAATCTTTCAATTCCTATCTTGTTCTACCTCTATACTACTGCTATAGTTCTACCTTAGTTCTACTACTAACAATGCCTGTCTAGGGTACCTTTTATACTATTACCGGCGCTAACTATGCAATACTATTAAAAGCATACGCATTCTATAACTAATATAGTCTTAAGAACCCTAATCTACTAACCGAGCGATTTGTACGCGAGCCGTTAGTAGCAGCCGCTACTACTGCCGCTGCTGCTACGAGTTCAACTACGAGTATAGTACGAGGCTTTAATACGTTCCCTTCTCTACCTAAGGCGGCGAATACTGTACGCAATACTGCTATTTAGCAGTATAAGCTAACTTCTCGACCAAATGCTAGATCTTAGAGCCTCTCGCAACGTCTACTAATACCTATACAACTATTAAAGGAGCCAACAAAGGTATTATTTACCTGCCGCTATTTAGTTTTTAGCTAGCGAGTAGAGGTTTCTCGTAGGGGTAGAGTCGACCTATAGGAATATAATCCGCTAGTCCTATAGACTTCTATTACTAATATCTAGTCTAACAAAGACTTCGAAGAAGCCAATATATTACTTATAGACTAGGTTCTTAGTCGGATTAACGCTAAGGACCTACCGTAAGGTAGCGTCTATTAGGTCGACGACTATACGGACTACTTCTTTTATACTAATTTCGATAATAAGCGCTTATTACTAGAGAAAGTCGCTTCTAAAGCACTCGGCCTAGGACTAGTTAAAGAGGCTCTTATACTCTTTAAACCGCAAATAGGAGGGAAAGCAACAAAGCAGCTACTAATCTATTACCTTAAAATCTGTATCTAATAATAGCGGAAGCTATAGCAATAAAGGCAACTAAAGCGGAAGCTATAGCAATAAAGGCAACTAAAGCGGAAGTACCGGCTAAGTACTCCTACTACGAGTAGTAGCGCGAGTGCTATAGCGAGTTAGGACGGGGTTGTTCTATCTATAGAGATTAAGCAAGAGAAGCTATAGAAGGAGAAGGTAATCGATACTAAAAAGCCGCCTAAGTTTATTAACCTAAGCGGCGAGGACACCGCGAGGCTACCGCGAGTTACGCCTATTCTAAAAGAGTCGAGCGAAGCTAAGGACTAGCAAGATAGTTAGCAAGATAGTTAGCAAGAAGGCTAGCAAGGCTAGCAAGGCTAGTAAGGCTAGCAAGGTTAGCAAGGTTAGCAAGGTTAGCAAGATAGCTAGTAAGATAGCTAGCAAGATAGCTAGCAAGATAGTTAGCAAGATAGTTAGAGCGGACAGAAGAGTTAGAAGCTAAAGCGTACTTAGAAGCTAGTTAATCTATTATCTATAGAGATACAATCGAAGAAGAAAGGAAATTGAAATATAGACTCGCTATAGACTCGCTATAGACTCGCTCCTTAAATATTATCTACTAGTAGCTCGCGATCGCTATTTAGCTATAGCTCCTTCTATATCGTATATACATCCTTAGACTTAATAATAGCCTTATTCTTAAGCTATTTAAACTACGAGAGGCAATATCCTTCTAACTTATCGAACCTAGCTTCTAATGCCTTAATCTTTGCCTCTAGTTTAGTATTCTTTGCCTCTACGGCCTCGACTCGCGCCTATATCGCGGCTAGCTCGCTGTTTCTATCGTCTTCTTCAACCTCTTCTATACTAGCCGTATAGCTAGACTTGCCCTTATACTTGTAATAAGCGCAGACACGCTCGCCCTTAGTATTAAGTATACGATACTCAAAGTTATTAGAGCGTATATAGTAGTAGCATAGCGCTAGTGCAAGCTTGCTAGAGTCCGTTTCTATAATAATTCTAGTAGCCTTATATTTCCGCAGTCTATTTAATGCCGCCTTCTTCTTATCCGGTATCGCTATCTAATCGAGTAGCTCTTGCTATATTTGCGCGCTATAGTACTAGAAATCGTAGGTGTTTGTAGTCGTAGGGCGTCGAAGTCTAGAGCGAGTTAGTAGCGAGTCTATAGCGATACGCCTCGCGACTTACGATAAATATTCTCCTCCTCCTACTAGTAAGTACGCTACTAGTAAGTGCGCTGCTAAAGTTGAAGCTGAAGCTACTAAAGCTACGCTAAGAATAAGGTCTCGCGGAATACTAGTTATAGCGGCTGCTACTATCGGTATCGGTATCGCTGTCGGTATTGTCGATAGAAGAAGAACATTACGAGGTAAGGCGCGAAAGTATAGCGAGTCTGAGTAAGGTTTATCGCGACAATAGGCATAGTGAGGTTAGTAAGGAAGGCGCAACAGGACAATAGACTAAAGTGAAGCCAACCCTCCATTGACAATCTAGTATGTATGGAGCTCCGTCAAGTCTTGGCAGCAGTCGCGATGGCTTCACTTCATCTCATCAATATTCTCTCCACGACGCATGCCACGAAGCCGTGTAAATGCTGTTTTATCGCGTAGCCTGGGTGTGTCACATTGGATAGTGCGGACACCGCTTCACTGATCATTCCATAACTATCCGCCTTAACCGATCTCATGTTGGCAGGCTACATAGTATCTACACAAAGAGCTGCGTTGACTGAAGATTATACGGCATGGACTGCCAAAAAGCACAGGAATCACCAGACCACTACTCAATGGAAACTGCGACGATGTCATGTGGAAGCGGCGTGAATGTCGAGTTGCACTTTCCACCTCTCGCAAGGACATGGCCAACAACACTAACACTATTCACGACCTGTCAGCTGCAACACAACATGTGTAAGCAGAGAGACTGATCAGAATTCGCTTCCCAACTGTCAACTCTCGACTTCCCAGAAAGGCGTCAGCAAGCCTCGCATCTGCTCGGAGATTTTCGCGGAGACTGCTGGATCGCCTCGAGATTGAAGATCTGCTCAAAGTCAACAAACACAAGATGAAGACGAGTGGACCTTCTTCGCTTCCATCAGAAGCCCGAACGCCATGGACCGACGACGAGACATTCATCAGTACTGACGCCACACGCCGCGAGAAGGCGAGGTCTTTTGTGTGGCGAAGGAGAGAACAGTAATTCTTACGTACCTATGCCTACGACACTTACCTGTAGTTTAATGCCAGTTTCGGGCACCAGGGAGTTTAACGTGTGAGCGGCCCACGGCAGTTAACGACCCGAAGGCTGTCGCCTGGAGTTTTCTGTCATACGGCGGACACTTGGAGTTGTATCGACATCAGCGGTCGCCATTGGAGGTTAACGTGTGAGTCGGGCCACGCCTGGAGTTTATCGTCATGCGGCAGACGCTTGGAGTTGTATCGACATCAGCGGTCGCCATTGGAGTTTAACGTGTGAGTCGGACCACGCCTAGGAGTTTAACGTCCTCCAAGGAATGACGGCAGTTAACGACCCGAAGGCTGTCGCCTGGAGTTTCACGTCGTCGGCAGACGCCTGGCTTTAACGTCTATCCAGGAATCGACGGCAGTTAACGACCCGAAGGCTGTCGCCTGGAGTTTTACGTCGTCGGCGGACGCCATTGGAGTTTAACGTGTGAGTCGGACCACGCCTGGAAGTTTAACGTCTGAGCGACCGACGGCGTTGGTGTTTAACGTGTGAGAGTCGCGCCACGATGTGGGAGATTCGACGTGTGAAAGATCGACGGCAGGGCGATGTAGTCGGTGGTGGAGGCGGCGAGTGGTTCGGGATCGATGATGGTATCTCAGTGGCTGAAAAGCGACAGGATGATGGACGATCTGCGAAGAACGTCAGCAAATTCAGAGTGGTGGAAGGAGTCGGCTACTTTCCAGGTCAGGATGCTGTTCGCGCCTCGAGATTGTTGTGTTGGCCGCTCAAAGCCCATCGTCACCAGCGTGTCAGGAAGATCGCCTCGCTTTGCCAATGTCACGATGGTGTGGTTATGTACCACGCCCCGACCTTCGCGTGTTACCGTCGGCCTCACCAACTCAAACTTCTTTTGAGATCTGGCCGTCCGCTTCGATGGTGGCGAATCGGCAGTCGACAGTGCCGTGGCTCGGAGACTATGAAAAGTGTCAGCGAGGAGGTCTGATATACGAGCAAAAGGCCATGTACTTCCCAGAACAGGCCGGGCCTGTCAATGTCAATGTCAGTTTCGCCAAGATGTCAAGGAAAAGTTCGTCTCACGGTGCGGTTGCGGATTGGAGGCCGTGAGATTGTTGTAAGGCAGCACTATCAAATGCGACACAAGCTCCAGAAACCTCGAAGGCCAGCTGATTTCGCGATCTGTGGTGTGAAGCCGTGGGCCGTATCGTCACGCTGCAGAGTTCTCAGCGCTTCGAAGCTGCTGGATCGAAGGCCAAGGCGCCACCGACATCTGCAATCAGTAGCCGAACTGTTCAGGATGTCAGCAAAGTCGAATTCGAGTTTCTCTGGAAGAGACTTAGGATGCTGCCGCTGCTCAGGGCCTCGAGATTGTTGTGTCGCGCGCTCAAACGCCATTGTCTTTCGAGGCGGAGCGCGGTGGTGTCAGTGAAACCATGTTGGTGGCGGCCGAGGCGGCGGATCTTTAGAGAAGTCAGTGGTGAGACGAAAGGAAGAGATGTTGTGAAAGCGGAAGCATGTTGCAAGAGAAGTCATTGTATGTGTGTGAGATGGCGAGGTGAGATTCGGCAGGTGATGGTTGGATGGTGAGGGCAGTGAGGTGAGAATGTGTCAGAGGAGAAGATTTGGGAGGTGATTTTGTTGTAGAAAGAGTGCTGGGGAATGATGGACTTACTGGAGGTTGTTGTGTTGTGGTGGTGTGGCGAGAAGAAGGTCGAAAGTGGGATGCAGGAGGAAGAGTGCAGAACGAGATTTTCGAGGGAGAAGGGCTCTTTTATGCTGCAGAGACGGGCCTCATGACTAATTGCAAGAGACCGGTGGCATCAATGGTCTTTGGATGAAGAGAGACGCTCTACCATTGAGTGAGAGTGATCACCAGCATGTGAGAGCATGTCGGCGAATCCCAGGCATCGCCAGGAGTCCGACCTACGGATGTACCACGTCACGGTGAGCAGTATCTGCACAACACAGCCAACACATTGACCGGAGATTACGCGATTCATAAGTCGCGGTATGGCAGTACCATTGTAAAACTCCCTCACTGCTAGATTGGACCATGTATGCGAGCAGCTAGCAGAATGGCATTGGAGCAAGACTTATGGCAACTCAGGTGGAGGCAGGATGTGCACCGCAAACCACCCTCAAGACCATCGCAATGCGGAAAGCACATTGCCTTTGAGATTAACAACTCATTGCAATGCAGACTATGCATTTATACCACTCTTGTTCCCGAGCGTATCACGTTGTTCGCGCCAGGCCGCGCGCAACAGCGTGGTTTGTGCATGCCGCCCTCAAGGAAACTTTGTATGAGACTTCGGGATGCCGGTGTTCTTGCACCATTGGGACCAGCCGAGCAACCAACACGCATTCTTAGCGCGCAGTCAGCTTCAAATGAGTGTTACTCGCTCAACAGCAACACGGTCCAAGTTTACATGCAACTTACTCGTCCAAGAGTACCACACTTCGAGCCAAAGTGGTTCTATTCCTCTCTGCAACGTCGCATCGTCAATGGCTCGGAGAAAGACGATGCCGAGCTCGTAAAGGACGTTCGTTCATGATCAGTCATCATCTTTGTGAAGGTCCATGGCAATGGCAATGGCAATGCAAACTTCTGCTACCGTTGGTACCTCGTTCTTGCTACGTTGGAGGCACTTGGTGAAGAAAGAGCTGCTCGCTCGCTTGCATCTCAGCTTAGTTACCCGCAAAAGTCCCGCCGCAAAACGAGCCTTTTGCAACCAATGCCGCGATTCTGTCGTACTGGTAAGAGAACGGCGGCTATACCCGATCGACAGGTGAAGTCGCAAATTAGGTTGCGCTCTGGGCAATGCCTTCCTGATTGGGAGATCGCGGGTAAGGTGTTCCATAAACATGCTCGCTGATGATAGAAACTTGAGAGTTGGAGTGTAAACAAGCGTTTACATTCGAGACTCAGGTCTGGATCAGCTGAAAGGGCTAGACAAGAAGAAGAAGTACAACCCAACATCGTCGTCAACTTGTCGATCAGATCTAGTACTACACTATATAGACTAACTGATCTGTACGAGACGGACCTGATACCATCAAACAAAGGCGGCCCCGATTTCCTCGGAGGCTTCTGCGCAGGCCACGAAGCCTGAATATACAAATTCGCCGGGTTACATCATAGATTTGCTTTCTGTGCATGCCATCTGAACCGTGTTGTGAATTCTGATATACAGTCTCTCCGCGACGCCCTTGATATTACAAGTTTGAAGGCTAGCACAAGCTCCCGTCGCACTTATTGCCAGATCATTGCCGAGCGCCGTCTCCTTAGATTGTTCACGTACTTGCCTTGATAGAATCTCTCAAGTTGTAGGTGTAGCCAGCGATGAGTGGGTTTGTTGTGAGCGGGTAGATGTCAATTGCGGAGCTTTTGGGTTCGGTTTGGAGGGCTGATGGACCATCTATGCCGACGTGGTAGCCGGGCTGTTGCGCCGTATGTGTTGAAGTTCCAGTAACCCATACCCTTCTCGAAGCTGAGGTTGAGTATGAGATAAAGCCGCACCAAAATTCTTGTCCGTATTCGACGCCTGGAAATGAATAGCCTTCCTGGTTGCAGTAGGATATGCACTTTTCTTTGCTCATGTCGTGGCTTGCAAACGACCTCGGGAATCCGAGCGAAGGCCGCGTGAATTCACGCTCTCTATGAAGCATCCAACATAGCTCCACCCATCGATGGCCGTCGAGCGTTCAAGCAAGCTTCTTTCCGTTTCGGCATGGTCGATAACGCGAGCGTTCGCAAGGAGACCTATGAGGAGCAGAGGCGAGAGAGCGGGTCTTGCGTACATCTTCGCGCTGAGATATTGGTCCCGCGAAGACGGTCCTTTCGCCATACGGTCGTAGTTCCATCTTATATCCTTTCAAAGAATGCGACTCTCCCCGTAGACCTTCTGCTTTGAGTTCACTGGTTTGTTGTAGACAGGCCCTTAGACTGTTAAACGGAGCAATGTTGGAAAACGTTAGGCTCTAATATCGCATTCCATACATGAAAGAAGTGGAAATGAGCGTCATAATCAGTCAGAATCCATTTCGTCAAGCGTGGATCCTATTGTAAGTCGCTGTGTGCCGCCATACTGTCGTCTTAAAGCTTCAATCTCCGAATCAGACTCCTCAAACGTCTTCTCATGATCACGAGCAATCGTGAAGTCAGGCATAACTTTCTCCTCATCTCCACGATATTCATTATCATACGGCGCCTGAGAGCTGACTTTACTCTGCTCATGCCTCTGCCGCTCTTCATATCTCCTCTGCCTATCCGAAAACGACTGGTCAAAGCCATCATACCTCTCCACTCCATCTTCCGGTATCGTATACCACGCCGGCTTATCAGCAACAAAAATATGATCCCCAGCTTTCAAAATCTTCATCACACCTTCCACATCTTCAACGACACTCCCAGCCGAAAGGTGAGTCTTCTCGGGATAACAGTCGTACTGCATACTCATTGTCCCGCCACATGTCGAGCAGCAACTTCGTGTAGCGATGCTGTTCATGCCGTTCGAGATTTGGAGACGGAAGGTTTGTAAATTACCGGACCAGACTATGCTGGAGCGGTTTACGCCCATCCAGGATACGAAAGGCGCGCCGGAGACGCGTTGGCATTGGGAGCAATAGCAGAAATCGAGGTGCGATGGGGCGGCGGTCGAGGTCCAGCTTGTGGCATTGCAGGCACAGCTGCCTCGGAGAATTATGGGAGAGGACATGGTTGTCTACATCTCTCGGCACGACCTTGATGGACGGCGCGATGGCATTTGTATGACATGAGTTGCTGGATGTGTCAGCAGCGTTAGGGTTCGTTCCTGCCAAGAGAATTCGGCACCGAAGATCTTGCTCGACATGTTCCGTTCGAGGGATATCGAAATATTAGCAACACTCCAAGGCCCTTTGTTGCTGAAGATTTTGTCAATATTACTAGTAGCCTTTAACATCGCAACAGGGCTGAGTGGGTAATACCGCTCGTTGCAGGACTTCCCGTAGGATGGTCCGTGCTTAGGGCAATTCTTGGCGACGATGAGGTTACCAAATGCGTTGCATTCGATCGCTCTGAGAAGGGTCAGATTGAGATCATAGAGAGGAGAATCATTCCTCAACTCTGTATAAATACGAGATTCGAGATCAGGCTTCGATCAGCTCTTCTAGTCTATATATCACCCAACCAAGGCCGATCATCACAGAAGCTACAGTACTCTACCCATCAAACCGAGCAGCACTTCCTCGCTGAGCTGTGAGCGGAAATTTGAGAGCATGTGTGTGGTGTCTTAAGAAGTGCGAGGCCTGACACTGTACCACATGGCGATTTCTCATATATATACATCTGGCGATAGAGCACTCCCAGGACTTACCTTGGTAGAGAGAAAGGGATCACCACTACTGCCTTAATTGGTTGACTTGTTTCTCTATGACCGAGAGCTTTGCCCTTCTCGGCCGACATCATCCAGTCGGCATCGTATGAGCTTGCCTGAGGCGCCCTAGAATTGCCTGACTTGGACTGATCTTGGTCAATCGAGGTATTCGACCAGAACAGACTTTCGGACTTTAGAGTCGATTGTGGACTATTTCTTGGCTTAAGTCCGTCTTCCACTCATCTTCTCAAATGCGTCTAGCAGTGCCACACTTGCTAGTCAATTCGAGGCCGCTCGGACGGTGCAGGCCGATTGCTTGTTGCTCGAGGCAATTGCTGTGATCCCTTTGAAATTTCGACGGCTGTGAGCGTTCATGCAAGTCGCCCCAGTTTTGCCTGTGCGCTCGTACAAATTCTGTCTGTGCACACAATTAACCACCTTTTCTGCTCCACTTATGTTCGCCAAGCATAACCGGTATAGTCAGTAAAGGGATCGGAAGCGTCCTGTTGCATGTCTCCAGGTCGTCCTCCAGACATTTCCCACGTGTAATCGTTGCCGCGAAGCTGTCATGACTCGAGGAACGACAAATGGAGGCTGATGCATGAGCAAGTGCAACAATCACCTTGTTCCTCTCAACCTCGTGTTACTCCATAATATTCACCGCTAGACCCACGTAGCTTTTCCCTCAAACAAGTGCCGCGAGCGGTCAAGACCATCCTGCCACTGTGCAACCATCGTCAAAGAGCACAGACGGGGCTAAGTTGACACTATGCGATCGCTTCGCTGGAGAATGAAAGAGATTCGCATGGTGTAGAGCATGGTTCGCGCGAGTGACATGGGAATTACCAGCTGTGCAACTCACGACAAGTTGACATATCGTTAGCCGAAGATCACATTGCCTATTAAGTTAGATGTGGGCAGATAGCACTGGCCGGGGATTACATGCATGATCAACCGTGTGCCCACGCGTGACGACGTTGGCAGAGTGCCGAGCTGGAAGTGAGGTCCAAGTGTCGCTCCGGCAGTCCTGACACTGCCGCTTCGAGCGAGAGACGAAAACGGCCATGTTTAGGGCCTTGCAGGTGGAGTCGAACCACATGGCAAATCCTTTAGTGGCGCAATTTCGCGCAGGATATTGACGGCGTCGCAATCGACGGGTTCTTGCGCGCGCATGAAGTATCACCAGTGTCGTGAGGAGTGGCAGAGTAGAGCATGGAGGGTACAGCAGGAGGCTGGAATTCTGATCGAGCTACCATGACGATGCGTTGTGTCGCCATCGGACACGAGATTGTCTCAAGATTAGACATGAGGTGGTATGTGTGCACGATTGGTTAGCTTGCCGCGTCGGTTAGATTGCTAGGAAGCAAGCAGTCCCTTTGTACTTCGCCATAGATCATCTATGGGGTCCACCAACCTGTGGATGGTGTACACGCTCTGTAATACACTATGTATACGACCCTTTTAGGCGAGCTCGTTGTGTATACACAAGGCGGAGTTATCGGATACGCTGATATCCCGCCTACAACCCGCCAAGCTGCTTAATATTGCTCGGATATCCTGGTATTCGGGTATACCCGATGTGTATCCATGGGTGTACACCAGTATAATATACGATGTACACAACCTCCATTTCTCAGGGGCTGTAAACCCACAACACTACATAGATGCGACGTCGACGAACGCGGGCGGTGATTGGGCGGGCGCAGCAGTTTGGTATGCATTGCACAGTGCTGTGAAACAGTACTCTGCATAGACTGCAACGTCCCCTTTTGGAGGGCGGAGGAGGCGCTCGGGAGTAGTGAAGTGCTGCCATTGGCTCCCGGCGGTGGAGCTGGTTCAGCATTCGCATGCGATCGCATGGGCTACAGCTCTGGCTTGGAATGTGACAGCTGCATGTCGCCGCTTTGGGGTGGCGAGGAGAACAGTGGGCTGCCGGGCGAGGACCAGGATGGATATCAGGCATGGCGGCGGCGTACAGTACTGTATCTTGCTGGCCTGGGGTGCTGTGATGAAGTCGCGAGCGGGGCGATGCGAAGGCGGAGGCGGAGGCGTCGATGGCTGTCACGTCGCAGGTGATCGCGTGGGAATGGGAATGGATAGTAGGTAAGAATCTCGGTGGTTGATTTTCGGTGGCAACCAGTGATCCGTGCGCCGTGCCGGAAGAACGACTCGAGTTCCCACCATGACGCTGCTGCTGCTGCTGCTTTCTTCTTCACCTGCAATCACAGCGACCGTTACGCAGACCCCATCACGAGACGGCCGCTGCATGATTTTGTCGCCGCGTGCAGCTGTCATACTGCAGCAGGCCGGGGCACGCTCGATGCGATGCGATGCGATGCGATGCTGAAGCCTGAAGCCTTTCTCACCCACCCTGTCGACACCATCAGCCGCACGCGCTGAGCCTGGTAGAACTCGCGCATCACATCACCACGCTCTTCTCTGCACACAGTTAACTTCCATCAGACTGCCCGGAGCGCCGGCCATATGAGGAAAAGTGTTATTCCACTCCCCGACTCCATTGCATATTCGACCCCCCACCCCACACGAGCGGATCACGCTTTCCCTTCCCCAGGGTCTGCGTCTGTGGCGAGCACACGACAGCTCTCCTAGCCTTCAAGCGGAACCGAAGATCGCATACAATCTCCTTCCTTGCAGCCAGGCAGGAACGAACATCTTCCGCCCTTGCCACCACGACCTTCACCACCTCGTCACCTTGGGACGCGCCGGGAAACATGCTCTGCTCGTCTTCACGCAACCGCTGTCTGTAGCACCTGCTCGGCTCCTTTCGCCTCGTGTCGTGGGCCCTGGCCTGGCCTGCAGAGAGCACATACCTTCCCACCAGTCGTTCTTGCACTGAAACCACGGAACTGCACCTTCCAGCGATCCAGCTCCCATCGAGCGACGCTTCACCCATCTCTATCCCGCACCGTGGCCTCGGGATCTCTATTCTACCCAGTGCCGTCCGGCCCAGCATTCTTACATGACAGCTTAGCCACTTCCACGAGGACGCTCACAGTACCACGCTGCCGCCGGAACAGATCCCCCCCCCCCCCCGACTTCATATAGCCGGCGTGCGGCTTCCGTGTCCTACGATGGGTGATATTTTTCAATTCAGCAGTCCATATAAGCCTGCTGTCCCTGCTAGGCATCGGCATTCATTCCGGAAAAGGCCCAAAGTCATCAGACAGCGTCGCGCCGAGAACATGTTCAGCCAGCGAGCATGTGTAGCTCACTTTCATGAGCCGACCTTTTGCCCGAACAATGAATCTGCGATCTACATATCTGGAGCGTTCCTGCATACCATTTCTGCTTCTACTCGAGATACCCCGTCATCGCTTTACACACACAGACATATTGAACGAGCTGATGACCATGATGACGACGATATGGACGCTGGTGGGGTCCCACTGCCGCAAGACGAAGACGATACTATTATGCCCGATGCTCTGGACGATGTACATATTGCGATTCCCTCGACGTCCCCACGACATGAAACTTATGCCCGAGATACCCGCGATGACGATATGCAGGATCATCGCCGCTTTATTCTACCATCATCATCATTTGCCCGGTCAACGACAACACGGCGGCGGAGCCATCCCCGCCCAGTGACGAGAGAAATGTTAGAGGAAGAGTATGGGCGTCGGACGAGACTTGCGCTTGAAGGCGAGCCACCTGATCGTCTTGCAGAGTTTCGTCCGTCACATGCACATTCAACTTTATTTGAGAACAGGAATGAGCAATTGTCACAGGCGCTATCAGCGCCTCAACTCAACTCGGGTCCAGCCCAACACGAAACACAAGCTCGCGTGCCAGCCTTTGCTCCTCAATCATCAAGGACCTATCAACCAACCGAGGCGGAAATTGAAGCTGCTCAAGTAGTCATGGCCATCGATGCTCAATCTCACGAACTGGACGAGGACGCGCTTGCTGTCGATGATCCTCGACGTAATTATGATTTCGCGGATTTCATGGACACGTGGAGGTTGCATTCCCTTTGTAATAAACGACTACCATCTTTCGAACTTGGTTTACAGTCATCTCTTCGCCTGGGGCGTAGACCTGATCAGATCACGAGAGCGAATGTGAACACCTCATCTGTCGATATGCAGGGCATTCGATGGCAATTAATCGGACCTTCTCGGAGGCAAGCCACCACCGCTCGCGCCATGCTGCATCCCTCTGGACTTGGCGCGACCTTCTTGCCGTCGAAACAGCAAACCACACACAATGCTTTCGTCGGCGATCATGAGAGACATTATCAGTTCCGTGCTACTGTCTCGCGGCACAAAGCGAACTTCAGTCATTATCAGCTTCGGAACGTGTTAGCCGCGAGCAACCGCAATGATGTGTTCTACGCCACTGGCAATCACGTTATGAGAGCATCCATGGCCTGTCCCACAATGAAGGAGACCGCAATGGACTTGTCAAAGCCTGGTACCAGCGCGTCTTCCTTCCGAGTGACGTGCTTGTCTACCTCTTCCAAGCAAGTATTCTCCGAGTACCGCTCGGATGATGTCTTGCTCGCAGGCGGATTTTGTGGCGAATACGCTGTTCTAAATCTGGACGCCGACCAACGGCACAGCGAAGGCTTCGTCACGCACGCCTACAATGGCCTCGTCACACACATCCACAATTATCACGACCGAAAATCAGGCAACCTTCGCGCCGCATTTTGTTCCAACGACCGGAAAGTTCGCTTGATGGATGTGAGTACGCTGAGATTCACTGACGAGTTCTCATACGATAATGCCATCAACTGCTCTGCCACTGCGCCCGACGGTCGACTGCGCGTCCTCGTCGGGGATACCTCAGATACCCTCATCACTGACGCAGAGCGTGGCGCTCCGATCATTACGCTGAAAGAGCACAACGACCATGGCTTCGCGTGTGCTTGGTCGAAGGACGGCCGGCACGTGGCCACTGGCGCACAAGATGGCAGTATCTTAGTCTGGGACTCTCGAAAGTGGTCGAAGCCATTGCGATCGCTGGACTCGGTCATGTCATGCGCACGATCTCTCAACTTCACCCACACTGGCGAGCTGATCGTCGCTGAGAACGATGATGTCGTGAGAGTGTACGATGCTGGTCGCTTCGATGCGTGGCAAGAGCTGCGATTCTTTGGCTCCATAGCAGGTGTTGCACTCGTCGATGGAGGCGCCGAGCTGGCTATCGCAAATGCCGACAAGACTGTTGGTGGTCTCATGACATTCGAAAGGTCAAGTCGCGGTGTGGGTTGTGGGAGTTACGGGCGGAAGGTTGCAAAGGCAGGTCCTAATGGCGCTAACAGCCGGAGGGGAAAGAGTCTTAAGGACGATGAGTATGTTGGAGAGTTGCTGATATAAGAGCGACCGTACGCTTGCGAACGTGCGAATTGCTGAATCCGTAACGCAGTCAGGTCTGGCCAATCACAGAGCCATAGGGCCATACAGCAGAGGCACCCGACTTCTCAAATTCACTGAGCCATCTAATGCACCCACTACTGCTCCTCTCCTTCCTCTCCCTCAAGTCTCCGTATTCTTCTCTCTACTTTCTTGTTATATTCCATGGTTATCCTCGTGAACCTGCATTCGAATGGAGGTGATGGAAACCAAGTGAGTGTCAAGAATTGAGAAATGAGTTGAGGCAGAGGTTGGCAGAAGAAAGTTTGTATATGCTTCTTGTATTTCTGGAAGTCTGAAAATGGATCCATCTTCTCGCGAGGGCTGGCCATTCCGGAGCTATCCACTTGAATGCCGAAGGCACACGCTATCTGGCCACGTCCCTCTGATCTCGCTCGATTTTCTCCCTGGTTCGTTGTTCTTCGTCAATGGGGTCCGCTACCTGCCAAGATCGCAGCGACTAACTTCATTCACCAGTGTCTCTTCGTGTCGCTCAAGCTGAGCTGAGCTGAGCTCCCAGTTCACGACCTGGCCGGTCCATCCTTTCACGCATGCTGTGGCTCAGCCACTCTCTAGCACTTTCTTCGCGTTATCCACGACCTTCTTCAGCTCCGCTGTTGCCTTCTCAACCACTTTCTCCATCATGGTCCCAGCTTTTTTCAAGTCATCTGGTCTTGCAGATTTGTTCAATTGCAGAGCTCTCAACTTCTTCTGCTGCCTTCCTCTTGCATCCCGAACACTAGTGCTTGCCTTGTCTCCTGCTTTCGTCGCTTCATTTACAGCAGCCTTACGAGATTCCGCTGTAGGCGGTGGGATGTTCAAAATTAGAAGTAAGGGGTTCTGGCCTGTGGGATCAGGTTGTGGCGTCAACGAGAGGTTCGAAGATTGGATGGCGGAGGAGACAGGTTTGACGTGCTGCACAATGGTTTAACTTAGGCCGACTCAATTGAGATGCTCGCCACTTACGTCTTGCTCGCCGACCAGTATCTGTACGATTCGTCCTTTTGGTATGACTTGTGCCACATCGCTCAACTTGACAGTCTGGTTGTTGGCCTTGTCCGGCTGCACGCGTAGGTTCTCTACCACTTCGGGATTGAATCGTCCTCCTGCCCGAAGCTTTGACAGGTCATTTTTCAGACGCTCGAGAGTGCTCGCGATATCCGCTTCGAGGGTAGAGAAGTCATATGGGTCCTCGGTGGCTGCCTCGCCTTTGGAGGACTTGGTATCTGCTTTCTTCTCTTCGCGACTGGCTTTGCCCCCTTTCTTCGCCAGACATCTTGTCGTTGAGAATTGTCTTGGATTGCTATTGCATACAGCTGGAGCATGCGTTGATCGTGCAGCAATGTATTGAGACAATGGTCTGCATTGTTGTGTCCGTTGGAAGTGATTGCTGCTGTCGCATGTGAGCAAATGACGGAGTGGAGCCATGTCGTTCTTGCTTCTTACAGCTGCCTTGATCTTGCCGACCCGGCATATCTTCTGATCAGGCCATCAAGGCACTCCTTACCCAGCAAGCAATACCGACACATCTTCTATCATAACACAACCACAATACACTGCCGCCAAACATTCACCTCCGTGCCGGCTGTCACAAGCGGACGGAAGGTGGGCCGACGCGCACGCGACGAGAAGCTCGGACCACAATCCAAGAGGCCCAAAGCGGGCAATCGCGACCTCTCAGTTCCAACACTCTTTCTTTGACCACACCACATCGTCCTTGCCGACCTTTACCTTTGCGCCTGCTTCCTGCGACCAGCCGCATTCCACTCGCTACAACACCACCGCTCACCTGGACGCCATCGCTTGCGCCTGCGCTGCACGACACACCCCACGCTCATCGACGGGTCCGCCAGCCCACGAAATGGCAACCATGGACGCGAAGCAGCTTTACGATACCGGCAAGCAGATCTCTAAAGCAATCGAGTCTGGCGATACGTCAGCGACCATTCTTCAGCTTCTCGCGCCGCTTGAGCAGTTCAAAGCGACCGAAGATCTGCTGCGACAGTCGAAGATCGGTGTCGCCGTCACGAAGCTCCGTCAGAACAAGGATCCGAAAGTCGCCTCGACAGCCACGAGCCTAGTAAACCGGTGGAAGCAAGAGGTCAACGCAAAAAAGAAGCGGCCGGATGGCACGGCGAGCCCCGCGCCTGCCGGCAAAGGTCTCAACGCTACGAACGGTCGTAGCAGTGGCACAAACTCTCCGGCACCACCGTCGAAGCCTGAGATCAAGAAGGAACAGCGTGCAAACAAGGTGGATCCGGAGAAACGCAACACCAAGACTGATGGCATCGAGCACGAGGTCACTGGCGATCGAGCACGTGACGGATGTCTGAAGCTGATGTACGATGGGATCGCTTACATGTCCGATAAATCGCCAGACGCCATCTTCGACGTCGCACGAAAGGTCGAGGTGGCTGCGTTCGAACACTTCAAGCACCAGACGAGCCCGGAATACAAGGCCAAGATGCGCAGCCTATACCAGAATTTGAAGATGAAAGGCAACGCTCGTCTCCGCAAAGATGTCTACTCCATGGAGATCATGCCCAAGCGTTTTGTCGCGATGACTTCGGATGAGCTGAAGTCGGAAGAGATGCGGAAGGAAGACGCCGTCATTGAAAGGGAGAACATGAACAAGGCCATGACCGCGCAGGAAGAGAAAGCCATTTCTACGACGTACGTACTCTTATGCCGCTCGACCACATTTCCGCCCTGTGCTCTCGTCGTTTTGCGACGGCAGTGCAGGGTTTCTTTGCTTTCGAATGCCTGCTGACTAAGCGACGTATCAGATTTGTGTGCGGCAAGTGCAAACAAGCCAAGGTCGCATACAGCCAGGCTCAGACCCGCTCCGCTGATGAGCCTCTCACTACCTTCTGTGAGTGCACGGTCTGCGGGAATCGTTGGAAATGTAAGTCACCTCTGCCGTCTCGAAGCTACAGAGCCTCGATGCTGACTTTGCGACCCTTAGTTTCTTAATTTAGGCCGAGTCAATTCGAATGGAGAACCAAGGCTCCACCCTTGACCTTACTCCTACCTTGCCGGCCTGGTAGTGCGGTCCATCAGTATCTTTGGCGTTTGGAAGACTCTACTAGAGAGAGAGAAAGAGGCATGTGCTCAGTTAGCAGTATCACATGCAAAATGTTACGAGTCATGAAGCTTCGGTTCACATGTTGTATTCACAAGCAAAATATAGCGCTAGCGCGCGGAGCGCACGGACTTTGTTCGCTCTGCTGCGTGCGCCACCTTGAAAACCTTCAGCCCTCACTTCTATACCTGTTCTCAACATCCACCTCGACGCTCGATAACCAAACCACTACTCGCTCTGCTGTGCGCGCCACCTAATAAACCTTCAGCTCTCACTCCTATACCTGTTATCAACATCCTTCACTACGCTCGACGAACAAAGCACTACCAACCGCCCTCCGAGGTCGCTCCAACACCCTCTCGAGTCTCACGGTTGCTTCTAATCTTTGCGACATTGCCGATTACCTCAAGACATCTGCAAGTGCATTACAACGCATCGATCTCTGATCATCGCTGAGGCACTGGATCCTTATACGACTACTATGAACGTCTCACCATTCACCCAAGTCCCGCGATGTTTCGTGTCTCGCCTGTCAGATATGACACAGAACGCCCCTAAATTGAGCGACTTCACCATCATCTGCGGCGATCGAAGCTGGAAAGTGCACCGGGTCATCCTGCACTTGCATTCTCCTGTTCTTGGGAAAGCCTGCAGCGGAGACTTTCAAGAAGCTCATAACGCCACCATCAATCTCTCCGAAGACCCTGGGATCGCTGTCGAGGCGATGGTCGAATATATGTACAATTTCGGCTACGGCATCTCCTCTGGCCTCTATGAGGCTTCCACACTCAGCGCGCACGTTGAAGTCGCAATCATTGCCGACAAGGTAAGTCGAGAAGTGGACGCTGTGTAGATTCATTGCTAATTCGAACGCCAGTACGACATTCCAGGTCTGCACCGACTCGCAACGGAGATCGCGTACTGCATTGTATCCGACGGAGATCCAGACAATGAAGTAAGTCAGCTCGACGAAAATTGCAAGAATCGAATATTGACGAGACACAGGCGTTCACGGAAGCTGCTGCAATCGCCTACGATGCACCAGGGCCGACGGCCCAGATTCGCGGCTACATTGCGATGGCCGCTTCTCGCCACCCAGATTTCTTCTTCACCAACGAAGCCCAGGAGTCCCCATTCTCGAAGCTCATGGACAAGCAGCCAATGTTGGCAACAGAAGTTGCTCTCGCCGCCGTGGCATCTACGCCCACCGTTCCTGAGCACAGCGGTCAAGAAAGTGACGATGGGCTATTGTAGAATATTAGCGGGAAACCCCGGCATTGGGTCTTGCATAGACGGAGAGTTCTCACGACTACGACACATCACCGACATACATAGCGACACAGCAGCTCATACAACACCTGAATGCGACATGCAGTATCAATAATGTAACTCATTCTCATTCTCATCCCTTCGGTCTTCTTGTCTGTATATACCTATCGTTGCATTCCTTCCGTCGAAGTATGCAGACCCATCGCAGCACACAGAGCAATGCATACCATTCTCCTTTCCCTACGTATAGACCTATACCCACGACCCACTCAGTCACGACCACACTACTTGGGCGCTACTCAGATATCTTGTGACCTGTTCAGCCTGCCAATGTTTCTTCCGGATTTGAGGATGCGAGAATCGAAGTACACGGAGACTGCGATCACAGAGGACAGTGGAGCCAAATTTGCTCGGTCCCTGAGAGATGGCGGATGTTACTCAATTCCGTCTGGCTGTCTGCAAGGATCTTGGACTTAGATCAAAGCAGTTCAGACGGCCAGAGGGGCTAAAATTCCTTCGTTGGATTGCAGAAGTGCGCGTGGAACCACCCAGCATCATCAGAATACAGCGATGGATGAGTTACATTTTACGATTTCCTCTCATAAACTTAGCTCACTGTCATGGTGCTGAGTCTTCGGTTGGATAGCCATGCGCGATGAAGCGTTTTTGGAGAACGACGATGAATGAGCTGTCTGTGTCTTTCACTTACATCGTTCCGACATGTGGACCCGATCATGAGGAAGGATGTCGCGTTGATGATGGCATACGTAGAAAGAGTGCCCGGTCTCTGAATACATGTAATCGGGGTAGGTATCGGACATGTTCTTTCCAACACAATCTCCTTCGACTTGCTTACTTGCGCGACTTTGTTTACTTCAACAGCAAAACACTCTGATCGCTCTCAACTTGACCCGACCACTGGCGCTCGCATTACCAACGCATTTACAACAACATGAGCCACGCCGACAGTATTCCAAATCATGAAGAAAGATATCCTAACCAGTACTCTCAAAATAGCAGTCTTACCGACAATCTCTTCGAATCAGACATCGACAGTAATACCAGGAACTCCTCAACATCCTCTTCAAGCCCAGAAGACATCTTCAACGCCTCCGAAGTCCAAGCAATACTTAGCGAATCAGAAATCGACAGTAACACCAGCAACTCCTCAACATCCTCCTCAAACCCAGAAGACATCCTCCACGCCTCCGAAGTCCAAGCAACACTCCGCCAAGACAGCCAGACCAGGAATCGCAAGTTCGGGAAAGAATAGGAACCCTTCCGCCACGATCCTTCCCTCAAATGCAAAGAACATTCCACCTCCGGCGCGATTTCCTGGTTCAATCCCACCGCAGCCTCATACAGTCGAGCTCGAATCCTAGCCGAAGGCGACGGCCCACGAATCGAAGACGAGAATCTCCTCCCCGTAGATGTGGGGTATAAATGGTCGTCTCGAGATAACCGTAAAGGCCGGCATACGCTCGTCATAACAGAAGAAGCTTTAGACGATGAAAGGATTTCTACGCCGCCGAGGAGTGGGAGTTGGGAAGCGATACAAGAGGGCGTTCGGCGAATGTTTACGGATTTCCCGGTGGGGAATATTTCGTGGTGGGCTGCGGTGGTATTCACGGGTGGGAGTGTTTTATGGATTCTTTCGGCGACTTTCAATCTTTTGGGGTACGATCCGGCGACTTCGTTTCCGGGACAGAGGTTGTATGGAGGTGGGATTACGGCGTTTATTGGATCTGTTGTCTTCGTGATCGGGAATATCTTTTTGTTCCTCGAGTCTTTCAACGAGAATCGTGTGGGTTGTTTCGGATGGGAAGTTCGGCCGGGCGCGGATGAAGATGGGGACGAAAAGGTGTTGTGGAGATTGAGGCCCGTGGAAGCAAATTGTACACATGAGCAGCATCATCAGAGTGGGGTGAAGAGTTGGATTTGGCTTCCGAGGTGGGGGGATGTGAAAGAGCATTACATTCATGAGATTGGGTTTATTGCGGCGGGCATTCAGGTCGTCAGTGCGCTCATCTTCTTCATCTCGGGTGTTGCGTCGATTCCTGGGATGTCGGATCGGTTGACGAAGCCTCTCATGTTTGGCGTGTATTGGGTTCCGAAACTGGTGGCGAGCTGCGGGTTCGTGGTCACTGGATTTCTTTACACCGTTGAAACGCAGAATGAATGGTGGAAGCCTGCCGTTCGCTCACTTGGTTGGCATGTCGGGTTTTGGAAGTTTTTCGGTGGTATTGGATTTCTGCTACTTGCGTGCTTTGGCCTCAACCAGTCTCAATGGGCGCAATATCAATCTGCCATTCATTGCGTATGGGGTTCTTGGGCATTCTTGATTTCGAGCGTTCTCAGATGGTACGAATGCTTGGAGCAGTACCCGGTGGAGGTGTTGAGGTCTGATACAGCAGACTTGGAAAATTTGTAAGAAGAATCCTTTCAGTCGCTTGATGATAGCCCTGGAGTCCACACGTCGTGCGACTGATTACAAGATATGTTCTTACGGAATTCATCATCACTCTATCAGCAGTGCCTCTGAACACCCCGAATTGAGCATTCGGTCTTCTCATATAGCATAATCGAAGTGGCTGCCATGGGTCCATTGGAACTGCCGGGTCGCTGGGAACATCGGTGCTTGGGAAGCAGCTTTTGGAGACAGCATGACGACAAAAGGTAGGTGTAACTGCCAGTTTTGAGGACAGCCATCCAATACTGTTACTTCGCCAAGCAGTGGTGCTTCCTCTGGTCCACATTCGTTGATGAAGCTGCTCAGTGCTCTGCTCAGTGCAGAGTCGATACCGCGTCCTACCAGTCAACAATCCACTGGCTCGCACCACTTTCCCAAAATTCGTCACAAGCGGCTTTCAGTCCATAATTGTTGCGCAAGTCGTCAACCTTCAAAGGTTCTCTGGTCAACGGATCCGTATGCGTGCGCTTCAAATGCTCGTATATGGTAGCGCGTTCGTAGGAGTGGCCGTTCTTGGTGATGACCGGATCATGCATGGGCTCAAAAGTGATCATGTCGACCAGATGATCTGGAATCTCTCGAGGCTTATGGTTCTTAGGATCTGCCGCTTCGAATAGTGTTCGTAAAGTGGTGAGCTTCTTCTCGTGATTCGAGTTGATTTCCTGACTGCGTTCCGAGGCCTCGATAGTACCAAGTTGTCCCGAATGTAATTGATTCGCGATGTCGTCGAGGTCACGCTGTCGATTCTGCTCCAAAGTCTCCTCATACTCTGCTCGTAAGTCGCCTTGTCGTCGTAAGCGTTCTCTGTCGCGAGCTCGAAACTTTTCTTTCTTGCAGCGAAGCACAAACTGGGAGAATGTTTGCAGGTCTTGAGACGTCACTTTTGTCGCCGGTGCAGGGTGGAGAACCTGGTCGTAGGCTGTCAATGCTGATGAGAGTGCTTCGTGTGGGTGATGCATTGCAAGCTGTGCTTGTGCTGTAGACGTGGTCAGCCATGGCACACGCATGTTGGGCAGGGATGGCTTGGCGAATTGAGTGCCCAGCCTTGTCGGCCCCAGCCTTTCGGAGTCTTATGACTCACCCAAAAAATAGTACGCCTTATGATTCTGCCCTTGGCCCGTAATCTCAATGGACTTCAGGCAGTCGTTCACCGCGTCGTCCCATTTCTGCAACTTTAATCTGACATTGGCGCGATTGGTGAAGATGAGCTGATTGCGACTGTACTTCTGTACGGCCTGCGTGTACAAGTTCTCTGCTTCTTGATAATCGCCCGCTCGAAATGCGAGATTGCCCTTCTCTTTCAATTGGTCGGCGAGGTACGACATGGCAGCAGCGGCGCAGCAGAAGCGCAAAAATCCAAGATCGAAGGCCGAGCGGGTGAGACGGAGACGGAGGGGCCCAAGGGCGAAATACTTGTAGCAAACTCGAAAGAACTTGTTGTCACAAGACAAGATGCACTGCTGCGAAGCATGGGCGAAAGGCAAGACCCCGCTGATGCCGCTTCCGGCTAGCGGGCCCGAAACAGACTTCGGATGGTCATTCACTTCTAGACGATTCTACTGCGTGTTATTATGTAATTCAGCATGTGAATGCTGTGAGTACCGTCCGGTGGCAATCGCTTGCCGACGGATGTTACGCATTTGCGTGCCGCATCGTTAGTGTGTCCGGAAAGCATGATACATATTTCGGTAGGGTATTATTCTAGCGAGACGTGCGATCGATCAATCCAGCCTCCATCGAGTATCGAACGCTGCCCACTGCAGGCATACCCGAACATCATCCGCAGTCCTTGATCTTCATATTGCCTGTGATGTTCGTGGGCGTTGGCTCGTTGAGGATGGCTGTCGCAATGCCGCTTCTCCAGTGCACATTATTTGGGTAGAACAGAATACAAGCCGGGTTCCTGGGATGTGCCCGAACCCAAAGTGCTGGAAGAGGACTCAGGAGGATGGCCGGCGGTGTTTCAAGCACTCTCGATTGCACATTCACATCCATACCAGACTCTTGCATGTGCTGAATCGCATTATTCTCAGGACCACAGACATACCTCCCGTACGCGGAGTCGCTCAGTCGGAAAGCTGACGTCTGGCGCACCAACACCAGCAGCAGCAGCCGTGGCTGACACGTTGCGCTTGCACTTGAAACGTTCCCCGAACCAAACCCACTGGCGGGCGCCGATGTATTGATGCTTCCCCAAGGCCGCCAGACCTCCCTCATCCGCCGACCCTTCCTCCTCTTCTTCCTCTTCCTCGCTGCAATTGTGGCTCTCTATACCGTGCTCCCGCGCATGCGAGCATTCGTCCACCAACTTGCCGTCCCCAAAGCACCCTTCAGCTTCGTCCAACAACGGCCCCTCGTCACGAGCACCACTGGCATTATGGCTTCATCAGCGTTCAAGAAGCCGCCGCAGGCCCCACCCACCTTTACCCACACTCCAGACACCATTCTCTCCGAAACAAAGCGCCTGATCGAAAACACGAAAGCTTTGGAGGATAAGATCGTGAACGACGTCACCCCAGAACATGCCACTTTCAACAACGTACTGCTGCCCTTTGCGCAAGATGAAAATCGCATGTCCCTTGACGCGCACATCATAGGCTTCTACCAGGCAGTGTCTACAGATGCCGAGATACGCGATGCGTCAACAGAGGCGGAAAAGCAGGTGGACGATTTCTCCATTGAGTCGTCCATGCGCGAGGACATCTTCACGCTTGTGGACGCCGTCTACAAGAAGCAGAAGGATGACCAGAGCCTTGACCCAGAGAGTAGACGATTGCTCGAAAAAGAGCACAAAGGCTTCATTCAAATGGGCCTCGGAATTCCAGCCGGCAAACAGCGCGACCGCTTCAAAGAGATCAAGAAGCAATTATCCGATCTGAGCATAACGTTCCAGAAAAACTTGAATGAAGAAAAAGGCGGAGTATGGCTGACTCAAAAGGAGCTGGAAGGTACACCTGCCGATGTGGTGGAGGGCTTGATGAAGGGCAAGCAAGGGACACCTACCGAGGGCAAGCTCTGGCTCACGTTCAAATATCCCGATCTATTCCCTGTCCTGAAATACTGCAAGAACGAGAAAGTGCGCCGGCATGTATTCATCGCCAACGAGAACAGATGCCCAGAAAATGTTGACCTATTCAAGGAGGCTATTGTGCTCCGCGATGAGGCCGCTCGCATCCTTGGCTACCCAAATCATGCTGCTTTCCGCATCGAGGACAAGATGGCAAAGACTCCCAAGACCGTCGACGACTTCCTGGCCGACCTCCGCGACCGACTCGCACCAGGTGGACTGAAGGAGATCGAGAAGCTCAAGACCCTCAAGAAAGAAGTCACCGGTGAAGCTGACAGATACTTCCTCTGGGATCATCGCTTTTACGACACTCTCATGCTCGAGCGCGACTACCAACTTGATCAGAACAAGATTGCGGAATACTTCCCTCTTCAGACCTCCATTGCCGGAATGCTTAAGATCTTCGAGGAGATCTTCGGCTTGCAATTCGTCCAGATCGAAGGAGAGCATCGCGATCAAATCTCGCCATCCGGCAAGGGCGCCGATATCGTCTGGCATGAGGATGTCCAAGTATTCGCTGTGTGGGACGACGCAGGTGAAGGTGGCGAGTTCGTTGGCTATCTTTACCTCGATCTGCACCCGAGAGAGGGCAAGTACGGTCATGCTGCCAACTTCAATATCCAGCCTGGCTTCATCAAGGAGGATGGGTCGAGGCACTACCCTGCAACCGCATTGGTGTGCAACTTCAGCAAGCCATCGCCAAAGAAGCCTTCCCTTCTAAAGCACGACGAAGTGGTAACCTTGTTCCATGAGCTCGGCCACGGCATTCACGATCTGGTCTCAAGAACCATCTACAGTCGCTTCCATGGCACCAACACTGTCCGCGACTTTGTTGAAGCACCTTCTCAGATGCTCGAAAATTGGTGCTGGACTCCGTCGCCGCTGAAGTCGCTCTCTAAACACTGGTCATACTTGTCGCCAGAGTACGAGGCGGCATACAAGGCTTCGGCCAGTGGAACACATAAGCCATCCGAGACCATCCCAGATGATCTGATCCAGTCAATTATCAACACGCAGCACGTTAATGACGCACTCTTCAACTTGCGACAGCTTCACTTCGGTATTTTCGATATGAATGTCCATGAGCCCCCTGACCACAGCTATGTAGAGAGTCTTGAGGTAAGCGAGACCTACAATTTGCTCCGTAAGAATATCTGTAAGCTGGATGGACCGGAAGCTGAAGGAGCAACTTTGAAATGGGGCAGTGGACAAGCTACCTTCGGGCACTTGATCGGTGGTTACGACGCCGGATACTACGGTTACCTGTCAAGTCAAGTATACTCCTCGGACATGTTCCACACCGTGTTCAAGAAAGATCCGATGAACAAGAAGGAGGGAAGACGTTACAGGTGAGTTATGAAGCGTCGACAATTGAGAAGACGACAGTTAATGATTTTGCAGACACACTGTACTCGAAAAGGGCGGTTCTCAAGACGAGATGCTTACGCTTGAGCAATTCCTCGGCCGAAAGCCCAGCACGGAGGCCTTCTACAAGGAGCTCGGTCTCTCGTGAAAGTAGCAAGCATACCAAGAGCTGAAAGGATGCTGCTGAATCCATCCGCCGGATGCGCCGCCGACGATCGCTCGTAAAAAGCGCGAGCCGGTCCTCTGGCCAAGTCCGTCGCACACCACCACACCCTTGTGCCAAGGTTTGCGCGCATTGAAGAAGGCCTGCGACGATATTATGTAAAAGTGGAGAGTGCGACATAGAGCTAGGGCAGTAACACATTTGTATGTGGCGGTCACGAATGAATGTATTATGTGGAACGGCCCATCGTCCTGTGCTACATTCCCCACCATGCTGACAGTACAACTTAATCTAGCAATCTGCAGTCACGAACCAGCACCATCTCCACTGTAAATTCGCTCGAGCCACACATTCGACTTTATGAGTGCAGCTGTCTCGGCCAATTCTTTGCGGATCGCGAACGTGAAGGTGGGTATGAGCCTTGCAGCGCTGAATGCAGAGCAACTCGCCGAGGGCTTGGCGGAGCTGTGCCTGCGTTGATCATGGACAAGAACAAAATGCTGGGCTGAGGAAGGTGTTGCAATGAGAAGGTATATCCAGCAACCCGTCCCACAATGTCCCCCTTGGAGGAGCTCAACTGAATCAGGCCGAATCTTGGTGTCTGCCTAGTACAATTCTTTGATCTGGGACCCGATCCTTTCCTTCACCATCTACACCCACAATGCCGTTTTCAAAACTCCTTCTCTCCCTAGTCTTAGCAGCAGCAGTAACACCCTCCTTCTCCAAACCTCGCCGCTCCTGCAAAGAATCCTCTTTCTCCCCAGCCTGGCCCTCCCAACAAACCTGGTCCGACCTCAACACCACCCTCTCCGGCTCCCTCCTCTCCCCCCTCCCTCCAGCCGCAGTCTGCGATCCCAACCTCCAAATTTACAACGCCTCCCTCTGCTCCAAAGTCGCAGCCGACTGGCATTCTCCAGAATTCTTTAACAAAGATCCCGTCAGCGCTCATCAACCTTTCTGGCAAAACGATTCTTGCGTTCCGCCTGACCTCTTCGGTGGAAATGCGACTTGTGATCTTTGGCCTTTTTCTCAGTATGTTATTAACGCTACGAAGACGGAAGATGTGGTGGAAGGGATTAAGTTTGCGAGGAGATGGAATTTGAGGGTGGGAATCAAGAATTCGGGACATGATTTTTTGGGACGGTGAGTGTGTGTGAGTGAGGAGGATGATTGAGAGAGAGGAAGAATCGGTGCTGATGAGGACGAGATAGGTCTTCGACGCCCGATTTCTCGATTTATATGTATAATTTCAAAAATATCGAAGTTCTGGACGATTTCGTCGTTGCGAAGTCTTCTGGCTCGGATGAAAAGTCTGAGCCGCCGCCGCCGCCCGTGAAAGCGGTTAAAGCTGGATCTGGAGTCATTTTCTCGGAACTTTACAAAGTCGCGGATGAGCATGACTTTGTGGTGTCTGGAGGAATTGAACCCAGTGTTGGGCTCGCAGGATGGTTGACGTCTGGGGGACATGGACCGGCGGGTGCGATTGTGGGGTTGGGGGTTGATAATGTTTTGGAAATGGAAATTGTGCTTCCGAGTGGAGAGTTGGTGGTTGCGAATGAGTGTGAGAATCAGGAACTTTTCTGGGCTATGAGGGGTGTAAGTGGGAATATTCCTACGAGATGAAGCTTTGCCGCGTGTTGACCGTGAGTGATTTAGGCTGGTTCTTCGACGTTCGGCGTCATGATTTCCGCGACTTTGAGGACGTATCCTATGTTTGACACGAATACTTTCTCGCTGGCGTTTCAGTCGATCGATGGTTCGGATAGGAGTCGAGGCGCTTTCTTCTCGCTTCTCGCAGAGCTTTTTGAAGTGTTGATCTCTTGGTCCGAGAATTATATCAACGGATACATCACTTTCGGTCCAACTGCTTCGACTCAAGAGATCAGTCCAGACGGGTCGCTCGAAGGATCGGGATACTCTACTTTCGTTGCTGATGGTGGACCTATGAGTTTCAGCTTCGGTGGCTTTGGACATAATCGTTCGAAAGAGAGCCTTGATGAGCTTCTTGCGCCTTTTATTGCGAGGCTGAATGCTACTCAGGGTGTCAATGGATCGTATAGCTCTGCTCATCTCGAGCGGGTCGCAGATATCATGGGAAGCGTTGTGATTCAGAGTGGTTACAATTATGTTATGACTAGTCGATTGTGGTCGCGGAAAGAGTTGCTGGATCGAGATGGTTTGATCAAGACGTTTGAGAAGTTGAGCGGCATCGGTGTTGGCGCAACATTTGTTTCTGGTCCGGCGCTTCGAGATCACAAGAAGACGTTGACGACTTCTGTGAGTCCGAGTTGGAGGGATTCGTATGTCATATTGAGTAAGTGTCGAACGCAGCACTTCTTCATTGGATCTTCCAGACTGATTTCAATACAGCGGCCGGCCAGCAATGGAACCCGAGAAATTTCACTCGCCAAGCAGAGATTTTGGAAAGCAATACCAATGTCTTTGGAAGAGCCATACGAGAGCATTCTCCAGGCAAAGGCACATATCTGAATGAAGCCGATCCGTACGATCCTGATTATCCAGAAGTCTTTTGGGGCGAGCATTACGAACGACTATTGAAACTCAAGCACCGACTAGATCCAGAAGGCGTTTTCTGGTGTCGTCCATGTATTGGGGGCGAGGAATGGGAAGTTGAAGAGTCAACCGGACGTGTTTGTAGAGTCTGATGTGAATTGTCAATCTTGATCCATTGCATTCAGCTCGACTTGTTCTATCGATCGATCGTTTCTTATCCCAATGGCGTTTCCTGACCAAATACGAGCACAATGACAAGTCCCACAAAAAGCTCGAAACAATCTCACTTTTCTAGTTCAAACGAACTGAAAACATCGTAGAGAGCAAAAGATTTATCTCCCCCAGATAGGCTCGAACTGAAAGGCGGTGTTAGTGGTGAATACAATCAGCTGTATGTGTAATGAGGTATTCTTACCTATCAACCTCCCGATTCCATTTCTCACCAAACGAGTAACAGTCGAACGCGCTAGCCAATTGCGCCATGGGGGACGTATCTCTATTGTGATTGGCTGCGGTGTTCTGCAAATCGTATATGTTGCCGCAATACTCCTTCTGGGAGGAAAATTGTTGGAGGTGACTTGATGACCCATCAGATCCATTTGAGATCTCAGTCCCAGTCAGCTCCGTATAAGGGTAAAGATGTGAGAAGAAGTTGTAGGAATGTGGCTGAAGAAGCCTTCAGTTTCCGGGTTTGGAACATGCCGAGTCTGGCCGGAGAAAGCTTCGGCTCCTCCTTACGGCGTCACAAATATAGAACACACAGCAACCTGAGATCAAGGCATCGCACAGAGCAGATCGTCTTGACGAGAAAGCTGCTGAAAACGAGGTAATGAATGAGTGATCAGCCTCGGCAAGCGTGCGTTGCTCGGAAGATGCGTCCCCGCTGAGCTCCACGTCCATGGGGGATCAATACTGAGCTTCATCAGACGCATCCTCGAGATCTTGCTGAAATATCCGTACAACGCATCCGTTGTACTCCCAGCAGAGATTCCCAGATTATGGCTCCCATAAGCTGGACACCACAACTGCAAAACGAAGAACTACCCACCAAATACACAGTAATCTCCTACCCAGCCGAAGGCGTACTTCTCGTCCGCATAAACCGACCGAAAGACCTGAATTGCTTGAACACAGAAGCCAACAAAGAGCTAGAAAGGATATGGGGATGGCTAGATCTGGAACCAGCGTTTATCGTTGGCATAATCACAGGTACTGGTAGAGCTTTCTGTGCTGGAGCAGATTTGAAAGGTAGCATGCGTCAGAAAGTCAAGAGGAGAATACTGATCGGATGGAGCAGAATGGAATTCTTTGAACAAGAATAATCAGCCGAAATCCATGTCGGGTAGTGGGTTTGGTGCTCTGTCGAGACGGAGTGGAAGGAAACCGATCATCGCGGCGGTGAATGGGATTTGTTTTGGTGGAGGTTGCGAAATGATCGTGAATTGCGATCTAGTTGTCGCCGCAAAGAAGGCTACTTTCGCACTTCCTGAAGTCAAGGTCGGCGTTGTGGCCGCGGCAGGCGCTCTGCCACGTATCATTCGAACAGTAGGTCGGCCTAGAGCTATGGAGATGGCATTGACTGGGAGGCCTGTATCTGCGGATGAGGCGATGGATTGGGGACTTATAAATAAGGTTGTGGGGGACAAGGAAGGTGAGGTCGTGGATGCTGCTGTGGAGTATGCGAAGATGATTGCGGCGAATAGTCCTGATGCTGTGATTGTGAGTCGAGAAGGAATCAAGTTGGGTTGGGAAGGTATGGGTGCTGAGGATGCTACGAGGATGGCCCTAGATGTGTGGCAGCCAAGATTGCAGGCTGGTGAGAATATGAAGGAGGGCGTGAGGGCTTTTGTTGAGAAGAGGAAGCCGAAGTGGAAGGGCGCGAAGCTATAGTCCTGTCAGTAGCGATGTACAGCTGCACGTATGGCATGTATGGATGGCAATATGCATGTGTTAAGCCCGAGCACCTCAATCAAAGTGCTAAACCAAATTCCAGTCAAATCCCTAATCAATGCTATTCTGCCTCACTTGGTGGACTTCACGTCCTCGATCCTGCTGCAGATTGCTACTTCCTCTTTCACATATCACCTGCAAACTTCCGGCGACTCCTTGCATGCACCGTCTCGCCATCGGTGCAGAAGGTTTGCTATCAAAAGGATTTGGACGCACACCACGACTGCTTCACCGACAAGTCAAGATGTCAATCTATACAATCTCAGACCTCACCTATATCTCACGCCACCAATTGGCGCCACTAGTCCGCGAGCAGAATGCAGGCTTAGCAGTAATAGATGTGCGAGATAGCGACTACATCGGTGGCCACATCCGGGGATGCCAAAATGTACCCACTGCCACGCACGACTACCGGATTCCCGAACTGGTTCGGACGCTGAAGGAAAAGGACACTGTGGTCTTCCATTGTGCGCTTTCGCAGCAACGAGGTCCATCAAGTGCTCTCAAGTATCTACGTGAGCGGGAGCGGTTGCAGGGCAAGGGTGCACAGGAGAAGCAGAAGGTGTATGTTCTGGATGGCGGATTCTCGAAATGGCAAGAGGAGTAAGTCGGCCATCGTGTATTGACTATGACTTCTGATGGCATCTAACTTCATTGTCACAGCTATGGCGACGACAAGGAACTTACAGAAGGCTACGTGAAAGATTTATGGGACAACTACTGAACTTTCCTGTGGAGCTTGAATAACAAAACCGGCGGCGCCGTTGATGAGGACGCCCATCTGCATCACATAGGACCAGCGTAGGAGTGGCTGACGCTAACCAATCCTTTCACATGCGATTTTAGGCTGGCAACTGACAAGCACACGGCCCACGTACTATTCGCAGTGACAATAGGAAGCTTTCGAAGTTGTCGCCTTCACTTGGTGTCCATGCAGCAGTCTGTCAACAAGGCCATGTGCGACAATACCTATTGTACACGGCTTCATTCTTCTGCCATGTCAGACTCTTATTTAAGCCGCGCTTCTTGCACCAGAGCTTCAAAATTTCCTTTCCACACCTCCATTCCGACCACTAACATCAAACCAGGTCTGATCACATACACAACAACCACCACGAGCATTCGAGTCAGCTGCAACATGGGGTCCAATATGGATCCGATGAGCCACCACACCATCGCGCAGCCCATTGTTGTTCAAGATGGGATGCATAACTTCCACCCTGTAACCCAAGCTCGAGTCGCGCTATTGCGAGATCCCAGCAGGCCCCAGTATCGACTCCAACTCACGGTATCCGCTTCTGTGCACATCATCACATTCCACACAAGCCGTAAACATATCAGAGATGGGTTTTTCGATATCGAGGTGCGCCATGATCGCAAAAGATATTGTGCATCAGAACGGTGAATGCTGACTTGCAGAGCAGGTCGCGCCAATTCCAGGTAATTCTGGAATCCTTGGGCTGAAAATCTGTCTAGGATGGGATGCAAGTGTCAATTGCCACGGTCTTTCCGACAGCTCTGGTCGGGACCGATTTGGTGGGCTCTATTCTGTCGCTGACTTGTCTTGTCCATTTAGGTCTCTCTGAAAGTTAAGCAAGTCTCAGGAAATGTCGCAGCTGTGAATGGCAGACCCCAATCCGTCCAGCAGACTAGGCTTCAGACCACAGCTCAAGCTCATCGTGGCGAGCCCTTCCCATCACGAGCAATGAGACCGTCGCAAGGCCATATACGCATGCCTACCCATCAAGCGCCAATGCCTACTGATCCCTCGAGAACTGCCAACGCCTCGCTATCGGATTGCGAAAACGTGCAGTCTGGATTTATGCACCGACAGTCCTCCAATAACCCCACAAACGCCTTCTCGCCTTTGAGGCAACCTACCATCGACCTCACCCGCTCTAATGGCAAGAAGCGATTTAGCCCTGCGATGCCCACCAAGGTAACCAAGTCGTCTTCCCACCATTATTCTGGTAAACACAAAGCGGAGATGCACCCAAAGGCTATCCGCGCTTTTGAGGATCTATCCTCTGGGCAGGATATCACGGCGGAGACAAGCGAGCGGTTTCCTGAAGGGTATTCGACCTTCGGATCTTGTGAGCCGTTCCAGGACATCTCGCCTTCTCAGGTCGGCTTACTGCCCGAGCCTAGCCAACAGGTCGGCGAAATCCCAAATTACACCAGTGCCACTCCTCCTCAAACCAGCACCTCTCTAAACGACACCTCAAGCACTGCAGAAGCAGTGACACCGGCCCCTCGAGAAGACTCCGAATTGCCTGCTAAGGAACTGGTGGTGCCGCTAGAAAATGGCAATAGCCTCTTTGGCGAGGGATCTCATCTGGGAGAAGACGACAGTCTATTTGGCGATGATCCCGACGGCCATGATGACAACAAAATCAAATCTGAAGTCGAGGGTAAACGACCGCCCTCTATCCAGATCGAGCATCCGACTATTCGAGGAGATATTCAGTCGGACCAATCTCAGGTGATTGATCAGGACGAACAGCCTCACCTTGGCGAAGGAGCCCTCAATGAGTCCGCTTCTACCAAGTTCGCCTCCAGTTACGATCCGAGTCAAGGTTTCGATCCTACGTTCGATGCGAATGCGTTTGACCTTGATCCAAATCAGGAAGTTCTCGACTCAGAAGATATGATGGCACTCTTCCCGGGGCTGTTCAGTCCAAAGAACCAATCCCTATTCGATGGCTGAATGGGGTCATCGAATAGCCATTTCGAGCCATTCCAAAACAGGAGTGAGCACCGAAGCACCCAATAGCATATGCAACACGTCTCGAGATGGATCCGATTGCGTTGCGATTGAGTAGTGACACTCCACAAGCTGAGCAGTACGGAGGGGGTCACGAGCGTGAGCAAGAGTGCAACACATATTGTTCTACTAGATGTATACATATCCAGAGATCACAGCATTATCTAGCTTCTGCTTTTCGTCATTTCTCGACGATGTCAAATTGAATCGTTCCGCTGTTACTTCCCGCCAAAACTGACCATTTGTGCTATCCGACGCGAATCGCAAATGAGATGAGGTATAGATGTCTTGACCACGGGAAGGATTTCAGACGAGCATACTAGCCGCGCTGGCACGACGATAAATAGCTTCCGGGCAAAGGCTCTGAGGGACTCTTACTCTTTGCATGCCGCTCACGAAAAGGGGTGAGCACTGAGAGGAAGCCTGAGTGAGAGGATTTTGCACCTATCACTTCTTCTGGTATCCATGCTCATCCATTCATTATTGATCAGCACCTTGCGCTTCACACCAGCCGAAAAATGCAATCGGCATTACAGAAAAGCTCACAACTGCCATCCACTCGGCATCTCCCAAACTTGATCATTTCTAAGATACCCACATTCCGCCACCACGACCATGCCATCTTTACCTTCCGTCAAGCACATCCTCGATCTCACCTCCTGAATAAGACCATATCGGCTATATATCCATTCCTCCTCATTGCATTTTCCAAAAGTTACGTGACCGTTGCCAACCGTAAGACAACCGGGCTTGTCCAGCGCCCTGATCCAAGTACCATTCTGACCGACCTGCCAGATCTGCTCGACTGATCCATCGCATTTCGCAAAGCTTATAGTGTCATGTATAGTAATGGTCAAACAATGGAAAGACGCGGCGTTGAAGAGAAGACCGGTGGGTATCCAATTCCAGTTGTGAGAAGTGACTCTCGGCCACGGCTGGGCAGATGAGCCCGAAGATCGCGAGTAGATCATACTTTGACCTCATGGTGTACACTCGATCTATGCGTGCCCCCCGTGGATGTCAATCGAAAGTGCGTACGCTCTGCTTGGAGCATATTCAAAGAGACCAACAGAGGTCACTGAGCATTGAGGTACCAAGAGGAGCCGCTGCTGAACGGCGTTCATCATCACGCAGCGCATAGATAGCCAGCAAAGCCTATCAAGCAGATCTGCGTAGAAGCTTAGCAGATGTTGGTGGAGGGGAGCAGGGCAGGATGGTTGGTTGGTTGGTATGTCATTTGAAGCCTATTTGAAGACCTTTGATCTACGCGGCTTATAGATACGTGGCCTAATGCCCCCGCATTGGCTACAATTTGACCCGCTCCGTGCTAATCCTTCGCCTTACTATCGTTATGATTCTATAGACATTCCCGTTAACATTTGATTAGTACGCCTTTTAATGTCCCTTAGATTGATATATACCTCTTAACGAGTTTTAATAAATAAGCTAATGCCTCCTTATATAACTAGGGGGTTACTCGCTCGGTTAGGAGTATAGTATATATATATTAGCTTACTAGCAGTAGGCTTAAGCTACCTAGTTGCCGGCGTACTATAGATAAATGTCTATTCTACTACTACCTAAAGCGATAGGTATACTACCTACCCCTAATTAGTAGTTTAAATATAGAGTCTAAGGGTAGTAGTAGTATTACAGGGCGGCTCGGCTTTAATAAGTCGTACGCCCGGTAGTAATAGGCTTTAAAGAGGTTAGTGTTAATATCCGGGCTATACTAGTCGATAGCCGCTCGATAGTAGTTTTATTAGTATACTTGCTAGCTAGCGAGACGTTCGGTTAAGTAGCCGTATAAGTAGATACGGCGCGTAGCATTAATTTACGCTAATAGGGATACGCGCGGCATTTAACTATCGTCGCGGTATATACATAGTTGCCCTTAGGTACCTACTAGGTTCGTTAGCGTATAGTGCGTATTAGAAGGCATATATAGCGCTATCGGGGGATCGACTTAATAAACTAGTCCGCCTATTTAAAAATAGTAGGCGTTTAGAGCGGTGCGAGGTAATAAAGCTAGGCGCGTTAAGTTGTATTATAGTAAGTCGTTCGTTACTTAGGATTCGTGTCCTTCTACCGCAGTCCGTAAGCCCTTCTACGACCTGTAACGGTAGGTAGTCCCTCTAGCAGCTTCGTTGTACTTAATTGCTTAGTTATAACCCTTCGTCCCTTTTTTATAGTATGCTTTAGCAAAGATTGGTAGTAGCTTAACGGTCTAGGCGGATGTCTCTCGTATAGCCGCTTTAGCGGTACTAAATTAGAACGGTAGCACGTTCTTTATATATAAGTACTATATACTACTTAACTTAGACCCGGTAATGCTTAAGCAATTGCTTGCTTAGCAGCCTCCGCGTATCTTCGTTTTATCTAAGCCTAGCGTACCTGTTTCGCGGCTTTCTTCGCGGCTTTAGCTTCTCTCTTAGAGTTTAATGCTTCGCTTTGCTTTTAAATTAGGTCGCTATACTTAGATTCTACGAGTTCCGGATCGACTGCCCTAAACTGCTATAAGACTTTCGCCTTTAGTAGTAATAGGGCTGCCTATTATACTATCGCTAGGTTACTAAGAAGGAGGTTGAGGTTAGTAATTCGTTTACCGAGGGCTGCCTATATATTGTCTCTATCTTTAGTTAGTCGTAGGCATTCGAGCAGTATATATACGGGCGTTTAGCGTTATAGCTCGTAATTATCCTCGTTAATGTATAGGCCGTAGAATAGGCTGCCTACTACTCCGATTCTATAGAGGTATTAGTTAAGGGCTATCTTTCCTATCCGCATTTAGGTAATAATGCTTCCTATCGGCCGGCTAGCTTGTTAGTATCTCTAAAGGACGTCTTTAGTTATATGCGGCTATAGTCGGTAGACACTCCGTCCTGTGTCGCCGTCTGCCTATTTAAGTTACTATTTACCTTTAAGGAAGGTATCGATTTGTCCTTTTGCCTATTTATAGTTATAGGTTAGGGATGAATAAATTAGTCGCGCTCTATCGGCGGCTTCTATTGCTAGTTTGTCCGCTAATTCATTGCCTAGTATGCCCGAATAGCCGGGTATCTATTAGATTGCGATAGGGCATAGTATATATAGCCGTAGCTCGTAAAATTGTCGGATAGCGTCCTATACTATATTAGCGTTAGCATCGGTAATTCTTTATACGAGTCCCCTATTGTCGGTATAGATATAAACCGGTTTAACTAGACTATAGTAAATAATCGATTAGAGTGCTAATAAAAGCCCGTATGCTTCTACGTAGAAAGATAATAAGAAAGGGGCTATACCGAGTAGTCTCGATTCGAAGACTCTCCTATCTAGTAATACCGCCGAGTAGCCGAGTTTGCTATTACCCTTTTTGTTTTCTTTAAGTAATCCGTTAGTATAGATGTAAATGCCGAGTAGCTAAGAGGTCTCGTCGTACCTTCGAATAGCTTCGTCGGTATTATCTAGTATTGCTATATTCGGGTATTCTCCCTATAGCGTATTAATAAAGACTTGTTAAACTTAGAGCGGTAGCGTACCGCCTACTGCTAGGTACGCTTATTTATAGTAAGCGAGTAGTATAGTCTATCTCTAGCGTACGTCCGTGTCCGCACGTTTAATAAGTGTAGTACTATATAGTCGACTAGCTATTCTAATAAAAGTATAGAGGCATACTAATTAGAGGTATACCTTAGCTAGTTTAATGTATAGCTTAGTATGTAGTGCTGCTTATAAGGTCGTTTTAAAGGCGCCGGCGATCTAACAGGCTGCTAGGTGCTAAATGGAATTAATAAGCTTTGCTGCTTTCTTTGCGTCCGCCGTACTAGGTCGGTACTAGACTAAAGCACTATATATAAGAAGGGGTCGGATAGTCGCTAGGTAGGCTCGCTATACTGCTATTAGCGAGGCTCCCTATAAGGATTTGTTTAGTATAGCGATAACGTTAGTTTTCTTTGTAGCTTTAGCTTCGATGTCCTTTCGGTATGCCGCGAATGTTAGCCGTAAGTCTAGCGTAACTCCGAGTATTTTAACCGCCGCCGTAGGTTAGATAATTGTTCCTTAAAATTCGATAGTAAAGGCGGAGTCTCTTGTCGTTTAGTAGCGGGTACCCGGGGCGTAGAAGTAGATAAGTTAGAACTTAGCTAGTGCAAAGATAGCTGCGTATTGCGCTAACTATCTCTCGCAGATAGTAACTAACTCTTTTATTACCCTTTTAACTGCCTCTACTATCGGGCCGGTAACTAGTATAGTTACGTCGTTAATCTAGGCTACTAATATATTATTCTCGACCGCGCTTGTTTGCTTAACTAGATCTACGTTAAAGACTACGAAAAGTAGTAGTAAAAGCGGCGAGCCCTATAGTATCCCGACGGTAACCTCTGCTTCTAGTACTATAATGTCCAGTAATCGTAGGCGTGTTCTCTAGCCTATAAGGAAGCTCTATATCTATTTAGCTAGCTCGCCGCCTAGGCGGCGTCTACGTATATTATAAAGTAGCCTTTAATGCGAGACGTAGTTAAAAGCGCCGGAGATGTCGAGTGCTAGTACGGAGGCTTTACCGCCTTATTGCTATAAGTCGGCTATCGGTTCGATTAGGGAGTAAAGGGCCTTATCTATTGCGTAGCCCTTTCTACCCCTAAAGTAGCTAGTCGGGAGGATTTGCTAGGTTTCGAATGCCTAGTACATTCTCTCTACAATAATGCTTTCTAAGCATTTGCCGATTATATTAAGTAATGCAATCGGTCGGTATCCCTTCGGTATTACCGGGTCTTTTCCTAGCTTTTAAAGGGCGACCGTCGTAGATGTCCGTAGCGCTTATAGGTAGTAGCTAAGCTTTAGAGATATATTAAAGAGGGCCGTTAAGTATGCGTAGAACGGTGTTAGTCTAATATTCTCCTTATCCCTTAGTTAGTAGGCGCTCGCCGTAGTATTAGCGGTATAGTTAGAGCTACTGCTGCTAGATAGGGGAGTGTCTTCGTTATCTAATTCGGACTTATAGTCGGGATCGGATAGGTCTTTATTAGATAGCGGTAGGTGTAGCAAGGCTTTCTTAATTATCTCCGCCGGGATTCCGTCGGGTCCTAGTACTTTGCCGGTAGCTATCTTCTTTACCGCTAACGCTACCTCGTAGAGGGTAATCGGCGGGTAGGGGATTAGCTTAGGGTAGGTAAAATCCTACGTAATATCGGCTAGGTCTGCCTACCTCTATATTAGAAAGAAGGCGGCCTCGAGGAGTTTAGCTTTATCGTAACTAGAGGTAACCGATTAGCCTTTATGCTACATTGTCGGAAAGTATAAGGTTCGCGGGCACCCCTAGTTAGACTTCTATTTGATTACCTTCCACAGGCGCAGCAGGTTATTGTCGTATGCTGCTATGTCTTGCCTAAAGCTCTTACGCTTCTAGGCTCGGATTTTCTGCTTGTATTCTTTATATAGCTGCCGGTATTCTTCGTACTTAGGTCCCTCGGTAATTTAATAGCGTCGGAGGTATCGTTTTAGTCGTCTTGTCTCCTAGCGGAGCTAGGTAAAGCCTAATTTCTATCCGGTCCTAGTCCTGCCTTTAGTATAGCGAACCGTCGGTACTACTTCCTCTATAGCTTAGTAAAGGATAGCCTAAAGTCTGATTATATATTTATCTAGCCTCTCTAGGGTGTCTAGCTCTTACATTGTTAGTACCTAGAGTTAGCGGAGGTAAGCGGATAGGGCGTAAATGTCGGTATCCTTCTATTTCTTTCGGGGTTCTTTCTTCTAATTTGATAGGAGATCGGCGAAGAGGAAGGTCGATTCGATTAGAAGATAGTCTAAATCCTAGTCGTATTTAGTACTAACCGAGAGGTTGCGGTATGTTACCGTTAGCGAGTAAAAGACTAAATCGAGGGTAGATATGCCCCCGTCTCGCGGGTTAATTCGTATAGTTTAGCCGCGGGGGACTACCTAAACCAAATAGTAGTCCTAAGTTAGTTAGGCAAGGTGCCTACCCCTAGCGTTATTCGGTCGGTCTAGCATCTAGTCTTAATAGTAGGCGTTAAAATCCCTAACTATTATCGTATACCTTGTAATATACCGGTAGAGGTATTAAATTACTATAGAATCATTGTTAATCGGCGGTTAGTAGGTATTAATTACTGTTACCGTTTATAGCCCCGACCGGATAGTTATTTTATAAACGTATTCCTTAGTAAGATAAGTTATCTATTCGCTCGTATCCTAATATTTAGTTACGAAAGTTGCTACTCGTGCGTCCGGCTTTCCTAAGAAGAGTAGCTAGAAGAGGTCCTTCTATAGGTAGTAGGTTATTACGTAGCCTTCGTTTTGTCGATTTAGATAGGGCTCCTAAATAGCGATAATATCGTATTTATAAATTTAATTACCGTCGAAGAGCGCGGCTATCCGGTAAAGGCTGCCGGCTACATTGTACTAAAGTATTCGTAGCGTCTTCGAGAGTAGCCGCCCTACCGGTCTATTACGTCGTTGTAACTGTCCGGTTAATTCGGTAAGTCCGTCGACTCGTTGCTACTACTACTGTTATCGCCGGAGCTGCTATCGCTATCGTCCCCTAGTAGGGGGTCTCCCTATACTAGTTTAAGCATCTATTTTTCGTCTTCTATAAGGACTTTCTTTAGTAAGGTATAGACGGGCGCTTTAGTTAACTGCCGGGTAATTCTAGCGACTTTCTTCGTTAATAGTTCGTTCTCTTTATTCGAAGAGGAGGTAGCTACTTTCTTGCGTTTTAGGCTATTAGCTTTCTTTTTAGCGATAAGCGCCGCTACCTATTAGCTACTCGGTATAAGGGTCTTAGTTCTTTTGCCTCTGCCGCCCTCTAGTAATTTAAGTATATTAATATCGCCGATAGAGTCGCCTAAGTCCGCGCTAGATTACTAGCCGTTAGTATACTGCTAAAGGGGGTCCTCGTCAAATAGTTGCTTTCTCTTTCGTAATTTAGCGCGTTCCCGGACCTACTCGGCTTAAATAAGGTCTTTAAACGTTTTAGCTTTAGCCCGAAGGTCCCGGATACGGGTCTTTAAGTAGGAGAGCGGTAAAAGCGGTGCGTTACCTTTCTTTAGTGTTCCTACTATAGTCGTTAACGGGCGCTCCTAGTAGTAGTCTTTAGGATTAGTAAAAACAGGTATAGCTTCTAGCTAGGTTTCCCTCTGCGTCTACGTTAGGCAAGGTATTAGCACGACTAGAGTTAGCGATAAAGACGTTAAATTTGCTTTAGTACTTAGTGCGGGAGCTATTGCTTTTGCTATACTACTACTAGGGTCCGAGACGCGTTAGACGCGTTGTTTACCTAGGTCCGAATAGAGCCTCTCCGGTAGGTCCTAGTTACTTTATAGGTCCGAGTCGGGTAGTATAATATAGCCGGTCTGTTTTAATTGTACCCCTAGCGTCTTAGCTTAGCTACTTTCCGGGTCTCGCTAGTCGCCTACTTCTACTACTCGAATGCCCTACTTTCCTATTAGTTGTTCCTTAGTAGGAACGTCAAACCTTATGTAGTGTTTACGGCTCTTCGCCGCCTTTACTTTAGCCTTCCTCCTCTCGGGGCAGCCCTCGCTAAATGCTATATATAGCCTAGTATATAGTGCGTAGTACAGTAGTATGCCTAGCGAGCAAGCCTCCTTCTTGTATAGCCTAGCACATAGTAGGCATCGATCTAGCGTGCGGCACCGGGTTCCGTTATAACCGTATATTTAGCATTTAAAGCACTACTAGATTCTCGCGCCTAGCTTATAGATTTCGGCTACGTATAGGCTACTATACTATCGTAGGCCTTGTCTGAGTACCTTGTTAGCGTCTAAAGCGCGGGTAAAGTGTAGAACGATTAATAAGGTCGGTTTACTATTCGCCCTAGTTTTAACTAGCTAGCCGATATAGGTAATCGCTCCGTTTAGTATAGCTATACTATTCTATAGGAGGATCTCCTTAATAGCCTTTTGCTTGCCTGCCGTATATATGCTAATTGTGCGTATCGGTATGCTATAGACGACTAGTAGGTAGGTATAGGTAATAATAGTAGTTCCTAAGCCTAGTCTATTTAAAAACGGTGCCGATTGTCGTATAAATTGCTCTCTCTCCGCGTAGCTATCGAAGTGTAGTTCTAGGTCGCTTAATAGTAGTTGTTTAGCTGCTGCTACCTATGCTTAGACTCCCTAATTTCGGGCGTTCTTATTGATTAGGGAGAGTATCTTATATAGTTCTTAGTCGGCTATCCGGAGGGCTTTCTATATTACTAGGTCGGGTATTCGAATTCGTAGGGAGTATACTAATAATTGTTCGTTCGTTCTTCCCCTTTAGCCGAGGTATAAGCTCTGTAAAGAGAGGACCGCCTTCTATACGGCTTAAGTAGATTTATAGACTACGAGGGCATTACCGCGAGGGCTAGTCCGTACGTAGTAGAGAGTCTCCTTTCTAATCGCTACCGAAGCAATTATTCTCGCTTAAATGTTATATAGCATTTTGCTAATATCGTTCGTCGCGTAGTTGTTTACTTAGGACGCGTAGTTTAGGCAGAGCTCTACTAGTTTATCTAGTATTCGAAGCGCGTCTTATTTAGTCGGTTTACTCTTTCTAGGCTCGCCCTTTAACTATACTCCGAGGTCGTAGCAGTGCTTCGTTATAATGGTTATATTATCTAATAATGGGTCGGTATAGTATAGTTTTAGTGTTGTTAGTCGCTAGTTTGTTTTAATCGGACGCGTCGCGGGACTCATTTTAGCGATAGCGAGGTAGCGCCTCGTCGTATCACGAAAATATTAGTACTAGCGGAATCGTTACGTCGCAGCGGTTCAACTGATGTGTGTTTCTGTGTAGTATAGAATATGTTGTTGCGGAAGTTTTTTTTGAGCAGGGCAGGAACGATGATTGCTGATGAATGTGTGGTCGATGCGTCGGTGAAACGTTTTGCCGATGTGACACCAGCGCCTTCACCGAGCTCCCAAGAATCTTGAGAGCAACACCAAGCGATCTGGCAAACATGACTACAGAAGGACCACACAAGCTCGCTCAGCTTCCAGGCTACGACACCGCGCCAGATGTGTACGAAACAGGCGATGTCACGGACGGCGATACGACAACAAGCACGCAGCAGACACACTCGCAAGTGCCGTCTGAAGCCTCAGACACCTCTGAAGAGGAAGACGACACCGACAGCTATGGTGTGAGCAGGAGACGATTGTATCCCGAGCGGGCAAGGAGTCGCTTTGGGGAGCAAAGTCGCCGTCTCGTCACCAAAGGCACAGACATCAGCGATCGCGTAGACGGAAAGCGCAAAGGCTATAGAACGCGGAGTCGGCCGCGAGATGTTGATGAAGACGAGACTCTTGAAGCAAGAATCGCACGATTGAGGAAGGAGATTGAAGAATGTAAAGCAGAAGCTGAGGCGGAAAAGCAGGAAGCAGCAGAGGGCGAGGATGATGATGAAGAGGAGGAGGAAGGAGATGGAGATATGCTCGATGATTGCGAGACGCTCAGCAGACTCCTAGCAGGAATCGACGTGCCCTCCACAAAACGCAAAGGTCACCGTAGAAGAGGCAGCATTTTTCACGATGCACCGACGACAGCACCTCCAGCAACAGCAGGAGCAGATCAAGAAGACATCACCGACGAACAGACCTTGAACAAAGTCTCTACCTTCGACTCCCGTCTCGCAGCTCTAGAATCCTCATTAGGAATCTCCGCTCTCGACAGCCTCACCGAAACGCCAACAACACCCATCCTCCCCAGCCTCACCCTCCTCGACCACCAACTCGCAACCCTAACTTCCGCAACAAACCTCAGCTCCCTCGAACACCTCTCCAGTAGAATTCAAAAATTGAAACTCGAAGCCCAAACGCTTGCTTATCTCCAAAAACAATCCGCAAACGGAAAACCTTCTTCCTCTCACGCGGAAGAAGACGAAGATGATGATGAAGAAGAAGAAGCACCTACACTCCTCACAGCCGAAGACATGGCACGTTTACAGTCTCTTTACACTCTGATTCCTACTCTTCGAGCCCTTTCGCCGACGATTCCTGCTCTGATGACACGGTTGAGGAGTTTACGGACGTTGCATACCACGGCGGCCAATGCGAGCGCAGATTTGGAGAGTTTGGAGCATAGACAAGCGGAGATGGAGCAGGAGTTGAAAATGTGGAGGGAAGGGTTGGAGAAAGTTGAGGAAGCTGTGAAGAATGCTGATGAGGCGAATGGGAGGAATGGAAGTACTGTGAAGGGCTGGGTTGATGATTTGGAGAAGAGGGTCAAGGCACTGGGGAGATGAAGGAAAGATAAGAGGTATGAAGAAGGGGATGAGATTGCTGGATCGGATGTTGAGGATGTCGTTGTTCACTCGGGTATCACATTCGATCAAAATTATCCTGTATGCCTATGCCAATGTCTCTTCTGGCCTGCTATGCGGCCTGCGTGTACGCTTTCCCCGGGTAATGCTTGAACGCACGAGTATGGACTCATGCGGATGAAGCTTCCTCTCGTCCGTTTCACGACCATGCCTCATACGAGACATGCCATGCAGCGCCATCCAAATGGCCCGGGAATAGGTCTTATTCCCATGGCAGACTGTATTCTGCTTACCATCAGCCTTCAGGGAAGGTGTTTGCGAGCGCAGCCCGATGTCGGCATCGCAGGCTCAGACTTTCGACAAGGGCCAGGATACTGTGCTATTGCCGGCTGGCGTCTGGTTGTCGCAGTTGCACCGGGTCCAGAGAGCTTCCTCCGGAGAGCTTGGTGGTGTTTGATGCACTTCCAGGTTTGCTCACTTCTGTTTAAGGATTTCTGACGATGAGTCAGCTTCGTGCTTAGTAGAGTCCGGTGTCGGTTTGCGCGGAAATGGAGTTGAAGAGGAAGAGACTTTGCGCACCTGCCGTGCGTGCCTAGTCAGTCGCTGTTTCCTCAACAGCAGCGCTTGGTTTCAACTCACCTGTAAGGAATTCCTCAAAACTCAATGTGATATATCCATCGCGATCGGTATCGTACTTTTTGAATACGTCCGTCATCCTCTTCAGACTGATGCAAGCCTGCACGAAGAGATCAAACGAGAGCACCCTTTCTCTTTCTCCATCATCGCCTCTTCCACGACTCCGCTGCCGTGCGTAGGTTGTGAAGAGCAGCTGCACGAACTGCGGGCTCAGCCTGTATCCAAATGCTACCAGCGCATCCTCAAACTCTCTCAGGCTAATGTTTCCACTCCTGTCGACGTCGAATCTGTCGAACAGTGCTCTCCATGCTGCTAAGAAGCCCCACAGTCCACAGAACTCATCGAAATTGATTGTACCGCTGCGATCGGTGTCAAACATTCGGATCATCATTTTCACCGTGTGTGAGTCAAAAGCTGTGTAGTCACCATTCACCAGTGCGCGTTGGAGTTCTGCTTCAGTGAGCTGACCAGAGCGGTCCTTGTCGACTTGAAGGAAGAGCGGCCACAGGGCGTCGCGATCGTTGCCGTCACGAGGCGGTGGAGGGGCGACAGTCGGAGCTCGTTGATGTTCTGGGATTGGAGGTCGATTGTGGTATGCTTGCGGGGCTGGCCCTTGCCCGTAGTTTGCTGGTGGAGGAGGCGAAGTCAAGCCACCATAGCTGCTACCGCGAGGAGGAGCGCCGTGGCTTGGCGCTTGGTTGTAGCCTTGCTGTCCATATGCTCCCTGTTGGCCTTGGGCTGGGCCTCCATAGCGTGGAGACTGTGGGTTCTGGCTGTACTGATCATAACGTGGACTGTTCCCTCTTGCATAGTCATTGTAGGCTCCCTGATTCTGCGGCGGCGGTGGAGGATTCGAAGAGCCATATGCACCAGGCGGCTGAGGGTTCTGATATGCGCTCGCGGGACTTTGTCGGCCGTAGGTATCGTTGTGCGAGGGTCGGAGATTTTGCACATTTTGGGGAGGCGGAGGTACAGGCTTGTTATAGTTGGCGCTGGAGTTGCTGCGATTGTCTCGATTGCCCATCATGGCGGCTGCTTGCTCGGGCTCGGCGTGTCTGTTCCAGTGGACATGCTTGTCAGCGTGATGCGCCATGAGAGGCATTTCACTAAACATTCTGGGGGAAAGGTGTCTCAAGGCGGGCAGGAGCAGAGGAGGTATACGTACGCTGGCAGAGCATCTGGGTTGTAGCCGCCGCGATTGTAGGCGCCAGACATGACTGCGATTCCGATGCCACTTCCAGCACTCTTCTAGAAGGTCTTTCCGCGCGCCGAAGCTGACTTGGTGCTGAACTCATACAAAGCCGTTCACGCGACCTGGGATGCGCGATGTGTACGTCAGAGAACGATTTAGGGTTTGCGCGCGACCAGGTAGATGCCTCCAAGTGAGTGAAGTACTGCGGAGGCCTTCGATGGGAGGGGCAAACACGGCGGAGAAGCCTGAAAAGCCTGGAATATTCTCAGCAGTGAGCTGGTAAGCAAGAGTCAGAGGCGGCCTCTAGCAGGAAAGAAAGAAGTCGAGCAAACAAATGCTGCCTTTCGCCTTTCGCCTTTCGCCTTTCGCCTTTCGCCTTTCGCCTTTCGCCTTTCGCCTTTCGCCTTTCGCCTTTCGCCTTTCGCCTTTCGCCTTTCGCCTTTCTCCAACTCAACATCCACATCCACCCACCTTGGCCTTGGCGCTATGACGCTGACCTTGGACACGGGCGGAAAAGGTTCGGGTATTCTTGGCCGGCTCTCCTTATTCGCCATCTTCTACAGTACCTGCAGCCCGCACGACATATGTCTTCCCTTCCCGTCAGTTCAGCTCGACATGGCAATATGACCAAGTCTTGGTATCTCGTCAGAGCGTGACTCACAACACCCTGCCATCGGGCTTGCTCCTTTCCAGCCTGAGAAGCAAGAAGAACCTCTTCATCTGACTTCCAGCATGTGCCCCATCCCATCCGTGGCGCAGTTGTGGCTTTGAATGTGGACTTGGTCACTGAGAGCGACGAGTCTTCATACGCCGAATGACATCTCAACAAGTTCGGAGACGTTCCGGTCGTTGAGCATTCCAAGGAAGATTCATCTCGAGGCGCATACATAGGGTAGAATAGATGTAAGCGACGATAAGAGCGGACATTGCAAAGATGCTGAACAGAAACAACACACCCGACCAATCAGCAGAGATTGACGACCCCAGCCTTTCCAAACGGCACATCATTGCAATAAGGCTGCACTAGCGCGACAAACGTGCTAATGCTTACTCCGAGGCTGGAATGCAGCTGAATCATTATTATTGCAACACGCGTGAGTCCCAGGAAGAAGCATTGGGTACGACCTGCAATTCGAACAGACTAAGTGGAGCAGGATGATACAGGGAGCAAGATCGACACCTATCCCTTTCTCCCAAAGTCGGAATCGCCCAATAAGCTGTTCAGTGCTCACGCGACAACACATATCATAGCGGTCCACTCGCCGCCTGACCATGGCATTTGACTACAGGTCATCCCATGGTTTGCCTTTCCTGCCGTGGTTACTTATCATCTTCTCACAATATATCAAAGCAACCCATGGTTGACATCACGTTGTCAACGCCACCAAGCTCTTGGTGCCGAAGACTTTGCCAACGCACTTGACGAATGTCAGCTGCACGGTTAACAAACAACAAAATGCCAGTCTTTCCCGGATGTGCTTCAGGTGTAGAAGAAGCTTCTTCTCTCTACACTACTGCCCACAGAAGATCTAAGAGCATGCAGTATGTGGAGGACCCCATGATGCAATGGCTACTGTACGCGTTATGCTAACCGACCGTCTTGGCGAAAGGACGATGCAATCCGAGGAAAACGTTCTACTTCTAGGGAAAACCCTTCGAGATGTCGTGCACAAGACTTACACACGCACTCGGCCGGCCGAAATCCTCTCCAGACTCTTCTCCACATCTCAACCTACCACATCGAACCAAGCTGCATCTCCAACCAAAACCTCTCGAACTGCCTCGTTTGACGGACTTCGAGGCTTGGCCTGCTTGATCGTTTTCAACTTCCATTTCCTTTATCCATATACTCAGACGACAATCCACGGGTATGCCGTTGAACTCGAACATGGAGCCTCAAGATATTTGCACCAACTACCGATCTTATGTCTCATTGTCCGTGGCCGGGCCATGGTAACCCTCTTCTTTGCAATATCCGGATACGTCCTGAGCCATGGCTTTCTGGCAGCGACACGAACCGACCGACTTGATCACGGAGTCGCGCGATTAGCCTCTCTGGCTCTGCGACGTTGGATGAGATTATATCTGCCCGCATCGATCAGCATGCTGATGGTCATGTGCGCGGCGTACTTTGGAGCGTTTGAGAAAGGACGAAAATTGAACAATACGAAATTGATGAAGGGAGTGTGGGAGCAACATCCACCCATCTTCAAAACTTTCGGGGCTCAGGTGTGGAATTTTGGGAAAATGTGGTGGGGCTGGCAAACTCCTTTCAAGACGACGATTTTCTACAATCCTTACGACCCTCATACGTGGACCATTCCCGTGGAATTTCGGAGTTCGATGGTCCTCTTCATGCTACTACTCGCTTCTATGCGCCTCAGGCAGCGATGGCGACTGGGGTTCATCACCTTCGTCACCCTTTACATGTTCGCTGCGAGACGATGGGATGTCGCGACATTTACTGGAGGGGCTTTGGTTGCCGATCTTCATCTATGTCATACGATTAAGAACACAACACTACTAGAAGAGAAGGAATCGCTGTTGCCCACCGAAGACCATCCCGCCTCGATCCCGGAGCCACCTCCAAAGGCCAGGAGATACGCATTGATGGCTTGGAGATATTTTCCACTCGTGGTAGCATTCTACGTGCTCTCTTTCCCGGACGAACAGGGCAAGAAGACTCCTGGCTTCATTTTCCTTCACAACCTCATCAAGTTGCTTTATAACGACACTTTCAAATTCTGGCACTCTGCAGCAGCCATAGTCGTCCTCTGGTGTGTACCCCGGCTTTCACCCATCAAAGCATTCCTCGGCTCTTCAATACCTCAATACCTCGGGAAGATCTCTTACGGCCTGTATCTGGTTCACGGACCATTGCTACATTCCATCGGCTTTGCTCTGCAGCCAAAAATCTGGGAACTTACAGGCTTCGGGTCGAAATCAGGATACTGTGGCGGACTGATGCTCGGATGGATATGCATGCTAACAATATCCATTGGCGGAGGACATCTCTTTTGGAAGTATATCGACATGCCACTGGTAAGATTTGCAAAGTACGTGGAACAAACGGCATCGGCATCGACGCCTCAACAACGGAGACGGACGATTCTCGAATAGCGGATCTGCTTTGTACAGAACAACAGCATTATGTACAACGACGACCAATGAATACAACTAGAACTCAATATTGACTTTGAGAGATCGTGTCTCCGCAGCTCGACTGAAAACATCATACGCTTCTTCAATCTGGCTCCACTTGAAATCTGCCATTCCACATCAGCAATGTAATGCAATCAATCGATGAAACGAAAATGAAAACTCACCATGCGTAACCATATCCCCAGCATTGCCCAACTTCCCATTCGCATACAAATTCAACAACGTCGGAATCGTATGCGCACTCACAAGCGCCATACTAATCGTCGTACTCCTCGACCACAACCTATCAATATGCAAATCCACTTTCGTTCCATGAACGCCAATGTTCGCAATATGTCCTCCCAACCCCACAAGTTCCTCACACATATTGAAAGTCGCGGGGATTCCCACCGCCTCGCACACGACGTCGAAGCCATCCCCTTCACCCATGTGTTCGGCCGCGAGGGCACGGACGTTGGAGTTTCCTTTGACGTTATAGGTGTGAGTGGCGCCCATTTTCTTGGCGACTTCGAGGCGGTAGTCGTCCATGTCGAAGAAGACGAGTTTGGAGGGGGCGTAGAGTTGGGCTGTTAGGCCTGCTGCTAGTCCTACGGGGCCGGCACCGACAATGGCGACGCTACAGCCCGGTGTCACTTTCCCACGCAGAACGCCGACTTCGAGACCTGTTGGGAGGATGTCGCTGAAGACTAGCAGACTTCGCTCGTCGACTCCTTCGGGGACTAGGTAGAGAGATGTGTCTGCGTAGCGGATGTTGACGTATTCGGCTTGCGTGCCATCGTGAGTATGGCTGGGATCAATGTCAGTGGGATAGGTATGTACGTAGCAAACTCGGGCTATCGATCATCTCTAACTGACCCGAGAATCCAGCCTCCTTTTCGGCACGAGTCTGCCATGCTTCTCTTGCAGAAGGTGCATGTGCCGCAACATGTAATGCATCGGATGATTACGCGATCACCTTTCTTGAAATTCTTGACTTCGTTTCCGGTCTCTTCGATGATTCCGATTCCCTCGTGGCCTAGCGTGCGTCCTGGCTCGACAGTCGGCACATCGCCTTTCAAGATGTGAAGATCCGAACCGCAAATGGTGGTTCGGACGAGCTTGACAAGTGCTTCATGTCCATCCTTTACTTTTGGGATGTCCTTTTCCACGACTTTCCATTTTCCGACTCCGTCATAAGTGAGAGCTTTCATTTTCGATGATGATTTTGTGGTTTGATGAAGAAGGACAGTTTGACAAGCAATGGGGGGAGAAGAATGAGCCACCTTAGCTGTGGAGATAGCTGCTCTGTGTATCACGCGATGCGAATGCGGTACCGCACGACTCCTCACTTTGTTCCAGCAGTTCGGTGCATCGGAAATTGAGGCTTTGGTCTCCGTACTACAGCTGTGATCTTTTGGCCGCGCCTCCAGATTCAGCCCAGCTATATGCGTAGCCATGTGCTCAAGACACGGCGGGAATTCGGATTCCTTCCCTCTATGCCTTGGACTGGAGCGTGTCGTCGATTGGTAAACTGGATATCAGGCCATTGCACCAAGCATTTCGAGAATCGGCATAATGGCAGGCTCACTCATGCCAGCTCCTTCTGAACGACAAGAATGAGATGCCCCGCAATGTCCACGCTGGGATGTCGATGTCGAAGGTCAATGCAGAAGAGGTGTCGTCGTTCCTCTTATTTGATCGCTAGCCATTGGGGTCGGAGGGGTCGAGAGGACCTGCATCATATCACGCACAGCGCAGTTGATTGCTTACGTGACACTGCATTGTCTAGCGGTTGAATTGGCTTCGTTGATTGCCTATATTCTGTCCATTCTATAGACTAAAAACAGGGTGAAAATTCTTCATATGCCAAGAAGTCATGTAACAGTCATGTGACTGAGCTGATGCATCTTGGGCAGCAACACTCGGAGTATCTAGGTCCGTCTCCGGGGATTGGCTGTCATGTGACTCGTGAGATGCCGCAGTAGTGTGCGCACTCATGGCAGCCAGGCAGATACAATGGTCTGATGTATCATCTTTTCTGCCAGATGTCTTGGTCAATGAAGCACAGCTGAAGATTCTGTCCCAGCGAGCGAGCATGCAGGCTGTCTTACGTTGCTCAATAGTTCTTCCTTGCTGTCTACTCGTCGAAGGCAGATCTGCTGTAGCCTGTACGATAATAATAATATTCGCGCAAGTCCGTCCACCATACGTTGAAACGATCAGGAGACGTTGACACTGCTGTCGATGTGCCGAAAGCGCCAAGAAAAAGGTTGGGCGGGCCGAGACCTGAATATAGTATATAGTTCGGACTCGCAGTTCTCCTTCCCTCTCGCCACCAAGTCAATAATCACTCCATCACTGTAAGATATTTCCCATTGTCAATCGGTAGGGAAGGAGATGGTTCAAGCAACGCCCGCGCGTGTATACATACTTGGTCCCTCACAAGGCGCTGACAAAAGATATCAAAGAGCACGCAAGACGTTCCGTTCATTTTTCGTCGCTCCTGCTTGAAAGAGCTGTGAAACCTATCATATACCATCAACCAAGGATGTTCTATGGCTTCAGCGGGAACCCCGGGACTGAATCCGTCGGCCTTTGCCACCGAGATGGAACCTTATCACGAGTTCTACACCTACATACACATTCAGCACCGACTCACCGGGCACCGTCAGTTCGTCATCAGTTGCTGCCCGGTGCCCTTGTTGACATGCACCGATCAACAATCATCGACAACCAGCGAAGATCCTCCGCACAGCCTACTGGGATATCTACAAGGTACCACCCCAGCTCCACGCGTTGTGTCTTGCTGTACCGGAGTATTACCACCCTCAGTCCAAATGCCAATGGCGATGGACTTGAGGCTAACAATGACCCACTACCTTCCCCTCAGGCCCGCACCCAGAAATGTGTTACTGTAGTATTGGCAGGCTGCTGAAAATCGGTTGGTTTTCTTGTCTCTACATCACCTTGCATTGTTGAGGCTCTCTCAATCGCTGCTATCTGCATGGAATGGGCAGCACGCAAGTCTATCATAAGCCTGCATTCCTGCGAGAAGTCTGGGCGCTTTTTGGAGTCGGAGTCGGCATCATTCTGGCACGATTCGCCGTCAGGCTGCGCACGGCGGGATGGAGAAAGTTCGCTGGAGACGACTACATGTCTATTGTCGTACTGGCCTGCTACACGGCCGATGCAATAACAGTGAGTGTCTGACACTTCTGCTCTCGCTGGTCTCGAGCTCTGATAGGTCTTGCAGGTTACCATCACTTACCTCGAGGGCTCTAACGTTGACTACACGCCTGAGCAGATCAGTAGACTTACCGAGGATCAGGTCGACAGAGTCGTCTACGGTTCCAAGATGGAGTTGTTTGCATGGTATACATACGCTACCCTGATGTGAGTCGCATTAGAGGGATTTGCAGGTCTTCCCACTCTGATAATGCTCAGCTGGAGTTTAAAAGCTTGTATGCTTTTCTTTTTCAACCGAATCACATTCGGGCTGTCGGAGCAAATCTTCGTCAAGATTCTTGGTGTCGCATGCGCAGTCACCTATATCGCCGTCTTCTTGACGATAACTCTCTCTTGCTATCCCATACATCGCAATTGGCAAGTCCGTCCATTACCTCCCTCCAGGTGTATGTTCAGAGCTCAAGTAAGAGGTTCAATGAAGAAGACACTTAGTAACCTACGCTGATCAGGAACCAGAACTTCTACGTCTGTACGATTCTGAACGTCTTGACCGATGCGGCACTGCTTTGTATCGCCATTCCCATGCTGTGTAGGCTCAGAATATCCATTCGGAAGAAGCTCACAGTTGGAATTCTGTTATCATCAGGCATCTTTGTGATTACAGCAGCAATCGTCCGGATATGCAAGACACTGGACGTCAATCCGTCTGCACTTGCGATCAATAGCTGGGGCGTAAGGGAGACTATTGCAGCTATCGCAGCAGTAAACGCACCAATCCTGAAACCACTATTCCAGCGAAAATTCTGGTCACGGAACTTGAGCATGTCGTCTTCGTCCTCGGGGCCGGAATCAGCACAGTCTGGATCACGCGGCAGGACTTCTTCAAGTCGTGCCACCAGTAAGACACTGTCTTTGCGGATGGCATCTTGGCGGACATCACTATGGAGACCTGAAGCTATCGAAATGATCCACTTCTCGGGACTCGGAAGCAAGATCAAAGTCACAGAGCCACTACCAGCCTTGACATCGCCCACTGAGACGCATGAAGAATACGACAGCGACACGATTCCAGAGACAATACGATATCCCAGCCGCAGCACATATGTAGATTCCGATGACTCGGATTCGAGCCAAGATGGCATTTATCAATCAACGCCAATCGTTGATAATCGGGGTAATCGGGATGAGGCTGATGTCGAGAGAGGACTAACGGAGCCTTGGCCACTCGCAGAAACGAGGAACAGCGTGCCACCGCCGAGCCCGCCCGAGCCTGCATTGAGGCAGTGGGACAGAGAACGACCGCATAGACCATGGTCAAGGCATGCGAGTGATGTAAGCGTCTCTCCTGCAATACGCCGTGGCAGCACCACCATTCGACGAAACACCGCGCCTGGAATGGGATCGTGACACATCAGGAACGCGTTTGTAAGATTTCAAAAGAGTCATCGCAATGGAAAGATACCCGTGGATGAAAAGGAAATGCTTCATGATAAAGAACCATAATTGAATTTTCCATGCCATCATACATAAGCTATACATGGACTAAGGTATACACAGACAATCTGCCACGCATAAGATGCCGCAGGGCCAAACTTGGCGCCTAGGCTCGAGTCTTCTGGATGTGGTCAATGGCCTCAAGAACGTATCCGACAAAGACCTTGGGATTCTCAGTCGCTGGGAAGTGTCCCAGACCCTTCATGGCCTGATGCTTGCCGCCGGGGATCTTATCGCAAGTGGCTTGGCTCATTGCGGGTGTATTAGACCAATCGTATTCACCGGTAAGCATGTATACCGGACATGCCTTGGTATCGATGGTCTTCATGCGATCACGTCCATCCCAACCTGTCAAAAGAAAGATGTTAGTCGATCTTTCGGGGGGAGAAAATTTGAGAATTCCGTTCCATCTTACCTCCGAAGTAGAAGTCCAAGTCTCCGTGGAAGATTCCATAGGCTTGGGCAGAGTACAGGTGCCAGATGAGCTGGCGATTCTTGAAGGGTGCGGTGGGCGACATCATGCCGTAGATCCACTCGGGGTTGTAGAGCGCCTGGTTGACGAACGGACTCTGGTCATTCCACTGGCGATCCATGTTGAGGTAGTCAGCGCCCTGGAGAGGAATGGTACCACAGCATCCAACTTCCTTGTATCGCACCGCGCATGCCAGAGAGATCTGGCCAGCCATCGACGCACCGCAGACGATTGGCCTGTTGAGGTTCAGCTTCTTGATGACAGCGGCGATGCATCCGACATAGATATCCTCAGTGTTGGTGTGCAATCCTGGGAGGTAGTTCTCGTATGGGAACGATCGGCCATGGGCTGGCAGATCAAAAGCAAACATGCGGCACTTCTTCCTCATCCGCTCATCGTTCAGGACACCATGATACTGTCGACTATCGCTTCCGGCAGTGTGGAGGAAGACAATGTCTTGGTCGCCGTCACCAGCAGAGTCGTAGAAGATCTTGCATTTGCCATAGCTTGGGACATTGACATAGACATATCGTCCAACAATATGGTCCACATCAGTCTCAGGCTCGGTATCGGCTGGAGTTTCGCCGGAATGCGCATCGTGGATGAGTTCCAAGACTCGACGCCAGATGTGGGTCCAGCGTGAGAAGGAAATCTCATCTCCTTCGATTGCGATACCTTCCTGCTTGATGTTCATGCCGAACATGCCTTGGATCTCGTTAGCGGGCATCCTCGCAATGACTCGCTTGATGGCTGATGGTTATAAGGAACATGAGCGGTACTGCTCATGACTTCAATGAGTGATGCATTCTTACCCCAGAAGCTCTGATATGGCATCACCGGTGTCTGCTTCATGAACTCTTGCCATTGTTCTGGTAGAGCGGAGATGACGAATTCGCAACCTTGCGTGGTGCCGCTGCCGATTTCGACCTTGCCTTTGGCGACGGTGACCACAATGGCATCGTTGCCACCAGCGGCCTTGATACCGAAACGTGCCGGCTCAGTGATGGCATTGGAGTTGGTGAAAGCTCTGATCTGGCCATCTGAGCCCGCAGCCTTGTTGGCCTTGGGCAGAGCGGCTGAAAGAGCCTGAGGGAGGTTCGCCCACGCGTGTGCCATATTGTTGTTAGTATTACTGTCAGTGGTAGTCTTTTGTCGCTTGTTCCGTGTTCTAGGCATGGGGAAATCAGCAGGATCAAGCAGCAATATATATCTGTACCACCGAGGTGATGGAGCTTGAACGTGTGTCCAATAAAGGAAAAAACAATAAAGCAATCCTTTGGATGGAGGGGAGACGTATACGCATCCCCCGTCCATTCATTCATCGCTGATCCTGATGCTCATCAGGCATTGTTCGTCGTCCTCATTCGCCATACAGCCGTGTGGGACAAGCTGTGCGCTGCCTGCCCTCATGGAAACAATGCTGTAAAGGTCAATTGTGGGGTCAAATTGCGGGGATTGCGTTTTGTTATGGCGAGGAGTTGTGGTAGACGGCCAACAGCTCGTAAGCCACTTGGTTACTTCCCCGAGCCCCAGCTAGCTGCCCGAGCCCTAGTAGATTAAGACCTAGCACTAATATGGAATCGCCTTGTCGTCGATTACGTGCTGTTTCTACCTGTTTTTAGATATAGCTATTCTTAGTTAGTATTATTAATAGTCGCGCCTAGGTACGCGTACTAAATATTATATTTCTATTATTTCTATCGTTTCTATCGGAATACGTATTTCTATTAGATTTCTATTAGAAGTTTATTATCTTTCTTAATATAATAGCTTAATCTCTATCGTATAAGGCCTATATCGACGATTTCCTTACTAAAGACGATATTAGTAGCGCGGCGGAGGTAGAAGAGGTAGTAGTAGATATTAAGTTATAGGAAGAAGTCGAATTAGTCTCGGAAACGTATATTCGAGGCCGCAGTCGCTTACTTAACCTGCCTTAAGAGCGTATATCTCTACCTAAATATCGATTAGTATCGCCGCGCTCTTAGAAGTATACGTTTACTACGAAACTACTAGAAGAAGCGCCCTCGCTACCGCGAGGTCTAATGCCGCGAGAGTCGACGTTTCTATCTAAACGAGCTCTCGAGCGCTATATCTAGGAATTTAGTATATTAGAGGGGTACGAGTTTAAGGAGTAGAAGCTAAAGAAGAATAAGAATAGTATTAAATACCGCTATTTATATATATATAGCTACTATAGTTAACTAGATAAGTATACCTAAAATACTACGAATAAGGCGCGGAAGAAGACGAAGAAGATAGACTATAAGTTCTATTTCTACGCTATTACTATCCGCCCTCTTAAGCCGGATAGTAAGTAGCAAATTCGCTATTCTAGTAAGGAAGAATACTATATAGTATAACTATAAGAAGGACGACGTTATCGTACTTACTACTATCTAGCAGCGCTTAAGAATAGCCGACTTCCTCGAGTAATTAGAGCGCTTATAATAGGCTCGTATACTAACGTCGAAGATAATAGCCTATTTTCGAGGGCATAGAGTAATACTTAAACCTTACGATATATATAATATCTCCTAGAATAGGACTCTTTACAAGCGGCGTACTAATAACTAAGCTTAGCGGATAGTTAACCTACTCGATTAGCACTCTATTTTCTATAATATTAAGATAGATAAGGAGGGTTTAATTAAGGCAATAGTAGCTCTTTATCTAACCTCGCTCGAGGCCTTTAAAGCGACGTCTTATTAGCTAATTCTCGACACTACTTATTCGACTAATCTATACAACCTCGAGTTACTAGACATAGTTGCCGCTAGACCGATAAACGATACGATTAAGCTCGGTGTTAGTCTAATTCGTCCGAAGCCTAATAAAGCTAACTTCGTCGAGTTATTACTATCTATACGGAAGGGCCTTAAATAAGGCGGCTATGCTATACCTCTCGTTATAGCGACTAATTATAAAGAAGCCTTAATACTAGCGGTCGACGAGGTATTTCTAGAGGCCTCGAATATCGTCTATAAGTAGTACCTAAACTAAGACATACTTACTCGAGTAAGGAAGGAGCGAGGCGACTTTATACAAATCAAATCTAACGGTTATTAGACTAATAGTCTATCTATAACTTAGTTTATAAAGCTGTTTACTTATACTATATATAGTAAGACTAAGGAAGAGTTTAATAATAACGTTATTAAGCTAGATAACGTATATCCTATATTTAAGGCCTATCTTTATAAGAACTAGTAGTTCTATAAAACTCGGATTGTTAACTACTAGACTAACTAAGTCCTCTATTTTAGTTGTAAGACAACCTCTCGAGTCGAGTCTTGCTATAGACGTATTAAGCTCTAGCTTAACTATAGTAGCAGATACGATATCTTTACGCTCTTCGAGTCGCTTCTTAATTAGTAGTAAGAAGGCTACGACCGCCGCCGTACCGCGATAGCAGACAACCTAAAGAGGTATAACAAGTTACTAACTAGAGCCTTCTATACTAGTGTCTCTCGAGTTATTAGCGACTATTGCCTTCTTAAAGTAGCTAAGCTATACAAACACGCTATTACCCTTCTAAGGACTACGATTAACGATAATAGCAATAAGATTAAGCACTCCGCCTTCTCGTATAGCTGTCCGTAGTACCGCTACAACGATTACCTTACTAAAACCTTCGGTTATACGTATAAACACGAGATTATAAAGCTAATTAAGACAGGTAGCTCGCGAGCAGTACTATTACTACGCCACTTCTACGACTACTAGCTTATCGACTTTATAAAGAAGTAAGAGCCTCGTCTACGCGAGCCGAAGGTTATCTTTAGCAACTATAAACCTTTTACTAGTAGAGCGACTGTCTATATAACAAAGCGTATACTTACTACTCGAGAATTAGACGACTTAAATACTATTACTACGAAGAAGCGGAAGCTAAATATAGCGACAATAACTAACTTTACTCTCGAGCCTAGTATATCGCTTACTTAGCTAAGAACGACTATTATAGACTACTATAAGTACGTAAAGAGCTAGTACCGTACGTAGTAGTGCCCTTGCTAGAAGGCTAACCGTCTATATAGACCTGCCTACTACCCTTAAGGCTTCGAGTGCTATAATCTACGTTAAGAAGCACTTCCAGTTAAACTACAACCTCTTTCTAAGCTAGACTATAAAGGGCTACGCCCTAGGTAGAAAGCGCTAGCCTTAGGCATTCGGCCTACGCGACTCTAACCTACTACTTAGCGCTTAGCGCACTATATAAAACCATTCGGATTTATATAGATAGACTTAGCTCTTTATCGAACCTATTAAGTCTTATATCTAGCATCTACGTACGCGTTACTTACCCGTAATATTAGGTTCGATCTTTAATATAGGAAACGCTAAGGTTTATTAGTGTTAGGGCTAAAGAGGCTATACGTGATTAGCATATAACTAGGCCGAGTGAAGCTAGGGTCTTAATGCCTTAGGCAGGGCTTAGCGCTTAGCGTTAGGCTAACTCTCCTACCTTCCTCCCTCTCCTCCTAGCTTCTTATCGAATACTACTCGTACCTACCACTACCCTATCTACCTGCTAATATACCCTTCTTATACAGTATTCGATCCACCCTTTAAGGGTAGCAGCTAGATAGTCCTTATTTTAAGCTTTTAGCGGTATAGCTACGAACAAGACTAATCTAACTATATTGCGCCCGAAGAACGGGACCTATACGTACTATTCCACTAAGAATAACCGTACCAATTATCAAGCAAGGCCTTCTATACGGCCTATTATACTAAGTTAAGCACATTAGACCGATACTCGCTAATTCCGCTATATCCGTACTATAGGGGCCTATAATACATTATTAGTGCTACCCCTTATTATAATAGCCGGCTCGTTACGAAACAATAACCGTGCTACCGCTAGTAGCGCTAGCAACGACAATGCTAGTAGCATAGTACCTACTAAAGTGCCTACTAAGGTACCTGCTAAAGTACCTGCCGAAGAGCCTACTACTAAGCCTACCGAAGAACTTATAATTCTAGGTAACGACCTAGAGTTGCCTATTAACGACATTCTTAACAATATTGTTAATCGACGATATAGCTAACTAGCCTTTAGCCCCTAGCTAGTAGCGAGACTTTAAGAAGCTACCTAAAACAGGCTCGCTGCTCTACGTTAAGAACAATAGCTAAAGGACAACCTCCTCGAAATTCGCCGCCTTTAGGAGGCCCTAACAACTAACACTAAGCCGATAGTAGGGCCTTCCTTACTATTAGTCCTAGTCTAGAAGAAGGATGCTAAACTTAAGGACTGTACTATATTTAACGGCTCTAGTCGAAAGCAATACAACGACTATATCCGTAACTGTAAGCTTAACTAACGAAACGCACTAAGGGCTCTACTAAATGACTATTTACTAGTCGTCTATGCTATACAGTACATTAATAGCGACCTAAAACGTACCTAGGATAACCATTTTGATTCCCTCGATAATTAGACCGCTATTTAGTAGCAAACCTATAAAACTATTATACTAGACACCCTTAGAAACCCTATACTAAGGCAACAATATACTTAGGACCTATATCTTCGAGCTAAACAAAAGACTAATCAATCGGCTCGTTCATTCGAGGCCTATTTAAAGACCCTCGAGGATAACCTCCCGGCTAAGACTAATTCTATATAGATCTCGGAAATACGCCTAAAACTTAGATAGGAACTTATCCTCGAATTGGACCGTCGCCGTGTGTTCGAACAAGCTAACCTAACACGCATTCAATTTATAGTCGAAGTAGAAATAGCCGAACGAGCTGTCTAGCTCTAATAACGACTAGAATCGAGGATCCGGCTAGCTAGTACTAACCGCGGCAATCGTAGTAGCCGCGGAGGAAACTAAGGTTCCTACTATAATAATAATGCTAACAATAGGAACAGTAACAATAACCGTAGAAGAGGCCGTAGCCGCCGGCTATACAGAGGAGGCCGCGATAGGGGCCGTAGAAGGGGCTCGTATCCCTACAATGCTAACCGCTCGGCTAACAATAGTAATAATAGCTACGGCAGTCTACTAACCGGATTGAAGTGCTTCAATTGTAATAGTACTAGCTATCTACTAGGCTAATACGACAAACCTAAGGACTAGGCCCGAATTAACCGTGCTTTAGCTAAGTATAGGAAACACCTTTTAGCCGTTAATGCTACCCTAGTCGGCTCTTTTAA